TTCATGTTTATGTACAGATTGCCTATTTCATGTTTATGTACAATGTGGCTATTCAATGTTTATGTACAATGTTATTATTTCATGCAGTAATCTTGGTAATCTTAGTTTCAGCTTCATAGCAAACGGGTCACCCCATAGTTGCTCCGCTCCTGTGTCAACGAAAAACACACAGAATGTTCATCACAGTCCCTTGTGGACAGATTGACAGACTGCTGTCTCAGCATATGCACTAGCATACAAACGCATTCAAAGCATATGGTAGCCATCAAAAGTGCTAACACAAACAGTCCGAATGTAGAAATGCAGTTCATCATCGACGGTAGCAGAAGTTACGAACTGATCAGCAGATGCACAAGCGATCAATTTTTATCACATAAGGGCACCACCAGTATTGCGACGACAGGACACGCGCCATTTTCTGAATCTACAATTCACAACTCTACGTTGGTCACAGGGAAAAAACATTCAAAATAAAATCCGAAGCTCACAGTGTCGCGCCATGCACTCAGATCAGTAGCCGGGCAACGAAACTATATCATTTCAGTCTACAAATAAAAACTACTGGACGTAAATTTGCCTTAAAAACAAACCACACAACGGCCAGGAGCTGTTGGAGTTGGTTCTGCAACGTCCTGTAAAGGATACGCAACTAACCTAAAAATAAAGCAAAAATGCAACTGCCACCGTCTGGCAGAAGCAAACAATTTGCCACGGCTCAAAACAGTGACCGTGCCTAGTGTCCATTTTGACCGGAAGCAGGCACACTGTGGGCATTTTATGCAGTGTACAGTACTTTTATTTCATGTGTATGTACAGCATTATTATTTCACGCAGTGTACAATGTTAATAGTTCGTGTTTATGTACAGCGTTATCATTTCGTGCAGTATTATTATTTCATGCTTATATGGGGTGGTATTATTTCATGTTTATCTACAATGTTATTGTTTCAAGTTTATGTACAAATTTATTATTTCAAGTTTATGTACAGCGTTATCGTTTCATGCAGCGTACAGTGTTGTTATTTCATATTTCTGTACAGCGTTATTATTTCATGCAGTTTACAATGTTATTATTTCACATTTATGAAGAATGTTATTATTCGGTGAAAACTAGAAGTGATCAGTGCATTTTCTGTTTAATGATTCCCTAGAATGTAAACGTTTTGGGTTTTTTCCACGGTTCCAGATTGTAGAGCCCGGCAAACGCGTATCAGTTCGGAAAAAATCGCAGACAAGAAGAACATAGAAGTTAGTCAATCAAAGAAGTTGCCAGGACTTCATCCAAGAGAGTTGTACAGTCGAGCCACGGAGAGCAACAAAGTTTCTGAACCACGGACGAAAGGTAATGCTGATAGTGATAACACACTATACTTCTTGCAGACATTATATGTTTCCACCAGGCAAGATTTACTGCAATCAGAATCTCTGAAGCGGTATGTAAACGTTGAACTAGTACCTTTGACCTCGAGTAAAAAGAACAGTGTTCTCGCAAAGAACAGCTAAAGTCAAAATTGGCTAAGAGTGAGAATCAGATTACCCTGCTTAGGGGGGGGGGGAGGGGGGGGGGATTTATACTTTCTCTCTGTCCACAAAAGCTGTAGAAATGCTTGCAGTTTTAACAAGCAGTGTTATATTTCGCAAAATGTCTGTCGTGTCACTAACTGAAAATGTAGAGAAAATAAGCAATACCAGCTACCCACTGCGTGAATTAAATAGTAAAGAAACCGACGACATCATGAACTTGTACTCTTTCGAAGATTCGGCAGTTGCCAGATACTCTGACCCCATGAATTGTAGAAACTCCGACCTTTCAACTTCCAGAAACTCCGACCCTAAACCTTCTAGAAACTCTGGGCCCTTACCTTCCAGAAACTTCAGCTCCGCAGCTTTCAGAAAGGTTAACCATACAATTTAAAGAAACTTTGACTATCACTGTTCTAAAAAATGTGAAGCTATAACATTCAGAAACTCTGATGCAAGTATTTCCATAAACAGTGAACTCACATCACCCACCAGTTAAACTGTAGATAGCAATCCAATGATGAAGAAGTCGAGGAATAGGCACATCGAGAAATGGAATTTTGGCCATTTGGAGCAAAAATTAACTGGCAAAGACCTGTTTTCTTCGCAACGACAGCACACGGGAAAACAACAAAATAACAACATAACTACCGCTGTATATCCGCCGGGTGCTCAATGTCACAGTGGCTTTCTTCGACCGTTACTGTTAGTCAAACCGGGACCGTCGGTAACTATCGACGGTCCCGGTCAAACCAACAGAGAGACAAACAAAGTGACGATCCCTTCCAAACTACAGACATTGCCACATCTACTAGAGAAATTGAAATGTTTCCAATGGAGCTCAGAGAAGCTGGCTCGATTGGTGTTGACAGTGATATGTCGTTACTAATGGAAAAAGTCCAGTCTAGACTTTCAAGGAGACTCAATTCTGAAGAAGTACCTGCATAGGGTTCACAGAAAGATACTAATACAGGTGTCACGAAAATATGGATACAAGGTGCACATTTAACATCCTTAGACATTCAGAGAAAATAGAAAAACCTAACAGGTTCATTTAAAAGCAGTTCCAGTTATAGATTAGAAGAGCATCTTTAGATAGGAAAGATGAATTGTAGTTTCGAATTGGAACAGGGCAATATACACCAGTACATCATATACACCAGAAAAGCAAATCATTGGGGCCTGATGTTTCAGATAACCTCAGCATTGTTTCTCAAGTTACCCAGTCATGTTACTGTGACAATCAGTTTTACACGGATCTCCTGGACAGTGATGATACATTCGAGGACAGCATAGTTGACAATGTTGATGCGACGATAATACCCCCACTGATTATTTGAGTTCTACTGTCACTGTGGAGCCGACGGGGGAGGAGAGCGGGGAATATACCGACACCACTGGGCAGGTTTACAATAGGAGCACAAGCTTCGATGTATCATGTATGGAGAACTATTTGTTTGTGGATATACTCCTACACCGTAGCAATAATGCCACCTCTAGCTCTCATGGTCTGCAAGGCGACATGGCTAGAAAACTGTATGATAAGGATTTAATTAATGGAGTATGTGTGTTTAAACATTGTTACAAGGCCACTGTTAGCAAGTCCCATGCAGATAATCTAGGCGACCAAGACCCGACTAAGGGAGGATCTGTGTTTGATCGTCTGAAAGAGGACATTGGTAGCCACTTCTCTGCAAGAAGAGAGCAACATTTACCAAGAAAACAAAAATAGTTTGATCAAGTTACTGGTTCACCAGTCTGCACACGAGGACTTGGTGGAGTTAGACAAGAATACGCAGGAGCTAGATAAGAAGATAAATAGGTTTGATCGCATCTCTCCATTATCTTCACTTGTTGACTCGCCAGGTAAGAGTACACCCAAAGGTAAACCAACGCTTCTGTCGATAGCAAACAAAAGTCAACAAAAAGACAGACCACAATTACCACAACAGACCAGCGTTAAAGTTGCCGCTGGTACAGCAGAAAACAGGACAGTTCAGCACTGTCACCGATTACATCAGGCACTTGAGGACAGTAAGACAGTACTTCCTGGACAGCACAACGATCCCGGTATACAGCTTCCAAACTCTTTTCTTGATAACAGTTTTACCTTCTTCTACATTCTATATTTTTCAAAATGATCACTGTGGCACGCAATGGTTTCTGCATACACCATGCACGGCTGTTTTGTTTTCTACGATTTTTTTTTTTTTTTTTTTCAATTCTTCGGGAAATAGACTGGTTTAACTATATTTACGGCACATATTCTTGAAATCATCACTATGTTGTGGGAATTCATTTATGTCAGTCACGTAAAACTGTTCATATCGTTTTACAATATAAACCGGTGTGTGTTTGTGTGTGTGTCTGAGTTCGATTTGTCTAGGAGGTTGTTTTCAGTATAATTAAGAACTGTCTTGAGTGCATGATTTGACGAGGAACAATTGTGAGTTAATAATGACGTTCTGTTCTGTTTATCAGCGTTAGAACACTAAATACTAGTTTTATACACATACTTTCACCGGGCATGCTTTCAAGCCGACTCAATGAATATGCTCAGGAAGATCGAGAAGGGTTGCATATGAAGACAACGTGGAGTCCCTGAATACACCTTGGCTGAAAAAAATCAGCTTCATTTTTGTTTAGGGGTATTCTGGCGTTGAAGGCAGTAAACGAGCTGACAGAGTTGCAATTGATGCTCACGTGGGAAACGGACTAGCAATGGACAGGGGTGATATACTGAACGTCCTCAGAGAATCAGCTCGAATAAACAAATCAAGTAATGATTGTGAATCTGCAACACTGACAAGACTACTGATGTTTCACTCGGACTTCCTTTATTGGCACAAGGAAGGTCAATATTCCAGTGCGTTATCTGGGTCAGCGAGTGGCAAACGTGGTCAATAAGGAGAATTAAATGAACTTTGACTGAATTTTCATTGCTTCCAGATTGTATACTTGTATGTTTATGTTCGGGGATTTTTGCCCCTCTTTTAGACAACGTAGAACATATTGGATAATGATCGCTCCAGTGGCTTGTTAGACTAAATGTTAGAGATCAGAGATTATATCATCGCATGTGTTATTAGGGTTTGGGTATCGATATTGAAGTACCTAGAAAGTATGATTTCTTCACATTGGTAAACACTGTATCCACCATATTGGGGACGTTTATAGTTTTAATTATAGCCTCATACATTCTATCTCACTAGTCTATAGATCAGTTTTCACAACCTAAATGTTTGTTATACCAAATCATTGTATGCTCTGTAATACGAGCTAGCTAGGCAAGTCTCACAACATACACTATGTTACAAACTGTAGGCTACTGATGGCTTATCGTAGAAACAAAGGCCATGTTCAGCAGTCAAACATCAGTTCGGCCAAAAGGTGTATAAAAAGTTACTTGCCATGCCTATGTGGAATAGGTCTTTCGTTGGTCTACAGCTTTTAACTCTGGTCAATTTCTCTCATCGATTATGTCCACAGAACACTCTCAAGACACAGACAGCGGTATCATTAGTGGACATACATCTCGAACCACCACCCCAGAACAACGAGTCCAGCTAAACAAATCTAGCACTGAGTCAGCGTCTATACCCAGCATTGCTGTAACAAGTATGGGAGGCCAAGTAAGCTATGTGTATATTGTCTGCATTGCCTTGGATGCGCACAAATGCACTGGGAACATAGTTATTTATGTTGACTTTATGAATGGGAGACTCTGAGACTTAGAGCTTAGTAAGTACGTTTTGCAAAGTCAACATTATCAGATGTCAGAGTTTCATTCCTTTTTGTTGCATTCGGACACTATGGTGCATTCCAAAAGTCTTGTCGATCTTTAAAAGTATGTAATTCAGTAAATGATCTGTGTAAGTGGTTGACATTTGGCATACATCCTGTTAATGATAATGTCTGTGTAATTTTTTTAAATGTAAACACACATTTAATTTTCATTTTGCCTTTTTTGCGGTAAATATATTGCGGGGAAAAAAAACAGACAGCGATTCAAAGCAAACAATCAGCATGCTAACATAAACTAGTAAACTGAGTAAAGGGAACTTTTGGAAACATCAGGTTGTACGCGTTTCATGGGCGTTTCACTCTCGAATGGCCATCTACAGCCGTTGCCTCCGGTTTTCATTGTATACCCTATAGGCTATTAAAATAGTTCTCACGCATCGCTACACATAGAATTTGTCTAGTTCTCTCTCAAAGCTTCGCTTTAGTGATTCTGTTACACCATAATTCTCTCTGTTGTTCATAGACACAAGTTGAAGAACGTTTCTCGATTATTATCAATTGTTTTATGTTATATCATAATCCTCTCTGTTGTTCATTGACACCAGTTGAAGAACGTTTCTAGATTATTAGCAGTTATTTTACTGGTTCTCCATGTTTCCCTTTCATGCAACAATACTTATTTGACATTAGAGCTAAATATGTTTAGTTTGTATTAGTTTTAATTTCGTCTGACTTTCATCGATAGTTATAATTTCGTTTGACTTCCATTTATAGTTTTGATTTCGTTTGACATCTGTCAAAGTCCTAGTGCTGTGAAAACTCCCCTTGCCTGTTATATAAATTTGTTAATACCTCTACCTATTCCCCCGTCTGTATGTACAATACTGCCTAAATATGTGCATGGAATAGGATATCTTTAAGAGAAAAAGAAATATTGTTTGCTTGGTTTATTCTCATTACCTTTATAATTGTGCTGTGGATGTTTAGACCTAATTGTTATGATCTCATCAAGTATGTTTAGTTTATCTTGCATCTGATTTCATTAGCGGCACGGAAGAAAAATGAACATAAGATATAGGAGAAGCTACCAGCAAAGTCTAGATCATCAAAACTACCAACTAATTTGGTAACAATTCCGTAGATGTATATCGACCTAAATAGCTTTTGCTGGGATGTTATGTAATCGTGCAGCCTTTCTTTACTTAAGGAGGTTGGTACCTTTCCTAATTTCCAATCTAATTAGATGATATCTCACCGTTGATATTCATTTCCAAAGGCTGAATATCTGAATAACTGGGATGGACATTTGCGGTGGCTCTATTCGAAAGTTTATCAGTTTATTCAGCCCATCTATTTATTCGATCTTTAGCTTTGGGGACAAGTTTCCATTTGCGCATAGCTATCCGATGGCGGGTTTTTAATCGTTTGACGGTAAAACCTATACGATTAAAATATCGATTACCCAGAACTGTCAAAAGATTGGTTAACCCTAAAGTATTTCAACCTAATTTTACTTTTCAATATATTATGATGAGCAAATATAAATGAACCCTCACATTATACAGGGATGATCTAAATTGTTTATTGAAACAGCAATGATCAATTCGAGTTTGTATTTGTTTGGTTCAGTAATATTATGCGACTATGTTGTTTGATTGGTGATCTGATGCTATTAGTTTCATAATTTTTTAGACCTATAATAACAGACTGGGATTGTAATATGTATATTGTTTGATTGATGATTTAGTATTAGAATCAATTTTATAGAGATATTAATGTTGTTTTGTTGAAGATTGTATGTTGTTACATTTTATATATGTTATTATGAGAGGATTTTTTTTTTCAAATAGAGTCTAGATGAGGTAGATGACGATTTCGAAGAGTTGTATAGCAAGCGCCATCCAAACCAGATGTTGGGCAGCCGTAGCAGTTTGGCTGTAAGTAAGTTCAGCTGATTACAGTTATTCTAAGATCTTTTCTGTACATCGTAATGTGTTATCTTCTCTTTACTCGCTAATTTTCTAATCTCTTCTATACATCCTTCTGTATTATCTTCTCTTTACTCACTAATTGTGGAATCTTTTCAGTGCATCGTAGTGTGTTATCTGCTTTCTACTCACTTATTGTGGAATCTCTTCCATACATCGTATTGTGTTATCTGCTCTTTACTCACTAATTGAAGAATCTCTTCCATACATCGTATTGGGTTATCTGCTCTTTACTCACTAATTGAAGAATCTCTTCCATACATCGTATTGTGTTATCTGCTCTTTACTCACTAACTGAAGAATCTCTTCCATACATCGTATTGTGTTATCTGCTTTTCACTCAATAATTGTGGAATCTCTTCTGTACATTCTAATGTGTTATCTTCTCTTTGCGTACTAATGTTCTAATCTCTTCTATACATCCTTCTGTATTATCTTCCCTTTACTCAATAATTGTGGAATCTCTTCCATACAGCGTATTGTGTCATCTGCTCTTTACTCACTAATTGAAGAATCTCATCCATACACCGTATTGTCTTCTTCTTCGCGTTTACTGGCTGTAAACTCCGGCAGAAAGTTCTGGTTGTCCGTCCACCTCCGGACTTAAGTCTTTTTTCAGAACCTGAGGTTTGCGAGCACATCCGTTTTACAGATCTGACATATGTGTATGCAGATTATTGGTTCCTTGTAACTCAGGCAGATACACTTCAACTTCGAAGGAAACCCCACTTAGTCGACTCTTACGACATGCTTGTTGGGGAGGCAGTGGATCTATTCTTGTTTTCCACAATGGGACCCTGGAACCAACACGGGAACATCGTATTGTGTCCTATACAGCTTGTTGTGGTGTCCTCTGTTTACACTCTTGCCGTGGGATCTTTCTTTCACACAAGTACTGTGGTATTGTTCGTTCTTCTTCTTCTTCTTCTTCTTCTTCTTCTTCTTCTTCTTCTTCTTCTTCTTCTTCTTCTTCTTCTTCTTCTTCTTCTTCTTCTTCTTCTTCTTCTTTTCTTCTTCTTCTTCTTCTTCTTCTTCTTCTTCTTCTTCTTCTTCTTCTTCTTCTTCTTCTTCTTCTTCTTCTTCTTCTTCTTCTTCTTCTCCTCCTCCTCCTCCTTATTTTTCTTTTTCTTCGCGTTCACTGGCTATAAACACCAGCGGAAAATTATGGTTGTTCACCTACGTCTAAACATTATTCTTGTTCAAGAACTTGAGTTTTGCATGCACACTCGTTTTACAGATCAAGCTTATTTGTAAGCAGACTAGTGGTTGCTTCTCCTGCAGATGCCCTTTTACCTCGAAGGAATGCTTCCTACTGACCATTTTATCTAAATTTCACAGCTTCTGTTGTGGTTGTAATTGGTGATCAATAAATAACATCTTGCATGTATGATGTGAATCTCGGTCCATTAGTAAAAAGTTATATATAAAGTTGTGCGTGGCGGACAATTAGTGACACACAAAAAATAATTACTGGAGGTATCAGAGTGATAGGTTACACAAACAGGTTGTTACTTTTCTTTGGACAGCTAAACGAAATAACCTTAATGTTTTGAAACCCACTCTGTAGCCAATTAAATTAATAACCACGGCTACCACTATTATAGTCTTTAGCTGAAGATTAAATTTTTAAATAGACCCATATTGCAGCCGTCTTTGACTGAAGATTCTACACTGAATAAAAATCCACACCGAAGCTGCCTCCGCATGAAAGTTCCCAGACTAACCGGAAATCCAGCTTTCAGCCGTCTCTGCCTGAGAGTTCCGAGACTAATGGGAAATCCAGCTTCCAGCCGTCTCTGCCTGAAAGTTCCCACACCGAATGGAAAACCACATTTCAGCCATCTTTGACTGCGAATTTCACCCTGAATCAATCAATGGTTGCTATTGTGTTGTAAAACTGCAGATATTCCATGGAAACACGCTTCTTATCTTCTTCAACTTATGCTACTCATGTTCTGTGCATGTTCTGCTCATGTTCTGTGCATGTTCTGCTCATGTTTCTGTGCATGTTCTGCTCATGTTTCTGTGCATGTTCTGCTCATGTTCTGTGCATGTTCTGTGTGTGTCTGTATACAGGACAGCAGGGAGAGTATCTACAGTGTTTACAGTGACGCAGGGGAGATGAACTCTGGCCGTGTCACTGTCACAGGGGAGATAATGTTCTACATGACCTACTGCAACAAGACCAGCACTTTGGAAGTGCACGTGAAACAATGCAGGGATCTGGCTCCCGTCGACATCAAACACAACAGATCAGATCCGTGAGTTTATTTGTTAGAGAGAGGGGGAGATAGATAGGAAGAGAGAGACACACAAAAGAGAAAGACAGAGGGGAAATGTGTGTAAGAGATTGGATTGGGGAAGGGGGGGGGGGGGGACACGTTTGATCAAACACAACAGATTATATCTGTCAGTGCAACTATTTGTTAGAGATAGAGATAGAGATAGAGAGAGAGAGAGAGAGAGAGAGAGGGAGAGAGAGAGAGAAGGCGAGATAAAGCACAAACACTACAGATTATATTAATGAGTGAGACCATTAGTTAGAGAGGAGGAGGAGTGGAGATAGAGAAGGCGGGATCAAGCACAAACACAACAGATTATATTAGTGAGTGAGACCATTATTTAGAGAGGATGGGAAAGAGAGAGAGACACAGAGAGAGAGAGAGAGAGAGAGAGACACACACACAGAGAGACACACACACACACACACACACAGAGGGAGGGGGGAAGCGAGATCAAGCACAAACAAAACAGATCATATTAGTGAGTGAGACCGTTAGTTAGAGACGAGGAGGAGGGGAGAGAGATAGACACACACACACACACAGAGAGAGAGAGAGAGAGAGGGAGAGAGAGAGAGAAGAACGAACAGCACTTGGAAATGAGCATGCATGGTAGTCTCACACCGGACCCTTCCAATAACTCATCTTTCAGACATCAACTGTATTTTTAGGTTGGTAAGCACACATAGCACACTACACAATGCGAGTGCCATCGATGTCATATTGGGGTCATTTCTCACAACTATCCGGCAGGTACGTGAAAACATACCTGCTTCCCGACAAAAGCCGTAGCAGTAAGAGAAAGACACGGATCAAGAAGCACACACTCAATCCTGTTTTTGATGAGATTTTAAAGGTATTTTGTCATTGAAAGTGTATGTATCGATAAAAAAGGTTCATATGTTGTCATTAAAGGTTTATATGTTGTCACTGCCGGTTTTAATGTTGTAACTAAAGGTTTATATGTTGCCACTGAAGTATATGGTGTAAGGTTTTCTTCTTCTTCTTTGTCTTCCTCTTTTTCTTCTTCTCTTTCTTCTTATTCTTCTTTTTCTTCTTCTTCTTCTTCTTCTTCTTCTTTTTCTTCTTCTTCTTCTTCTTCTTCTTCTTCTTCTTCTTCTTCTTCTTCTTCTTCCTCTTAATCTTCTTCTTCTTCTTCTTCTTCTTCTTCTTCTTCTTCTTCTTCTTCTTCTTCTTCTTCTTCTTCTTCTTCTTCGTCTTCTTCTTTTTCTTCTTTTTCTTCTTCTTCTTCTTTTTCTTCTTCTTTCTTCTTCTTTTTCTTCTTCTTCTTTTTCTCTTCTTCTTCTTCTTCTTCTTCTTCTTCTTCTTCTTCTTCTTCTTCTTTTTCTTCTTCTTCTTCTTCTTCTTCTTCTTTTTCTTCTTCTTTTCTGTCGGGGTCTGTGTGGTCTCAAGGCATGGCGTTCGCCTCGAGTGCTGGATGTCCCGGGTTCAACCCTAGGTAAAGGCAAGGATTTGTTCATGGAGACTTTTCTTCTTGTCTCTGGGACTTTTCCTCTCGTCTCTAGGTAGTAAGATCGGACAGCATTTAAGGGGCTATTAGTTGTAGGCAGATCAGTGGTTTGTCTGCAGCGCATTTTGACCAGGTCGACGAAACTGCTTCTCTTTGGTCGCCCTACCGCTAGATTTTGAAATCTTTTATTCACAGGAAGACTAGGCATGCTAAGAAACTTTTCTGCTTGTATAAGCATCTTGATGTCTCCGCGTTCACTCAATGGGTCATCCCTAATTTTCTCCATCACAGCTATAGGTGTTGATTTCTTTCATACTGCCTGTGGTAACTCTGAATGCTTGCTTTCGCACTTTGTTTAATTCTTGTAGGGTGGTTTTTGATGTTGAACTCCATGCTGTTGATCCGTATTCAAAGCGTGGTCGAACTTTTTGTTGGTAAATTTTTTTTGAAGTATTTTCCCACTAGCACCCCACCTGGTTCAGCTTAGTTTTCTTAGGATGGCTACCCTCCTTCTGGCTTTTGCTGCTGTCTTGTTGATGTGTTTTCTCTATGTTAACCTATCTTCAAACGTGACTCCAAGGTATTTGAGCTTTATATCCTCTCTAAGAGGTACTCCATTTATGTGGATGATGCCTGATTTTTGTTTTGAAGAGAGGGGGAAGAGGGTGGTGCTAAATTTGACGATGTTGATGCTAACACAACATTTTTCAGCTATTACATCTATTTTTAAAAAAAATGGAACAATAAAAAATCTATGGCTATTTGTAGCAGTCTCGTAGCTACTGTTGCATATTAATTTCTACACCATAGTACCAAGTAATCTGCAGGAATTGCAGCTTTAATTCCATGGGGGTAGTTCAGAAAATAGGTCATTGATATAGACTAGAAAGAGTGTGGGGGACAGGACACCTCCTTGGGGACACCATAGGGCAGCGAAACTCTCTTACTCTTGAGTCCGTCTATTTGTAACCGGGTTCTTCTGTTATACAGGTTCGCTTTCACCCATTTATACGTATTTTCATTCACATTGGGTTTCTCAGTTTCTTTATGAGACCTTCTTTCCAGACCTTGTCAAAGGCTTTCTCCAGATCTATCCATGACGCTAACACCAGCTTCTTTTCCTGGAAGGCATCCTCAATTTCTTGCGAAAGGAAAGTTGTCTGATCTTCTGTGGAGTAGCACTGTCTAAAGCCTGCCTGCTGCGGCATGAAGATGTTTTCACTTTCCAAGTACTATTTGGGTTTAAGGTTGACAAGTCGTTCCATTATTTTACAGAGGCAGCTGGTAAGACTGATCGGTCTATAACTGGAGGCATCGGAATTGTCCTTTCCTGGTTTAAGGAGAGGTATCGTGATTGCGTCTCTCCATATTTGCGAATCTTTGCCACCGGTCCAACGATTATTAAAGATCTGTAGCTGCTTAATTTTAGTTGTTATACAAAGGTTCTTAATCATTTCGTTGGTTATTTCATCAATTTCAATTGACTTTCCCATTTTCAGCTTCGATATCGCTAAATCTAGCTCGTTAGACGTAAGTGCTGCCACCAATGCCTCTGGAATTATATCATTTTTGTGTGTGTCTTGTGTGCTGCTGGTTCTCTCAAACCTCTCGCTGTTTCTCTGGGTTGATTCAATGTCACTGTGGCCAGTTGCCTGTTTTCTTGTTAGGATGCCTCCTTCCTTGCATAGTGCAATATTCGCATTTCTCCCCGTACTCTCATCATTAATTTGTTTTACTAGCTATGCTGTAACTGAAGGGTTATATATTGTCATTGAGGGTTTATGAAATGCCACTTTAGGTTTATAAGTTGTCACAGAAGGTTTTTATCTGTCACTGACGGTTTATATGTAGTCACTGAAAGTTTATATGTTGTGACTGAAGGTTTTTATGTTGTCAATATTCTCTTTTGAATGCCTCAGACAGATAATATTCTCTATTTAATGCCTCAGACAATATTCTCTGTTGAGTGCCTCCGATTATTTTTTCTGCTACATATTTTTAGACAATGCTCTCTGTCGAATATCTTACACAGATTATGTTCTCTTTTGGATGTTTCAGACAAACTACGTTCTCTCTAGAATGCCTGAGACTATTTTCTCTGCCAAGTGTCTCAAGACAAACTATGTTTTTCTTGGAAAGTTTCAGTCAGACAATGCATGCTGTAGAAAGTCTCAGACAGACACTGTTCTCTGTTAAAAATCTCATAGATGCAATGTTCTCTTTGGTTCAGACTCTGATTATAAACATCGACGATGCATCTTGTTTGGCCCACAGTACCCGGTGAGCAGTGCAGACTTGGCCTCCCGCTCTCTGTGGTTGTCCGTCTGTCACAACGATCGTCTAGGCCGCAACGACTTTCTAGGGGAGGTCACCGTACCGTTAGACTACTACAGATTTGACGAGAACACACCGCAGTGGTTTCCCTTGCAGGAACGAGTAAGTAGGGCAGTCTTTGACAACAGCTTTTGTACTCAGTGCATTTAGTACACTCGTTACACAGTACATTCATTATACATTACATTCAGTAAAAAGTACATTCAGTACACACTGCTTTCGGTACACAGTGCATTTAGTACACAGTACAGTCAGTATAATTTACACATTGCAGTCTTTCCAGTCGATAGTGTTATATCGTCCTACGAGCAGGCTTGGGACACTATTATAATCCAGTCATCTCCTTGTGAGATGCCATTTTTCGTTATTTGAAGCCCCACCCTGGCTCTTGTCAGGGGCCGCAATATAGCCCGACCATAAATGTGGTCTAATAGCTGAACGCGGTTTCTGGGACCTCTCCACGGTGATCCTCACCCACATGGTGGCACTTTGTGTCATCGGGTGTTTATCGCTTGTGTGATGTCCTGGTGGGGTAGAAAGTCAGTCAGTCAGTCTTGGGACTCACAGCGCAAGATCCGCCCACTTTAAGACAAAATCTTCCACAATTATAGCATGGGATTTCAGGACTATTGTTGTCAGTATTTGAGTTTAGTGCGTTTCTTCTCAGACACTCAGCTCTCATCCTTTCTGCAATCATTTCTTCCTTTGTTCTCATTCCTTTCCTGATGTCCCCTATCCACACAACAGGGTCTATGGCATTTTATCCACCTCAATACCTGTATCATTCACGTCCCGCTTGCACAATCTGTATATCATAGTAGAGGTCGGTCTCGACGTCTTCTACCCATCTTTAATGCAGATTGATGATGTCCATGGGGACTCTGCCATCCTCCATTTTCCAGGTGTAACTCAGCCGACCTGAGCCTTCGTAGATTGAACATTGAGAAGACTGTTGCAGTACCTGCTCTTTTCAATAGTTCAGCATGTGTGATCTTGTCCTGCTACTTAATGCCAAGTTTTCTTCTTAGGCATCACATGTGAAAGCTATTTAACCGTCTCTCCTGGTGTGAATAAATTGACCACGTTTCACGGCCATAAAGCAGAGTGCTGAGAATACACGCCTGATAGACAAGAGTTTTTGTTTTAATCGTAAGCTTTCTGTTCTCCCAAATTCTTTTGTTAATCTGCTCATTGACATTCAGTACTTTGTTTTATATATATATATATATATAAAACAACATTCAGTACAATGTTCATATATCACAAAAATCAATACACAGTACTTGTGTACCACAACATTCAGTACACAATGCTCGTATATCACAACATTCAGTACAAAGTCAAGGCATGTTACAAAGGTGTTCGCACCAAAGGCCTATAAATACCGCGACTCACGTCTCTAAAATGCGTTTCTCCAAGTTGACATCTCAGTGTATTCTTTCATCAGCTGTGGGCAAACATCGTAAAATCATCCTTGTTATTGCTGTTAACATCACCAACAGTTACCACTGGTTAAAAACCATTTCTGGTCATTGTTGTTAACATCGTCAAGTGGTGCCATTGACTAAGATTCTCCTAGGAATTGTTTTTCTGTTGCCACAGACTGTAAAACTACTGCAACCATTGTTGTTAACATCCTCAACTGTTGCCACAGACTGTAACATTACCCTAGCGATTATCGTCACATCGACTGTTGCCACAGACTGTAAAATTACCCTAGCGACTATCTTTACATCAACTGTTGCCACTGACTGTAAAACTACTGTAGCCATTGTTGTTAACATCAACTGTTGCCACAGACTGTAAAATTACCCTAGCCACTATCATTACATCGACCGTTGTCACAGACTGTAAAACTACCATAGCCATTGTTGTTAACTGCATCAACTGTTGCCACACAAGATAAAACTACCCTAACCGTTGTTTTACCTTGTGCTTTCTCACAGACAACCAGCCAGGAACCTATTATGTTCTACAAAGGGGATCTGTTGATCGCATTGAAGTATGTCCCTGCTGACATGGTTGAGGCAGCCCCTAGAAAGAAATCCAAACCCTTGAGCAAAAGGGTCAAAGAGCGAGAGAAGCCAGAATCTGTCCTTGGGGAACTCCACGTGCTGGTCCGAGAGGCAGAGAATCTAACAGCCATGAGGGGGTCGGCGGGATCCAACCCCTTCTGTAAAGGGTAGAGTTATTTTATATTTTCCCACACTTTATTCTCGCCTTCAAACTTCGTTTCCAGTTCAGACAAGTCGTATTTTAAGAAGATAGCAACAGACGGTATGCACTCTGAATAGGTAGAAAGCATTCGAAAATCACATTTAACCTCTCTCGCCTAGATCTTCACACCCGGTCATGCGGGTGTAAAGGGTAATGAGCGAGCGGACCAACTGGCAAGCAATGCGCCAGCGCATGTGAAAAGAAGCATGGACAGAGCAGATATCGTCAACGTGGAACGGACTGGGCTAGTGTATAACGAGGAATCCCTGACATTAACCTTAGTGCGTGACATGGGATTAAAGCATGATGAAGCACGTCTATGCCGTCTTCGAAGCCAAGATAGGAGACAATATAACCAGCTTCTCGTGGAAACAATTGGTAGAAGTACCTTGGGTGGCTGCTGCATCGGAGGACTGAGCACGCATGGGAATGACCAATGTGCAGTGATGTCGATTGTGATAACATAACAAAACATAACATAACTACTGAGTGCATCACAAGAACGATCAAGACTGCAGGAAACGCATCTGTGTGACATGGTGTTGGTATAGGTTAAAGTCGAGAGGATCAACTTCATTGCACCCAGTTTTTATATCATATGGCTCAGTCTCTCTCCACAGAACGGCTGGCTGCCTGTCGAGAGCGTCGCTCAAAGCACGAACTCCCTACCTCTGGCGACGATTTCCACGGATCTTCGTAAAAACTGCACTCCTGAACTGAACGGCGTAGCCGTAAAACGAACCCATGACCTTCAGCGCGTGAGGCAAATGGCTGGACCACTGTACCACGGATAGCCAATAAAACAGTGTTGCATATAAGCATAAGCTATTGCTTGATTAAAGCGTCCCAATCCGCACGGGCCTCAACAAATCCCCCCCCCCCCCCCTCTTTCCCCACAAATGCAGTTTTTCTTTTAATAAAGTTTCTAAAAGGATATTATATTATTTGTGTGATTTTGCAGAAACATTCTTTATCATTCTTACCGAGGGTATATTTGAATCACCCATACATTTTAAGGCCTGTATATTTTTAAGTTTTCTTCAATTAGTTGATGTGATTTAAACCAGTAGGGGCCTCAGAGCTTTATATCTTAAGGCGTCATCAAGTCTAAATCCGGCCCTGTCTGTGGAGTATTTTTTTACTCAATGTTTACGTTATTATACAATGCCCGTCTAAATCTCTTGTCGGTCATCATGTTTCCTACAGTATAGTTGTATAGTGTCTCTTGTCAGTTGTCACGTTTCTCACAGTATAAATATATCCGATGTCTACATACACGTGTCTCTTGTCAGTCATCATGTTTCTCACAGTATAAATATATCCGATGTCTACATACACGTGTCTCTTGTCAGTCATCATGTTTCTCACAGTATAAATATATCCGATGTCTACATACACGTGTCTCTTGTTAGTCATCATGTTTCTTACAGTATAGTTGTATCTGATGTCTACACACAAGTGTCTCTTGTCAGTCATCATGTTTCTTACAGTATAATTGTATCCAATGTCTGCACACAAGTGTCTCTTGTTAGTCAGCATGTTTCCTACAGTATAAATGTATCCAATGTCTACACACACGTGTCTCTTGTCAGTCATCATGTTTCTTACAGTATAATTGTATCTAATGTCTACACACACGTGTCTCTTGTCAGTCATCATGTTTCTTACAGTATAATTGTATCTAATGTCTACACACACGTGTCTTTTGTCAGTCATCATGTTTCTTACAGTATAATTGTATCTAATGTCTACACACACGTGTCTCTTGTCAGTCATCATGTTTCTTACAGTATAATTGTATCCAATGTCTACACACACGTGTCTCTTGTCAGTCATCATGTTTCTTACAGTATAATTGTATCCAATGTCTACACACAAGTGTCTCTTGTCAGTCATCATGTTTCTTACAGTATAATTGTATCCAATGTCTACACACAAGTTTCTTTTGTCAGTCATCATGTTTCTTACAGTATAATTGTATCCGATGTCTACACACAGCTATCTGCTGCCAGACACGTCACGCTCCAGCAAGCAGAAGACGCCTGTTATCAGGAAGACCACCAATCCGGAATGGCAGCACATGCTGGTCTTTGGCGGAGTCGACCAGGCTGAGCTCCACGAGCGTGGTCTTGAGCTGACAGTTTGGGACCACGACAAGTTGTCCAGCAACGATTTCTTGGGAGGAGTCCGTCTCAACTTGGGACACGGTGGGTTCATGTGTCTTTGATACGTCTCTTTAATAGGAGGTATTTACTTCAGCGCCAAAGTGCTTGAGAAAAGACAAATTAAAACCAGCAAAATTGTTTTCCTGTGTGACTGCATGTCAGTCCTCCAGGTGACTCAAATGGATCCACTAGACAACATTGAGACAGAACTGATCTGCCAGCTAAACTAAGTCTCAGAAAACAATTAAATTCTTCTCCACTGGATCCCGGCTCAGCCACCACAAGCATAAAATAAAGACAGTAAGTCCTCACACTGTGCATGTCAGATGGGACCACCAACACCTGAGCACATTCTGCAGACCGGCCCACTCTAGATGCAACTTCGAAAAGAAAAGTGGTCTAGTGAGCAAAGTTTGCACAGAAAGCTTATGGGAAACCATGAAGGACCTGCAGCTGACATACGAGTTCATAGAGACAACCCACCTAACGGTTTTGCCTGAGTGTAAAAAACTGAACGCAAAATATAAAAGAAAAATATACATCTCTTTAATAGGATGTCTCTGTCTCAAGTTGGTACACGCTGGGGTCATGTGTCCTTGATTTATCTCTTTAATAGGTCTTTGTCTCAAAATGGGACACACTGCTGTCATGTGTCTTTGTTGCATTTCTTTAAAATGGGTCTCTGTCTCAACTGGGGACATGGTGGGTTCGTGTGTCTTTATTACATCTCTTTAATAGGAGGTCTCTGTCCTAACTTGGGATACGCAGCTTGTTGCATCTCAAGCTGCATTGCAGACACCTTGCAATACTGTAGCACAGTGATTCTTAACCTTTCTAATGCCGCCACCTTTTAATACAGTTCCTCGTGTTGTGGTGACCCTCAACCATAAATGTGTTTCCTTGTTACTGCATTTCTTCAGTGAATATGTGTTTTCCGATGTTCTTAGGCGTGGTCTGTACAAAGCTCGTTCGACCCACACAAGGGTCACAACCCATAAGTTGAGAACCCCTGCTGTAGCACATCATGGATGATGAGATGTGCTAAGCCTTGACTGATGTTAAATTAAATTGTGCGATAATCTCTATCAGTCGATGATAGTTACATTGTTCTCCCCACCGACCGCCCATATACACACTAGCTCACTTGTGATTCGTCGACCTTCAGCCTAGCTAACTTTTTATTGGTCGACCTTGATCCACGCGACCTTAGGTCACTTTCATGGGTGTGTTCTGCAATGCCGTTGACAACGCGTGTTGTATATTTCACCATGCCTGAGGTTTTAACACTCTAAAAACATAGACAACTGGGTCTAACACACAACCACTTTAGAGAGTGATGAAACCTATGTCTCAGAATAAAAACGTAAATGCAAGACAATAACTGACCGCCACACCCACAATCTCCACCACAGTAGACTAGTCCAACAAACTTATCAATGGAACATGACCTACTTTCCGTGGAGAGACCAACGTTTCAAAAACCCTCTTAGTCAATTCCGTACTACGCCTTCCGCGGCTGAAATCGACTCGGTCAAGAACTTTCACAGAAGTAATGCCGTTTTAAAACTGTATACTCCATTTATTCACCTGCTTGACGGGCATGCATGGTCATCCTGGACTTTCATTCGCTCATGAATTTCTATAGCTTTCACCATTTCACTAATCAAATGAAGTTAATTAACTATGCAGTTAAAGACAGCGTATTCAAAAAGAAAGAGGCGTATTTGAAAAATGACTCAAATCAAAATCCCTTCAAGATTATGTCCATTACAGATTAGCGGGAAGAGATGCAAAACAAAACAATACAAGTCAACACAAATAGCTCACCGGGTGCCGAAACGACGACGACGTGCGCACTGCCCGTTCCGCGCCAGACTGCAGGACCCAGAGGCGCTGCTCAGACTTGGGTTGGTGTCAGCTGTAGTAAGTGGTACAGAAACCGTGTTCCCGAGGAAGATATAAATCAGGGTCTTCGGCTGCAGAAGAGAGTGGCAATAATAAAGAATTCTATATGTCTAACCCCACAGCCCAATTCCCTTACATTTCCTATAAAATAATAAGAGAAAGAGACATGGGTTACAACCCAACAACTACTATCAACAACAAGAGAGGCATACCTCTATTTAGTCCACACCAGAGGTTGGCAAGATGGGCAGTAAATTTTCAAGAACTATTCAACCCTGCAGGAAAGTAAATATTTTTAAATTTTTAAATTTGTACCTCGATGCTGCGAACAAGGGGAGACAAATTTGATAGCAGCAGAAGTAAAAGCAGTGATACAGAATAGCCCAAGAAACAAAGCACCAGGTCTGGATTGAATTAATACAGAAGGAATCAAAGCATGGCGAAGAAGTGGATGTTAAATGGCTAAATATAATTTTTTATATGGCTGGGAAAAAGTCTCAGCTGAGTGGCAATAATAACTAATAGTACCGTTGTGGAAAAAAAAAAAGATAAGAGGAGAGAAAGTGAAGCATACCGAGGTATATCACTATTGAGTCAGGTTAGGAAAATGTACGCGAAACTCAACACAGAGTTAAACCCATAGCTGAACAACAGTTGAGTGCATCACAATTTGATTTCAGAAGAGGCACAGGACGCACAGCTGCATTATTCACACTGAGAGAAGAGTGTGAGAAACGCACTGAGTTTATTAATACCCAACCGAATAGTGTGTGTGTTTAGAGCTTTTGATAGAGATCACTATAATCACGAGTAAGCACAAACATCAGACGAAGTAATCAACACACCAACATTAAACGAACTATTTTTTGCTGACGACCAGTAATTTTTCTACCCTGAAGGTTAAACTCAGCATGCGGTAAATACAACATGAAGACCAATGCAAACAAAACCGAAACAATGCAAGTTAGTAGAACCCCTGCCCCACTACACGTACAGCTGAATGGTTCTGCTCTGCATCAAGTTAGGGAATTTAAATATGTTGAAAGTATGATCACGGAAGATGGTAGAATTGACAGGGAAATAGAATCCAGATGTCAGAAAGCAAGTGCACTAATATACCAATTGTCACCATTATTAAGACATCCAAACATAACTATGAGTGCAGAGAGACAGGTTATAAACAGCATATTCATTCCAAAATAAGCTACCGGTACCAAACATAGACACTATCTAAAGCCCACATACGCCAACCTTACAATCCGAGACCAAGTGAACAATTATACTATCAGACAGACTTTGGTAACGACCGCTTGTACTAGATTAATCGAGAAACATCTCAGAAGATCAGCTACAACGGCAAGACAAAACTGTTTGGTACATGAGAAGATAGCTTTCAAAGAGGCTACAGGCCTTCTGATATTGGTTTTCTGGCAGAAGAATCGAAGACAAAGAACCTACAACAGCATTTCTCAACCTGTGGGTCACGACCCTTTTTCGGAGTCGAACGACCCTCTCAAAGGGGTCACATAAGACCATCGCAAAACATATTCATTGAAGTTATGAAGTAGCGAAGAAAATAGTTTAATGGTTGGTGGTCGCCACAACATAAGGAGCTGTATTCAGAAGGTTGAGAACCATTATGCTACAAGATCAAGAGGACGGCCACGAAAAAACATGGATCAACAACTTTAAAGACACTCTACGACTTCAAGGCATGACAATAGCCTGTGGCAGCCAGCGTGCACTGGATCGTAAATTATTCCTCCCCACGTAGCTTAACAGCAGAAGTGATTTCTTATGATGATGATGACTGATCAAAACACGGATCACAGTACGCGGCTCCTCTTTAGTGCATGTCAGCCGAGCGGGCATTTTAAAACTGTCATAACGACGTCGCCGGCATTTCATGAATGTAACAATCTTACTAATATTCAGAGGTTACAGGCAATAGTATGATTATTGTAACGGCTCTCACACTCTTGAGGTTTCATTTAAAGCCATCGCATGTATACATTCATCAAGTTCTATCATAACTATCAATATGTCTCGTTTTGTTTCCGTGGCTGGTACTGGCATGTTTCGTTTTGTGTCCGTGGCTGGTACTGACACGTCTCGTTTGTTTCCGTGGCTGGTACTGACACGTCTTGTTTGTTTCCGTGGCTGGTACTGACACGTCTCGTTTGTTTCTGTGGCTGGTACTGACACGTCTCGTTTGTTTCCGTGGCTGGTACTGACACGTCTCGTTTGTTTCCGTGGATGGTACTGACACGTCTCGTTTGTTTCTTCGGCTCGTAATGACTTGCCTTGTTGATTGCCTTGCAGGTTTACATCAAGGCAAACCCGTAGACTGGATGGATGCCAGAGGAGAGGAGATAGAAGCCTGGCAAAGCATGATAGATCAGCCCAACGAGTGGATAGATGTACAGCTGCCTCTGCGAGCTAGCATGGGCAAGAGAAACGTTTAGAACTGACTCAGCCAGAAGCCTCGATTAATTTTTGAAGGGAGACTAACAGATTGAGGGTACCCTGTTAGATGTAACAGCATCTGTTCTTGTTAATGTTTAACAAGAGTAAGAGGTCATGAGATTCGGGAAGCAAGCAGGAAAGTCGTCTCTGTGCTGAACTCTGAGACAAGCACTTTCCGGACTTCCAGCCCACTGTGGACTAAGCATGGCAGAATGTTTTGTTTTCTATGTTATTATTGCTTCTGACAGCGCGTTACTAATGCAGTTTCCACATGTGCACGGTAGTCTATGGTTTCACTGCCTACGCTACTGAGTAAAGTACTTGGTGCAGCACTGTGAACTGTGGTATTCGTGTGGAATGCCTGTCATTTGTGCAACGTTTGAGTCGTGGTATGCAATATGGCCGGTATCCGATTTACGTGTCATCATCATCGCGTAGCAGGTCCTTTGCAAAACGTCGCTCTTATCACAGTCTGCCTGAAAGAAACTCGGTCTCTCGCCAGTTCTCCCGTCTCATGCACTTTCACACCCAAGGAGTCACTTATATCCTGTGCCCATCTTCGTGTCGGTCGGCCCCTGCCCCTCCTTCCTGGTACCATGCCTTCAGCTATAATTTTTTCCAATCCGCGTGGCGCTTGATATGACCAAAATCTTTCAGCTTTCGAGAAAGGATTTACGTGTGGGCTGGCGAAATACCTTATGTAATAATTTTAAGTGCGTACAGCCAACTTATCGTGACTAACTATTTCCATTAAAGACAACATGAATTTATGGTGGCGACTGACGGATTGGCGCCTCTGCAACTGCCTTATGCATTCACTCCATACGTATATTTCTTGATCTTGCTTGGACTAATTTTTTTTTTAAACCAGGTTTTAAAAAAATTTGTTTTTAGACAGTGGGGGACATTTCATTTGATTTTCAGTAGGTCAGGAACAGAGTAAATTTGGGGTGACCCATTACACTGAAGTAGAAATCGCGACGAAGACTAATACAAACACTCTCATTTAACTATTACAGACATGTTCGTCTGCTCCAACACGATTCCTGGTTAAAATGGCAAGAGTTTAGCCTTTCGGTTAAAACGTAGTTACAATGAGCCTACTTCACCTTCTCATTCAACACGTCGTTACAATGAACAGATTTCATCATCTCAGTCAGCATGTCGCTACAATAACAAGTTTCCAGAATCTCAGCACATAACGTTTCCAGTTGTCATTATCCACGCTCTTTGTGGATGACAGTGCATTATGATACTAGCATACTGTGGGGGATACCATTTTCCTGTGAAATCGTGTTGGTGCTTGATTTCTTTACCGTGTTGAGACGGAATTTTCCTATGTAAAGACTTGACAAGTCGATTCGCTCCGCTACGATCATATGACTGGTGAAGTTCTGTTTAGAAGCGAGTCGTGCAGACAATACATTTCATTACTTTGACTGATACTGTGTCATTATGACTAAACAATAAAATATAAAGAACATAAAAAAGTATGTTTAAAAAATAAGAATTTACTTAAAAGCGCGGGGCGTCTAGGTAACGGTTTATAATTATCACGAGAGCCCCGCGCTTTTACCATTCATGATATAAAATTGTAGATGCATTATATAAAGTGAATTATTTTATCTCTCATATCCAATAATCTATATTTTTTTAAAAGTCTGTTTTGTTGCTAAATTATATGATGCGTTTTAAATAAACGTTTTTTTTTAAAGAAATATTTTGATTTTTTTGTTTACTCTCTTTGTTGAGTTTTGAATTATCGATATTATGTTGTTTTTGTCGTTGTTGTTATTGATCGTCCATAACATATGATGATGAATAGTCCTTTTATGCATTCATAACTGGATTAGGTTTTGTGAGAGCGCAGATATTTGATAAGCTCAATTATAAATTTCTGTAACCTATGGTGCCATTACAATGGGTTGAAATGAATTCTGTCCGTATTCCATAGTCGTGGATTTCAAGCTGTACGATAGACATGGCCAAAAAGACACCTTTTTTCAGGGGATGCCTAGTTGACCATGTATTTTAGTGCACTTGTATTCATGGCGAGGCGCAGACGCCGTCTGGAGGTGACAGGTTCAATTCCCGGCACGGTAACTATAGCTTTAGATTTTTATGTTGTCTAGTGTGTTCTTCTATCTTTCTACTTCTTTCTATGAGTGCCGTTCACAATACTTTCTGTTACTTGATTAATTCAATTCTAGCACTGAAGGTTCTTGAACAGCGTGGACAGGGAACTGAGGCCTCATCTCTTTGGTGATTTGCTTCAGTGGATTTGCCGGCTTGTCTTTTCTGAACTGCTGCTGCAGCAGTAATGTGATGTGTATGCCCACACTGTCCTTGATCCGCGTTTCACGGATCCATCTGTGTAGATGATGATGTCTTCTGGATGTGAATAGTGATCTGTTAATGCCATTACAGCTGCAGGAATATGATCCTTGCAGATCTTTTCCGTTTCCTGGGACAAGGCGTGTGCTATAGCTGCTATTTATTTGCTGGCCGTGGCTGTTGATTGGCCGAGGACATGTGGGGAATGGTCAGGAATAGTTTTAATCTACTCATCCCCCAGCTATTCGTCGAATAAAGATGATTTTCAGCGATGGCGCCGCCTGCCCTAAGGCCGAAAACCAGCGTGAAGGCCTAAATGATTACCAAAACTTTAATTAACATTCTTTCAGGCAGAAGTAGACAGCGAAACCCACCAAAGGCCACCCGACGCTCTGAAGCAGCTAGCCAAGGGCATTGCACCAAAGGGGACCAGCACCAGGGAATTCCTGTCTAACTTACGCCACCTTAAATGTATCTATAACAATGCCTTTCAGTCCCATTTCAGACCCTGCCCTAAGGCCGAATTCCAGCGTGAAGGCCTAAGTGATTACCAAAACTTTAATTAACATTCTTTCAGGCAGAAGTTGACAACGGAAACCACCAAAGGCCACCCGACGTTCTGAAGCAGACCGCTGAAGACATTGCACCAAAGGGGACCAGCACTCGGTAACTCCAGAATCTCTTAAGCCACCCCCCCCCCCCCCCCCCCCCCAGTCACATGAACATTAACAATGCCTCTAGTTTTATTTCAGGACAATGGATCTCAACCCACGAGAAGTTCCAGCGACGAGAAGCCACATCCCTCAATCTATATGTCACTCTCATTCTCCCGACCTCACTATCACATCTACTGGCACATTCGGGCAAACTGACCTCTCATTTGCAGTCTATCTTACCTCCACTACTTCTCCACACTCCGTGGGAAAAAAAAAAAAAAAAAAAAAAAAAAAAAAAAAAATTTTTTTTTTTTTTGGGCCGATCACAACAACAGATTGTGACGGCCCTGTTTGTCCTGAAAAGGAACATTGTTTGTATCGATGGAGCAACGGATATTTGTTTGGCTTTTTCCGGCGGCTTTTAGATCGGCAACCAAGCAGCAACAGGGCACCAGCACAGCGACCAGCACGAGGCAAACCAAGCACCAGCAACAGTCAGCTAGTACCCTTCAATATAATCGCAAAGAGATCTGGATCACACCAGAACCCAAAACCGCAAACAACGCAGCACAGCAAGGAAGCAAACAACTATAATATCAGGTGTGTCTACACACCACAAATAAAAGGAAACCATATAAGACAGCAAAGGACCCTTCTTCGATATAGCAGGCCCTCGGGCGGCTGAAAGAGGATCAAGTTTGGAATTTTTCTTGGACAACTGGCAATGGCAATGGCGATGGCGCCTGCACAGTCAAGCCAAGCAAGCGTGAAGCAAGCCGCAAACAGCTCTCGCTCGCTCTACCGCCCGATAACGCAGACGTACCAGCCAATTGTTACTCGTTTGTCTAGTGAACTGAGGGGGAAGCACGCTTGGGTGTTCTTTTCAGAATACTCTAACAAGCCTTGCCTACCCCGAAGGGACCTAGCTTTCGACAGCAGCCTTTGAAGTACTGCCTCTACCAGCCAGCCATAGCCACAGCCACACGAAACCATGGCCCGTGGCAAGAAGATCCCGACACAGCGCCGGGAAACCAGGTCGACCTCTGCCAAGAAGGAAGATGAGCCTGTCGCTGCACCAGCCCCTACGGTGCCGACAGGGCCAGTACCGACGGACGACCCGGAGGAGACACCAGCCTCTCACACCCAGACGCCTCCAGCCCTGGATGTGGGCCCTATCGAGGCACCCGTCTACCTAGAAGCCGCCCCAGTCGTGGCGCAGGAACCGAGCAACACCCGCCCACTCAGGCAGCAGCAGCAACGACCGGGAGCCTACACCACAGAAGTTTTGCAGTGCTCTCGCTGCAACAAGGCGTGGCACTCTGCCTCGTCATGCCGCAGCAGCCCTTCGTGCCGTTATTGCTCCGGCCCTCACCTATTCAGGGAATGCCCTCTGGCAAAAGTGGACCCTGACTTTAAAAAGCCGAACGCAAGCAGGAGATGTAGCAACTGCTCCGGTGCACACAGCGCCAGGTACATGGGTTGCCCGTACCTGAAAGAAGTCAAGAGAGCGATGGCGTACACCACCACCAGGACCACCCACAACCCAGAGCCGAAACAAAGATGTCAGGCGCCCAGTCCGACAGCTGTGAACAACAACGACATCACGCAGCTGAGAGACGAAATCAAATCCCTGCGAGAAGAGAACGCAAGAATCGTGGCACTCAGGACCCAAGACAGGGACGAGATGATAGACCTGCGAAACATCCTGCAGGCATCTCTCGAGACCCAAAGGAGACTCGAGGAGGAAAATACAGAAATGGCGAAGTTCAAAACAGAATTGATGGCAAATCTAACCGAGCTCAAGAAGTTGAAGGAAACAAATGCAGTAGCCGCCAAAGAACTGAAAGACAACCAGAAAAGTATACTTTCCGAGATAGCCACCATCAAGAAAGACCTGACAAAAACAAAAGCAGAGGTAACCGAGGCAAACAAAGAATGCGACAAACTCAGCTGTGTAATCGAAGCCACGCACAGAGTGATAGAAGCCAGAGAAAACGCGAAGAAAGAAAAAGACAGAAAAAGGCAGATCCACGACGCACACGTGAAACCCGGAGATCTAGAGAAGAAGTGCACACAAGACCTGTACATCCTCAAGGAATGCCTGAAAGACGACTTCGCAGCAATACACAAGGAGGTGAAGCAACTCAAAGAAGCCACCCGGCATCTTCAACTCGAAAGTATAAGAAACAACAAAACGAAGATAGCAGCCCACTCAAACGGAAACGACGCCCACGTGAAGTAGCTAGTTGAAAGCCAACATGCAGCAACCAATGAAAACCTCACAAGCCGCCATGACAGATGAACAACCACGCCCACCAGCCCTGAGAAACCTCACAGCCCACAACCAGATGACATATGTCCGCCGCCCAGCCACGCCCACCTACCTCACTCTGACAGAAGCAACTAACCTCAGGCAGAAATGAAATCGCCACAACAGAAACGACTATAACTGGAGAACAAAACTCCAGACAACAAAACACCGCTTCGATATAACCAACGCTCATTCTAGGAGCCGGTTGAAAGAAGCAAGAAGTTTTTCGTTTTTTTTACCCACACCAGTTACCAGTTACCAGTTGGCGCCTGCATCTTTTTTCCCGGCAACACCACACCATTCGCAGCCCGACAGCCAAGTCGCACACAGCTCTCTCTCGCTCGCTCGATACCGCCCGATAAAGCCACGTGTGTGTCTCTCGTTGCTTGCCAACTATCCATTCGTAGCCAGATTATCAATAGCTAGATACTGGTCAGAACTCGCTTGACATTCGGCTGAGTTTTGGCTCGACTAGACTATTGTTATTCGTCTGCGGGTGGGTTATTGGCGGCCCGGGAGCACAGCATTGTTTGAGAGCCAGACATACCAGCCAATATTTTAAACGATTGCTAGAGAACTAAGGAGAAAGCACGCTTGGGTGTCCTTTTTAGGATACTCTAACAAGCCTTGCCGACTCCGAGGGGACCTAGCTTTCGCCACAGACCGCAACTAACCAGCATTTTTCCATCATGGGAAAGAAACAGCAAGCCGCACCTACACCAAGAAAGAGGTTGGCCATACAAGCAGCATCACCGGCAGGCGCCCCTATCGCGGCGCCTCGCACACCGACGCCAACAACTGAAGCCGCCCCCATCGTGGCTCCAACACCAGAAGCCGCCCCTATCGAGGCGCCGACACCTGAAGCCCCCCCTATCGTGGAGCCACAACCTAAAAGCCGCCCCAGTCGTGGCGCAGGAGCCTACCTACACCCGCCCACTCAGACAGCAGCAGCGACCCGGAGCATACAGCTCAGAGCTACCTCAATGCTCACGATGTAACAAGGTGTGGCACACAGCCGCTACCTGCCGGAGCAGCCCAATTTGTCGTTACTGCGCCGGGCCGCACAACTTCAGGGAGTGCAGTCTAGCAAAGAAGGACTCGGACTTCAAAAAGCCCAACCTCAATAGAAAGTGCTCAAACTGCGCAGGGAACCATAGCGCGAGGTACCAGGGATGCCCATACATCAAAGACTGCAAGAGATCACTGACAACCACCGCCACCAAACGCAACGCCTGCACAGAAAGAAGCCAGAGCTACCAGGCTTCCAGACCGAGAGACCTCACAGAAGCAAACAAAGTCCAGGCCGAGATCTCTGCCTTAAAAAGAGAGATCGATGCCCTACGGGAAGAAAACAGCGCCATCAAAAAGAAACAAGACCATGCTAGAGACGAAAACAACGAAATAAGGAGACTGCTGCAAGAATCCCTCGAAACACAGAAACAGCAGGAGAGCGAACTAGCCGACACAGGGAAGTTCAAGTGTGACCTCTTAGCAGTCTTGAATGAACTCAAGAAACAAAAGGAGGAGAGCACAGAAACCAGCCTGGCTGAAATCACGAATATTAAAAAATCACTCGCTGCAGTTGAAGCAAAGCTAACCCAAGTCAACAAAGAAAACACACAGCTACAAAAGGACCTTGCAGCCACAAACGCAGTAATCGAAGCAAGAGAGAAGGCGAAGAAGGAAGCGGTCAGGCGAAAACAAATGCAAGAATCAAAAACGCTGGAAGAAGAACAGAGCGCACAGGGTGAACAAGTTCAGACCGCCGAGGAGACCATAACAGGACCAGAAGCAAATGAAACAGTAATCCCCAAGGACATCAGCGAAGCCGGCCTAAATCAAACTGTGCTAGTCTTCAACAGACAAGAAAATATCCCACACAAGATCAAATTCGAAGACGGCCGCTACATTATCAAATATGACCGGGAAATACTTGCTAGTGGCAGCCTCATACCCGACGAAGTAAGCAAAGCCTGCATTCCAAAATTGAACAGGTTCTGTGAACAGGTGAACGATGCCTACGAACGGATAAAAGAATCAAAAATGAGACAAAGGATACAGGGAACACCGAACAGGCGCCGATAGAACTAAGCCAGAACAACCGGCTAAACCCAACCGGCAGACGTAACAGCCCGTACCGAAGAAACCACAAAAATCATCAGCCACCCAGAACCGACCAAGCCGCCATGACACACCGGAAAACCCACCTGCCAAAACCAGCCAGGCATGATTGATCGACAGCCAGATGCCGAAGCCCAATCAAAACCAACGCAGCAAGGAACCAAAATTAGGCGAAAATTTTCACCACAAGGAACCAAGAATCTAGAATCAAACCACAAAGAAACAGACCTTAATATAGCAAGCCAGCAGGCAGCTGAACGAGGTCAAAATTTGACTTTTTTGTTTTCTACATCCAGTTCCAGTTCCGATGGCGCCTGGTCTCGCAGTGTGTTTAAGGAGGCATGCACTTATGGTTTGCCAGATCAAACCGTATGTGTTTTGCTGACTTAGGACATTTTGTATTGCTATGACATTCACTTGAAGTATCCAGCGTATCTGACCCAGTTTGTGACTGGAATCACCGGCATAGGCGGTTAAGCAATTATGTGATGCCGGACCGTAACAACTACCTAACCAACTATCTTTCCCGTGTAACGACAACCTTAGAGATGTCATGCACCTTTCGCGGTATCCAACGAAGAGTCAGCATGTTAATAGTACTAGCTGCAACGTGATTATAAGTGGCAAACTGGTGTAGTCATTTGCCCGCGCTCTGAAAGTCTTGGGTTCATTTTACAAACTAAGTCGTTCTGTCTGTTCACGAGTACAATTTTTACAGAGATCCCTCAGCACCCTCGCCTGAACTGCAGTGTTCGAGCTTTGTGCGATGATCTCTACAGACGGTTAGCTGTTTTGCGGAAAGAGACCGAGCTATGTAGGATAAAACCCCTTGGAATGAAGTCGATGATTTAAAAAAAAAAACCAGTCAGTTTATTCCACATAAGGCAAACATCCTTAACAGAGCCTCAAGACGGGAGGTAACTCTATTGGAACAACAGGGATCATTTCCCGCCGGGAGCCAAGGTTCTGAAACTCCTAAGTGGACAAGTGGACACTGAGACTCTCTCTGAGGACATCAAGCAGGTTCGGCTAGTGGTCGCTGCTTTTTTCTAAGTTCTGGTAGTGTAGACAGACAACTGTCGCTGCTTCTTTGTAAATTCTGGTAGTGTAGACAGACAACTGTCGCGGCTTCTTAACTTTTTGGGTTCTAGTTTTAGTAGTACTAGTAAGTGTCTCAGGAGAGAACTGTGAGTGACACTGTCACTGCTTCTTTTAAGTTCTGGTAACTGGTAGTGTAGACAGTTAAGACAGACAACTATCGATCGCTGCTTCTTTGTAAGTTCTGGTTGTGTAGACAGACACCTGTCGCTGTCGCGGCTTCATAACTTTCTGGGTTCTGGTTGTGTAGATAGAGACTGATAGATAGACAAGACAGCCGTGAGTAAGTGCTCCTTTTTTTTTAAATCTCTGAGCTCTGGTAGTAGTGTACTTCGTACTGGAAACAAGCAGCTGTTACTGCCAGGTATTTTAATCAGACTCGTGTGGTTGCTCACGCTTCTGATTTTGCCATCACAAACAGCATGTATCAGTCTGAGTGCTGTCATGACAGTGTCTCATTTATGTACCAATAGATTTGTCTGTAACACAGCAAAACATGGCTTTGCAGCCAAAACAAAGGCTTCTCATCTTGCCATCAAAAACAGCATGTATCAGTCTTAGTGCTGTCATGACAGTGTCTCATTTATGTACCGATAGATTGTCTGTAACACAGCAAAACATGGCTTTGCAGCCAAAACAAGGGCTTCTCATCTTGCCATCACAAACAGCATGTATCCGTCTGATGCTGACACATTGTCATGACATGACTCATTTACTGTCTGAGGAGTACGTCACTGCAGGGAGTTACCAGGGGATCTGGCCGACGCTCAAAACTCATGGTAAAGGCAAGTCGGATATTCAGTCAGAAAATTACTGGTATCTGCAAAATTGAAACTCTTCCCTTGCTGCTAAAGATTGGGACGGAGCACTTATGGTGTTGTCCCGAGTGCTGTAATGTCGATTCTTAATTCAGCATTCAATGATCATTTATGTGCTCAGTGATGGCTGTGAGCATTGGCTCAAGTTTAATCTGAAAACATCTGCTTTCTTCTTTTCCTTAGTCAGTTGAGACTGACCTCATTCAGTGAAGGTCAGATAGAACTTCGGTAACACAGCAAAACATGGCTCTGCAGCCAAAACAAGGACTTCAGCTAGGTAAGAGTCGCTAGCTTTTGTATACAGAATATGTTTTACAGAATATGCATAAATATGTTGTACGTAATATACAAAATATGGTGTTCAGAGTATACAAAATATGGTTCTGTTGACAATATGGCTACTGTTTTACGCATTTTATCTAAAAAGATTGGTATTACAAGTGGAGTGTGATTTATTTACAATGTCACCACTCAGGGGATGTTCACATTACACAGGTAATGTTTTACAGTTTCACCACCCAGGGGGTGTTTAAATTAACACAGGTAATGTTTAGTTTGATATCTTAGGGGTGTTCACATTAACATAGGTGATGTTTACAGTTTCACCACTCAGGGGATGTTCACATTGACACAGCTCATGTTTACAGTATCACCATTCAGGGGATGTTCACATTAACACAGGTAATGTTTACAGTGTCACCACTCAGGATATGTTCACATTAACAGTGGGTAATGTTTAGTTTCACCAGTTAGGGGTGTTCACATCAACATAGGTAATGCTTACAGTCTCACCATTCAGGGGAAATTAACATTAACACATGTTTACAGTGTCACCACTTAGGGGATGTTCACATTAACACAGGTGATGTTTACAGTGTCACCACTCAGGGGATGTTCACATTAACACAGGTGATGTTTACAGTGACACCACTCAGGCGATGTTCACATTAACACAGGTAATGCTTACAGTCTCACTATTCAGGGGAAATTAACATTAACACATGTTTACAGTGTCACCACTTAGGCGATGTTCACATTAACACAGGTGATGTTTAAAATGTCACCACTCAGGGGATGTTCACATTAACACAGGTGATGTTTACAGTGTCACCACTAAGGGGATGTTCACATTAACACAGGTGATGTTTACAGTGTCACCACTCAGGGGATGTTCACATTAACACAGGTAATGTTTACAGTGTCACCACTCGGGTATGTTCACATAAACATAGTGGGTAATGTTTAGTTTCACCGCTCATGGGTGTTCACATCAACGCAGGTAATGTTTGCAGTGTCACCAATCAGGGGATGTTCACATTAACAAAGGTAATGCTTGCAAGATAGTTTTCTCCCTCAAGTTATCTGGTCATATCTCAAATGTCACTGATTAGTCAAGATGGACAGTTGTGGGTTAATGAAAGTTTTTGGTGAGAGAGAGTGTGTGTGGGTGTTTTTGTTTTTATATTAGCTGTGAACAAAATTCAATGAATGCTAATGTCATTTTGTTTTAGTCATTCTCTCTCATGTTTTCTTCAGATTCAGCACAAGAGAATGCTTTTGTGTCATTTTTTACAAGTTTGCCAGAGGTTGGTAAATGTGTTTGTCATAAAAAAAAAGCTATGATCATGTGAGACTTACCCTTGCTGCACCATACAAGACAGTGCATGTGTTCAGTGATGTTGTTTTAAATTCATAGTGAGAATGCACTGATGAACATGCTAGCCCATGTTCACTCAAGGTAAATAGGTTCTGATGGCAATATGACTGCTGTATTACACATTTTATCTAGAGATTGGTGTGACCAGTGGAGTGTGTGATTGGTTGAATAGACACCTATCATTGCAAGTGAATTTCTAAATGATTAAACCACAGGTTTCCAACTTTTGTTCAACTGACCGCTTTGAGCTCTGCATGCCTTTCCCAGGGTCTTCATTGGCTGCTTCAGGAAAAGAAATAAAAATGTCATGGAGTTAAAGATTAAGATTTAAAAAAAAAAAAGATAACTAAAAATTATATTCTGAACAGAAAGACAAGTTGGTTTTTGCGCCTTATCTAGCAGACACTTGCTACTGCCACAGCTGTAAAATTATTAGCCGACTTCTTTGTGTAATTCATTCATGGAAATGTGTTGATCAACACCTCCATATTTCCTGTTAAGCTGCAGCATCATTTTGAGGGAAGCCATCCCAGATTGAAAGATAGTCGGCTCTCCTTTAAACTACTGCCGGTGAGCCGGCCGGTTAGTCGGAGTTCAGTCCCTTGGCTGCAGTGCAATTACGGAGTGGACAAGAGGGAACAAAACAAATGACATAATTACTTTGTGTTGGCGATAGACAGCGTGCAGTGCCCTGCTGTCATCATATGGCTAGGGTTTGGGTTAGGGATATGGTTTGGGCTAGGGGTAGGTTAGGGTTAGGGTAACACATGTAAATCCGCAGGTGTCACATCTACGGCCACTAAGTCTTGCGTCGCAAGAACGCGGTCTCTAATGTGAGTCGCAGCGCGTGGTCTAGCTCTAGCAGCCATGTCGACATCCCTTTGTTTTGTGATTCGTGCCTTCTCCACTCCGTAATTGCACTGTAGCCAGGGGACTGAACTCCGACTAACTGGCCGTCTAACCGGCCGTAGTTTAAAGGAGAACCAGATAGTCTTATTATTTTTTTTCAAGAGGAAGTGCAAGATAATTTTTGCCTCACAGAATACTGAGATCCAAGATCTCCTAAAGCAATCTGCACTATGCAAGACAATTGAAAATCTTGAGAAAGTGAAATAAGTATTGCTGTCTTTGTCTACCTATCTCTGTGAAGCTAGATTCTCCACTTATACAGCTACAAATCAAAATACAGAAGCCACTTAAATGCAGGACCAAGCACTCGACAGCAATTCTCATCATTCAAACCTGAAATAAGAAAACAAAAAAAACCACAGGTGTCTCATTAAGCATTTATACACTATTTCATAGACCTTTTTGGTGCACATTGTTTGGATTATTGGACTAAAAAAAAAACATTATGTTTAGTCAAGTTTGATAACGTGATGTGTACTGGTGGTAGCTGAAAATACAATGTCCATTATGGTACATTTGGGAGCAGCTTCATGAGGCAGGGAACAGCAAAAGCCAGTAAAACGGTTGTACACGCAAAACTCAGGTCCAGGTAAAAGCCAAAAGTCCAAATGGATGCTCTACCGGGACCTTCTGCCGGAATTCACAGCCAGTGAAGGAAGAAGAAGAAGGTATACTGGTCTTATAAAGCCTTGTACTATATTTGTCTATAGCTGCCTTTTGCAACAAAGGACAGTCTCAGTCAGTAAAAAGAAACATCAAACATCTTATACAAGGCATATTCATTGCAACCCTATGCTGCCAGTGACAGGCATAGCCACTCACAACAAACCAGAAAAAAAAAAAAAATTCATAACCGTGGAAATGAGATGTCTGAGACTACCTGCAGTAGTGGCCTAAAGAGATCAAATCAGGAATTAGGTCATTAGAGAAAAAGTTGGCACAGAACCAATGCTATATTATTTACAAAGACAGCAAATTTAATTGTTTGCATACTTGGAGAGAATGCCTTGTGATGACCTACCATACAAGTCATACACTAAAAAAGGAGATAGACATAGTCACAAGGTAGACCAAGTATAAGATGGAAAGATAACATCAGAGAAACAACACGATGTGTCTATGGTCGGGGCGGCTAGAAGAGCAAGAAGCAGGATCTTACATCTCCCTTAACACATTAAGGAGTAAAAGAGAAAGTGTAGAAGAAGAAAAAGAAGAAGCAGTCTTATGTAAAAGTATTGGTTAATATCATTTCATGTTTATAGATCATGAATTATTATTTTATGCTTATGTGTGTCTTGTGTAAATGATAAATTATTGTCTAATGTTTATCTGTGTCTTATGTAAATGATGAATAGTTGTCTACTGTTTATGTTTGTTGTGTGTAAATGATGAATTATTGTCTAATGTTAATGTGTCTTATGTGGATGATGAACAAATAGTGTTTCATCTTCTTGTATGTCTGATGTTTTATCTTGTATGTCTAATGTTTTGTCTTCCTATATGTCTAATATTTATCTTTGCACGTTGATACTGTTGCAGAAACTGGCAACAACGCTGCGGGTATTTGACAGAACGGTGAGTGCCAGATTGGACTAAGGGATATCTGACGCACTGATTATGTTTTATATTTGATGTTCACTTGGCTGTGAATGCTGACATAAAACATTCACTTGTATGTGAATGTTGACATAAAACATTCACTTGGCTGTGAATACTGACATAAAACATTCACTTGGCTGTGAATGTTGACATAAAACATTCACTTGGCTGTGAATGCTGACATAAAACATTCACTTGGCTGTGAATGCTGACATAAAACATTCACTTGTCTGTGAATGCTGACATAAAACATTCACTTGGCTGTGAATGCTGACATAAAACATTCACTTGGCTGTGAATGTTGACATAAAACATTCACTTGGCTGTGAATGTTGAGATTGTGGGTATCTAACATCCAGAACATGTTCTGGCATTTGATTCAGTATATATGATAGGTCAGGATTTAGTACAACATACATGAGAGGTAAATAAGGTTGTAATGTTAGGATTTAGTACAACATACATGTACTGAGAGGTATATAAGGTTGGAATGTCAGGATTTAGTACAGGGCTCACAGACTGGGATTTATACAGTTGTAATGTCAGGATTTAGTAAATTGCTTACAGGCAGGGAGGTATATAAGGTTGTAATGTCAGGATTTAGTACAACATACATGTACTGAGAGGTATATAAGGTTGTAATGTCAGGATTTAGTACAGCACTCACAGACTGAGAGGTATATCCGGTTGTAATGTCAGGATTTAGTACAATGCTCACAGACCGGGAGGTTTATATGGTTGTAAGGGCAGGATTTAGTACAGCACTCACATACTGGGAGGTACATGCAGTTGTAAGGTTGAGAATTTAGTATGCTCACAGACTTGAAGGTATATACGGTTGTAAGGTCAGGATTGTTACAGCACACATAAACGCAGAGGTTTATAAGGTTGTAATGTCAGGATTGATACATACTACATGGACTAGGAGGTATATAAGTTTGTAAGGTGAGGAATTAGAACAGCACATATAGATTGGTACTGCATCTAAGCCTGTGTTGGTTGTGTTTTCTCTACTTTCCTAAAAGTTAAAGTTGTGAGGATTGACTTCGTTGCCCTGAGTTTTATCCCGTCTTTTTTTTCCCGCAGAATAGCTAGCCACCTGCCAAGAGCATCACACAAAGCATAAACATTAACTCCAGCAATGATCCCTAGGCGTCTCCATAAAAATTACTCATGCTGTTCTCATATGCACTCTGTTAGAGCCTATCTCATGTACAACCAGTCATTGCCGATATACATGTCCATGTTCTCGTATGCCTTTTATCAGAGCACATCTTATGTACAACCAGTTATTGCCAGTATACGTATGCATGTTTTCATATGCCTTCTGTTGTAGATATCTCATGTACAGTCAGTCATTGCTGATATGATGTCCATGGTTTTCTCAGAAGCCTTTAATCAGAGCTCATTTCTGCAGTTTCCATTTGAACAGATTTGTTTTTTAGTTGCTGGGCACTAGTTCTAGCTAGCATCTGTAGAAGTTGGCTGTTGATTGGATGTGACTTATTCTACAGGATTACTACACTGTCCATGGGGAGGATGCCCTGTTTGTGGCCAGGGAGGTGTTCCGGACCACTGGGGTTGTCAAGTTCATTGGAGGTTAGCATTGATCTTGCTTATAGGAACTTTGTTGAATGCACATGTCCACTGTTTATTGCATACAGTATGTGACATTTCCACTGTTTGTTGCGTACAGTAAGTGTCTTGTCCACTGTTTGTTGCGTACAGTAAGTGTCTTGTCCACTGGTGTATGTACAGTATGTGTCATGTCCACTGTTGTATGTACAGTATGTGTCATGTCTACTGTTGTGTGTACAGTATGTGTCATGTCTACTGTTGTGTGTACAGTATGTGACATGTCCACTGTTTGTTGCGTACAGTAAGTGTCATGTCCACTGTTTGTTGCGTACAGTAAGTATCTTGTCCACTGGTGTATGTACAGTATGTGTCATGTCCACTGTTGTATGTACAGTATGTGACCACTGTTGTGTGTACAGTATGTGTCATGTCCACTGGTGTATGTACAGTATGTGTCATGTCTACTGTTGTGTGTACAGTATGTGTCATGTCTACTGTTGTGTGTACAGTATGTGTCATGTCCACTGTTGTATGTACAGTATGTGTCATATCTACTGTTGTGTGTACAGTATGTGTCATGTCCACTGGTGTGTGTACAGTATGTGTCATGTCTACTGTTGTGTGTACAGTAAGTGTCATGTCCACTGTTTGTTGCGTACAGTAAGTGTCTTGTCCACTGGTGTATGTACAGTATGTGTCATGTCCACTGGTGTATGTACAGTATGTGACATGTCCACTGTTGTGTGTACAGTATGTGTCATGTCTACTGTTGTGTGTACAGTATGTGTCATGTCTACTGTTGTGTGTACAGTATGTGTCATGTCTACTGTTGTGTGTACAGTATGTGTCATGTCTACTGTTGTGTGTACAGTATGTGTACAGTATGTGTACATGTCTACTGTTGTGTGTACAGTATGTGTCATGTCTACTGTTGTGTGTACAGTATGTGTCATGTCTACTGTTGTGTGTACAGTATGTGTCATGTCTACTGTTGTGTGTACAGTATGTGTCATGTCTACTGTTGTGTGTACAGTATGTGTCATGTCTACTGTTGTGTGTACAGTATGTGTCATGTCCACTGTTGTGTGTGTATGTGTCAGTACTGTTGTGTGTACAGTATGTGTCATGTCCACTGTTGTGTGTACAGTATGTGTCATGTCTACTGTTGTGTGTACAGTATGTGTCATGTCCACTGTTGTGTGTACAGTATGTGTCATGTCCACTGTTGTGTGTACAGTATGTGTCATGTCCACTGTTGTGTGTACAGTATGTGTCACTGTTGTGTGTACAGTATGTGTCATGTCCACTGTTGTGTTGTGTGTACAGTGTGTGTACACAGTATGTGTCATGTCCACTGTTGTGTGTACAGTATGTGTCATGTCTACTGTTGTGTGTACAGTATGTGTCATGTCCACTGTTGTGTGTACAGTATGTGTCTTGTCCACTGTTGTATGTACAGTAAGTGTCTTGTCTACTGTTGTGTGTACAGTATGTGACATGTCCACTGTTGTATGTACAGTATGTGTCATGTCCACTGTTTGTTGCGTACAGTATGTGACATGTTGTGTGTACAGTATGTGTCATGTCCACTGTCATGTCCACTGTTGTCCACTGTTGTACAGTATGTGTCATGTCCACTGTTGTGTGTACATGTCCACTGTTGTGTGTACAGTATGTGTCATGTCCACTGTTGTGTGTACAGTATGTGACATGTCCACTGTTGTTGTGTGTACAGTATGTGTCATGTGTACAGTATGTGTCTTGTCCACTGTTGTATGTACAGTAAGTGTCTTGTCCACTGTTGTGTGTACAGTATGTGACATGTCCACTGTTGTATGTACAGTATGTGTCATGTCCACTGTTTGTTGCGTACAGTATGTGACATGTCCACTGTTGTGTGTACAGTATGTGTCCACTGTTGTGTACACTTGTCCACTTGTGTGTGTACAGTATGTATGTACAGTGTCCACACTGTTGTGTGTACAGTATGTGTGACATGTCCACTGTTGTGTGTACAGTATGTGTCATGTCCACTGTTGTATGTACAGTATGTGTCATGTCCACTGTTTGTTGCGTACAGTATGTGACATGTCCACTGTTGTGTGTACAGTATGTGACATGTCCACTGTTGTGTGTACAGTATGTGTCATGTCCACTGTTGTGTGTACAGTATGTGTCATGTCCACTGTTGTGTGTACAGTATGTGACATGTCCACTGTTGTGTGTACAGTATGTGACATGTCCACTGTTGTGTGTACAGTATGTGTCATGTCCACTGTTGTGTGTACAGTATGTGTCATGTCCACTGTTGTGTGTACAGTATGTGACATGTCCACTGTTGTGTGTACAGTATGTGACATGTCCACTGTTGTGTGTACAGTATGTGACATGTCCACTGTTGTGTGTACAGTATGTGACATGTACTGTTGTGTACAGTATGTGACATGTCCACTGTTTGTACAGTATGTGACATGTCCACTGTTGTGTGTACAGTATGTGACATGTCCACTGTTGTGTGTACAGTATGTGTCATGTCACTGTTGTGTGTACAGTATGTGTCATGTCCTACTGTTGTGTACAGTACACAGTATGTGTACATGTCATGTTACTGTTTTTGTATACAGTATGTTCATGTCCACTGTTTGTTGCGTACAGTATAGTTCATGTCCAGTATTTGCTGTAAGTATAGTTCATGTCCAGTATTTGCTGTAAGTATAGTTCATGTCCAGTACTTGCTGTAAGTATAGGTTATGTCTAGTACTTGCTGTAAGTATGTATGTCCAGTACTTGCTGTAAGTATGTATGTCAGTATAAGTATAGTGTCATGTCCAGTACTTGCTGTAAGTATGCTGTAGTGACATGTCCAGTACTTGCTGTAAGTATAGGTTATGTCTAGTACTTGCTGTAAGTATAGGTTATGTCAGTACTTGCTGTAAGTGTCAGGTTATGTCCTAGTACTTGCTGTAAGTATAGGTTATGTCTAGTACTTTGCTGTAAGTATAGGTTATGTCTAGTACTTGCTGTAGTATAGGTTATGTCTAGTACTTGCTGTAAGTATAGGTTATGTCTAGTACTTGCTGTAATATAGGTTATGTCTAGTACTTGCTGTAAGTATAGTTATGTCCAGTACTTGTAAGTATAGGTTATGTCTAGTTACTTGCTGTAAGTATAGGTTATGTCTAGTACTTGCTGTAAGTATAGTTCATGTCCAGTACTTGCTGTAAGTATATGTGTCATGTCCAGTACTTGCTGTAAGTATAGTATGTCTAGTCATGTAGGTTCTGTACTTGCTGTGTATAGTATCCAGTACTTGCTGTAAGTATAGTTCATGTCCAGTACTTGCTGTAAGTATAGTTCATGTCCAGTACTTGCTGTAAGTATAGTTCATGTCCAGTACTTGCTGTAAGTATAGTTCATGTCCAGTACTTGTTGTAAGTATAGTTCATGTCTAGTACTTGCTGTAAGTATAGTTCATGTCCAGTACTTGCTGTAAGTATATGTTATGTCCAGTATTTGCTATAAGTATAGTTCATGTCCAGTACTTGCTGTAAGTATAGTTCATGTCCAGTATTTGCTGTAAGTATAGTTCATGTCCAGTACTTGCTGTAAGTATAGGTTTTTGTCTAGTACTTGTATAGTATAGTTCATGTCCAGTACTTGCTGTAAGTATAGTTCATGTCCAGTTTTTGCTGTAAGTATAGTTCATGTCCAGTACTTGCTGTAAGTATAGGTTATGTCCAGTACTTGCTGTAAGTATAGTTCATGTCCAGTACTTGCTGTAAGTATAGTTCATGTCCAGTACTTGCTGTAAGTATAGTTCATGTCCAGTACTTGCTGTAAGTATAGGTCATGTCTAGTACTTGCTGTAAGTAAAGGTTATGTCCAGTACTTGTTGTAAGTATAGGTTATGTCTAGTACTTGATGTAAGTATAGTTCATGTCCAGTACTTGCTGTAAGTATAGTTCATGTCCAGTACTTGCTGTAAGTATAGGTTATGTCTAGTACTTGCTGTAAGTATAGGTTATGTCTAGTACTTGCTGTAAGTATAGGTTATGTCTAGTACTTGCTGTAAGTATAGGTTATGTCCAGTACTTGCTGTAAGTATAGGTTATGTCTAGTACTTGCTGTAAGTATAGGTTATGTCTAGTACTTGCAGTAAGTATAGGTTATGTCCAGTACTAGCTGTAAGTAAAGGTTATGTCCAGTACTTGCTGTAAGTATAGGTTATGTCTAGTACTTGATGTAAGTATAGTTCATGTCCAGTACTTGCTGTAAGTATAGTTCATGTCCAGTACTTGCTGTAAGTATAGTTCATGTCCAGTACTTGCTGTAAGTATAGTTCATGTCCAGTACTTGCTGTAAGTATAGTTCATGTCCAGTACTTGCTGTAAGTATAGTTCATGTCCAGTATTTGCTGTAAGTATAGTTCATGTCCAGTATTTGCTGTAAGTATAGTTCATGTCCAGTACTTGTTGTAAGTATAGTTCATGTCTAGTACTTGCTGTAAGTATATGTTATGTCCAGTATTTGCTATAAGTATAGTTCATGTCCAGTATTTGCTGTAAGTATAGTTCATGTCCAGTATTTGCTGTAAGTATAGTTCATGTCCAGTTCTTGCTGTAAGTATAGTTCATGTCCAGTTCTTGCTGTAAGTATAGTTCATGTCCAGTATTTGCTGTAAGTATAGTTCATGTCCAGTACTTGCTGTAAGTATAGTTCATGTCCAGTTCTTGCTGTAAGTATAGTTCATGTCCAGTATTTGCTGTAAGTATAGTTCATGTCCAGTATTTGCTGTAAGTATAGTTCATGTCCAGTATTTGCTGTAAGTATAGTTCATGTCCAGTACTTGCTGTAAGTATAGTTCATGTCCAGTTCTTGCTGTAAGTATAGTTCATTTTCAGTACTTGCTGTAAGTATAGTTCATGTCCAGTACTTGCTGTAAGTATAGTTCATGTCCAGTACTTGCTGTAAGTATAGTTCATGTCCAGTACTTGCTGTAAGTATAGTTCATGTCCTGTACTTGCTGTTAGAATAGTTCATCTTCTTTGCTAAAGCTTATATAAAGATTCTAGAAGCATAGTTAGAATAAATCAGGGACATCCAAACTATTTGAAGTAACATCTAGAGTAAGACACGGACGTGTCTTTTCACCACTCTGTTTATCACCTACATTGACAATATAAGCAAAGATGCCGAACCCAGGAACGAAAATAATAGTGTCATTAACGAATTACTTTTTGCTGATGACCAGGCCTTCATTACAGATACAGCAGTGAATTTACAACATCTCACATCCATGAATGAAGAATGTAGATCAAATAATATGAGAATCAACATCGAAAAGACAGAAGTAATGTAAATAGAAAGAAAGAAGCAGAATTCAAATATAGCATTAGAGCATGCGTCTATTAAACAGACATCTGAGTTTAAATATCTTGGAACAACATTCACCGAATATGGTAAGTTGGGCAAAGAAATTGACATCCGTTGCAATAAAGCAGGCGAAGTATTGGGACGGCTTGTCCGCCTCTTACAGCATAAGAAAATCCCAATCGCATAAAAACAAAGCATATTCATTCCCACCCTATGCTACCAAAGCCACACATGGTCACTCACTACAAAACATAAATGAAAATTAGTAACCATGGAAATGAGGTGTCTGAGAAAGACTAGGAGTGACCAGAAAAGATAAAATCAGGAATGAGATCATACGAGATAAAGTCGGCACAGAATCCATTCTAAATTACATACAAAGACAGCATATCAAATGGTTTGCTCACTTGGAGAGAATGTCTTCTGATGCTATACCATACAGGGCATATACAAAAAGCAGAGAAGGACGTAGAGTAAGAGGTAGACAAAGAACAAGATGGGAAGATAACATCAGAGAAACTACAGCACTACAATGTGTCTATGGTCCAAGAAGCCAGACAAGCACGAAGCAGTATTGGCTGTTAGTATAGTTCATATTCTGTACTTACTTTCGATACTTCAGAAATAATTGACCGCAGTGATTCTAACATTTTGTGACACTTCTCTGTAACCTTTTGCTTCTTTTTCAGGCAGCTGCAAGTTGGAATCAGTGAACATGAGCAAGATGAACTTTGAGGCTCTAGCCCGAGACCTTCTCCTGGTGCGTCAGTACAGGATTGAAGTTTACTCCAGCAAGACTGGGTCCAAGTCTCATGACTGGTATCTTTCTGCCAAGGTCAGAGAATTCATTAGTTAAATGATGAGCTTTCTCATTGTCTTCTGATCAGATATTTGTTCTTCTATTTCAATTGTTATCTGATTAGGTTTATAGTGTTGTTTCTTATTGTCTTCTGATCAGAAATTTGTTCTTCTGTTCTAATTGTGATCTGATTAGATTTATAATGTTGTTTCTCATTGTCTTCTGATCAGATATTTCTTCTTATTTTTCTCATTGACTTCTGATCAGGTGTTTGTTCTTCTGTTTCTCATTGACATCTGATCAGATTTATAGCATAGTTTCTCATTGTCATCTGGTCAGATATTTGCTTTTCTATTTCTAATTTTGATCTGGTCAGATATTTGCTTTTCTATTTCTAATTGTGATCTGATCAGATGTTTAACGTTGTCTGTCATTGTCTTCTAATCAGATGTTTGTTGTTCTATTTCTGATTGACATCTGATCAGATGTTTGTTCTTCTGTTTCTTATTGACATCTGAGCAGATATGTGATGCTATGCTCTAATTATTATCACCATAGAAGTAAAAGTAACTTTTATCAGTTTCAAAGTGGGAGATGGGAGCTTATTGTGTTAGTTGGTGTCTGAGTGTGAAATAGAAGCTTATTATGTCAGTTGTTGTTGAAATGTGAGTTTGCAGCTTAATGTGAGTCAGTGTCTAAGAAAGAGCTCAGATATTTGCACTGCATGGAATGCAATAGTTGCTTTGTGATTTTCAAACCTTCGGGCGTATCGGGCATACAGAGCCAGACGTAAATTTTAAAGACCAATGGGCACTCGGTGGGTGACGTCAGCTTCCCCGGAATGGATGTGTGAGTATGTTAAATGTTAGGGATGCAGTTATTGTTGACAGCTAGATTCCATGCTGACCTAATTGAGGTTTGGTGTCTACACTTGACAGGCCTCCCCTGGTAATTTGTCCCAGTTTGAAGACATCTTGTTCAGCAACACAGAAGTGTCATCATCAGGAGGTGCTATCGGCATCAAGGTGGCTCAAGATGATGGGCAACTGGCAAGTATTGTAGTTTGTTTTTTTCCTCAGAAATACATTTAATGTATTTTTTCCTATAGGGTTGGTTCTTGTTTTGTGTTGAAGATAAAAACAGTTCTTGCTATGTGTTATAAATAAAAATAGCTTTTGCTAGTTGTAGATAAACATTAGATAATCATATTTCTTGTAATTTGTAGATAAACATAGTTCTTGTCAGTTGTAGATAAGCATAGTTCTTGCCAGTTGTAAATAAACATAGTTCTTGTCATTTGTAGATAAACATAGTTCTTGTCAGTTGTAGATAAACACAGCTCTTGTCAGTTGTATATAAACATAGTCCTTGTCAGTTGTAGATAAACATAGTTCTTGACAGTTGTAGATAAACATAGTTTTGTCAGTTGTAAATAAACATAGTTCTTGTCATTTGTAGATAAACATAGTTCTTGTCAGTTGTAGATAAACACAGCTCTTGTCAGTTGTATATAAACATAGTCCTTGTCAGTTGTAGATAAACATAGTTCTTGACAGTTGTAGATAAACATAGTTTTGTCAGTTGTAGATAAACATAGTTCTTGTCAGTTGTAGATGAACACAGCTCTTGCCAGTTGTAGATAAACATAGTTCTTGTCATTCATAGCTGAATGTAGTTCTTGCTACTTATAGGTAGAAATAGCTATAAAGTAGTGATCTGTAGTAAAAGCGGTGATGTAGTTGTGGCAGTGGTGATCTGTAATTGTGACATTAGTGATCTGTAATTGTGACATTAGTGATCTGTAGTTGTGACATTAGTGATCTGTAGTTGTGACATTCGTGAGCTGTAGTTATGACAGTGGTGATCTGTAGTTATGACATAGGTGATCTGTAGTTATGACATAGGTGATCTGTAATTGTGACATTTGTGATCTGTAGTTGTGACATTTGTGATCTGTAGTTGTGACAGTGATGATCTTTAATTGTGATGTGGTGATCTGTAGTTGTGATACTGGTTATGTGGTGATCTGTAGTTGTGACATTGGTGATCTTTAGTTGTGACATTGGTAATCTGTAGTTGTGTCAGTGGTGATCTGTAGTTGTGATATTGTTAATGTATAGTTGTGACAGTGGTAATCTGTAGTTGTACTCAGCATTTGTAGTGTGTTGATGTGTCCTACAGTTGAAATATCTTATATCCTATAACTGGGATCTTTTTCTGGAACTGGTATGAGAAGGTGAGGGTATGTTGTAATCATGCTGTTGGTATGGCTTCAGGTTTTCATTCTCTAGAAAGGAACAATCTTTCATTTATACACAGCCACTCATACTTACCCCTTTAAACAAGGCATTTACCTACACACATTCATACATACACAGCAGTTCATGCATACACATACATAAACATGCTCATGCATACTAGTGCACTTAACCACCAATGTATTCACACACAAGCACTTAAATAAATACACACTTATGCCTTCTTATAAAGACCCACTCATGTATATGCACTACAAATACAAATTCATACATTCACATACATATATTCATTCTTCTATATATATATATATATATATATATATATATATATATATATATATATATATATACATAAATATACACCCACTCATACATACTTATACATACATAGAGATACACACACACACTCAAACAGCACCAGTCATACACACATATCCATGCATGCACACATAAACTTACACATATTCACACATACGCAACTCATGCACTCTCAACTCTCTTTCACACACATCCACACGCATGCACAAACACACACACATATCTGCATACATGCACACACACACACACACGCACACACACACATATATATATATATATTACATTCATAGAAACACACACACACCCACCCACACACCCAGATATAACATACATACATACATACATACATACATACATACATACATACATACATACATACATACATACATACATACATACATACATACATACATACATACATACATACATACATACATACATACATACATACATACATACATACATGCCTGTGAGACATATGACTACAGTGTTTTCATGGGTGCCAGGTATCATGCTAATTGTCCTGATGAATATATTGTTGTCCAGGTTGTTGGAATTGGCTATGTGGACCCCATCTTACACACCTTTACAGTCAGTCAGTTTGCCGATAATGACCAGTTTTCTAATTTGGAGGTAAGTATTGCAGCTTTGTTACACCTGTCTTTCTGATGGTGGATATTTGTTACAACTGCCCTTGTGTCTCATACTGGATATTTGTTACACCTGTCTTTCTGATGGTGGATATTTGTTACACCTGTCTTTCTGATGTTGGATATTTGTTACAACTGACCTTGTGTCTCATACTGGATATTTGTTACACCTGTCTGTCTAATGTTGGATATTTGTTACACATGTCTGCCTTGTGTTGGATATTTGTTACACCTGTCTCTCTGTATGATGGATATTTGTTACACCTATTTCTGAGGGGGTTATGGTTATGGAGGCTGTTCAGTGAAGGCTGTTTCATGAGGGCTGTTTAGATGAATGCTGTTTAGTGAGTGTTGTTCAGTGAGGCCTATAGTATTGAGACTCTCAGTAGAATTTGAGGGACAGGCAGCAGAGTTCAACGAGGCTATTCAGTGAAGAAGGGCTGTTTTGTGATAGCTATTCAGTGTGGGCTGTTCAGGAGGGCTATTCAGTGTGGGCTGTTCAGTGTGGGCTGTTCAGTGTGGGCTGTTCAGTGAGGGCTGTTCAGTGAGGGCTGTTCAGTGAGGGCTGCAGCAAGGAAACTGTCAGTAGAATTTGAGGAACAAGCTGGAGAGTTCAGCAAGGCTGTACAGTGAGGGCTGCAGCAAGGAAACTGTCAGCAGAATTTGAGGAACAGGCTGGAGAGTTCAGCAAGGCTGTACAGTGAGGGCTGCAGCAAGGAAACTGTCAGCAGAATTTGAGGAACAGGCTGGAGAGTTCAGCAAGGCTGTACAGTGAGGGCTGACATGGCAGAAGTGATGGTAATTTCACATATTTCATTTGATGTTGTACAGGGATGCGGGGGCATCAGTTTCTACAGAATGCACCATGGCTTGTTTGGCTATTATGCTGGGGCTAAATGTGATTACAGGGCACACAGGAGTGCGTAGGAGCAGATAGCCATTTATTTTGCTTTTTTGCAGGGAATAGGGCTCGTATCAAAGCCAGGTGTCAGGTTTGTGTCTTTATCTGGAGCGGTGAGTTAACCGCTGGACGACTGAGGTTTGTTAGACATTGCAGTTATCACCATTTGTATATCATCATTGCCAACCATGTTGTGTACCTGTTATTAAGCGTCAGTGTTTCACCCTAGATTTCTATAATTTGGCATTACCTGTGCAAAATAAAATGTTTGCTATACAGTACAGCCTGCATAACCATAGGTACCATTTTGTGTGTTCTTCACTGCTTTGCTGGTACAGTACAGACAGCTAAAGGCACTTTTGGATGTGAATTTCTGTTGTAAAGAAAATTGTTTATCACCGGCAATTTTTTGTGCTTGAAATCTTATCTGGAAAAGAGGAATTTCTGATGTAGTGAAGAATTATTTTTTATCTCCGGCAATTTTTCTTGCATGAACTCTTATCTGGATTATAGAAATTAATGATGGAGAAAATCAGTTTCTTGAGTCCCCGGTGAGTTATGCTTATCAAGTCTGCACTGGATAAGACTAGGGTGACCTCTCATAAATCATCACCCTATGCACTTGCTAGGCTTAGACTTTGCCCCACAACAAGAAAATGGAGAGCCAGTCCACCATACTAGCAAGTAAACAGACAACCTGCATTGTGTCTAGATAAATTGTTCATCAGTATGCATGATCTGCATCAGAAATCAACCCCCTACAACAACCCTGTTACTGTTTAAAAAAAATCAAAATCAAAAGGAAAACAGATATTGCCATCTCTGGCCAAGTTCAGGTTTCATATCTGCTTACGTCACCAAGAATCATTTTGACATTGACTGGTCAAATATGTGTTTAAAAAAAAAAGGCACCAATCTGTCATAAATTATGTTAGACCGCTTTCAAATAAGTCTCACAGTTGACATATTGTGACTTCTGTCACACAGTTGATAATATGTGGCTTCTATCACACAGTTGACATATTGTGACTTCAGTCACACAGTTGATATGACATGCGTAGTTTTTTTTTCTCTCCTGTGAAGCATGTCTGTTTGATTGTTGACAAGCCTATGTTGACAAGCTTGTGTGTTTTCTCTCTTGTGAAGCATATATGTTTGATTGAATTCTGATAAACTGGTATTTCTCTCTGCTGAAGTATGCTAATAAACTGGCGTTTTCTCTCTGCTTTAGCATGCTAATAAACTGGTGTTTTCTCTCTGCTGAAGCATGCTAATAAATTTTGTTTTCTCTCTGCTGAAGCATGCTAATAAACTGGTGTTTTCTCTCTGCTGAAGTATGCTAATAAACTGGTGTTTTCTCTCTGCTTTAGCATGCTAATAAATTGGTAATTTCTCTCTGCTTTAGTATGCTAATAAATTGGTAATTTCTCTCTGCTGAAGAATTCTAATAAACTAGTGTTTTCTCTCTGCTTAAGTATGCTAATAAACTGGTGTTTTCTCTCTGCTGAAGCATGCTAATAAACTGGTGAGTTCTACCTCTTGTTAAGCATGCTGATAAACTGGTGTGTTCTCTCTCTTGTTAAGCATGCTGATAAACTGGGGTGTTCTCTCTCTTGTTAAGCATGCTAATAAACTGGGGTGTTCTCTCTCTTGTTAAGCATGCTGATAAACTGGGGTGTTCTCTCTCTTGTTAAGCATGCTGATAAACTGGTGTGTTCTCTCTCTTGTTAAGCATGCTGATAAACTGGGGTGTTCTCTCTCTTGTTAAGCATGCTGATAAACTGGTGTGTTTTCTCTTTGACATGCAGGCACTGCTGGTCCAGCTGGGCCCCAGAGAGTGTTTGTTGCCATCTGGTGAGACTAGCAGACTGAGACAGGTGCTTCAGCGCAGTGGTTTGCTGGTGACAGAGAGGAAACGCTGTAAGTTGTCTTCAAGCGGCATGTAGTTAACTCTTTAAGGCCCAAACAACGGTGTGAGCATAGTTTGAAAAGTTCTGTTCTGCCCAAACAACAGTATCATCGTCAATCGTGTGTCCCTTACATTTTGCTTCGCACGCGCGTTCGTACTAGTTTCTTATGTTTGGAGGTACGATGAAACTATTCAGGGAAAGTCACTCTGCCGATATCCTTTTAGTTTTATTTCCTGGACTAAACCACACATGGATAATTTTAGAGAAAAAAACAGCAAAATTTTTTTAACAGCTCATTTTCTAAGTTCGTTTTTGAGTGCCATGAATACCAATGTTTTAACCACAAGAACAGGTCGCAGAATGCGTCTTTCTGTGGCCGAAGCTCTGAAATTGTTTCAGTCAGATGTTCTTAATTGTGATAATGATAATAAAAATTTAGATTTTTCAGAAAGTTATTGGGACGGTGAATTTTCACCAGTGAAGCTGAGCGATCTAGCGATTCTGATGAGTTTTTTACAAAGACAATGTCCCGTGCTACCGTATTTATGGTCTAAGAAAAGGAAAGTTCTCTAAACAAAGAGACAGTACTATACTAGGGCTAAGCTACATTGAAATCATCGCAGCTACAGTCTTTAAATAACTGTACAAAGTGAAAAGTAAATAGTGTGTGTGTAATGGCTCATTTTTCTGCCATTTTTTCTCTTTAATTTTGCTTAGCACTCTGTGAGAACTAAGAGCCCCTGAGTGATAAACTAACCCAGAAAGCTATCATAACTTTAGAATATTTTAGGAAATTGAACAAACTTTGAAGTTTTGTTCTCAAATTTGGATATTTACTACTCTTGTGGCTGCAAAACCATGGTAAGTGAAGAATTTTTTTGTGTTGTCCGTGTGAAATTAACACCTGCTGAATTCTTCTTTTCCACACAAAATCAAACAAATAGTTATCATCAGATTCAAAATGTACATTCATTTTTCTTTTAAAAAATATATACTTTTATAGAGATTAGAAGTATATTACATTCTCTACAGCCTTTCTTGTACACCCACCCCTCTGCCATTTTTGTAAAGAGAAATTAATGTCTGTCAAAATTCATGGGCCTGAAGGAGTTGAAGAATACCACATGTGTTGATTATACTTCACTACTCTGTCTGCCATTGATGGAGAAATGTGGGATATTGTGTGTGTGTGAGAGAGAGAGAGAGCGAGAGAGGGGTAATTGACTGAATGTGTGTGTGTGAGGGACATAGGTAATTGAATGTGTGAGTGTGTGTATGTGACAGATAATTTACTGAACAGGTGTGCTGAAGTTTGTGTGCGACTAAGATTATTGACTGTGTGTGCTTTCATGCATGCATGAGAGAGAGAGTGATCGAGGGAGATCTAGGTAATTGACTGAGTGTGTGTGTGTGTGTCGTAGATAATTTACCAAACATGTGAAATATTTCTATGCGACTAAGATTATTGACTGTGTGATAATGAACTTATTGTGAAAGATTAATAAAATATAATTTTATGACTGTGTGACATAGATGTTTAGCTGAATGTTTGAAATGTGTGTAATATAAATAGGTCCAAATATGTGAAATTAATATCTGATTCTGTGTGTGTGGTAACGATAATTGATTGTTTGTGATAAAGATACGTGATTGTGTGTGTATATATTATAGATAATTGACTGTGTGTGTTTGTGTGTTGTAGATAAGTACTTGTGTGTGTGTGTGGTATAGATAAATGATTGTTTTGTATGGTGTAGATAACTGTATGTGTGTGGTATAGATACTTGATTGTATGTGTGTTATAAATAAGTGATTGTGTGTGTGTGTGGTATAGATAAATAATCATATTTGTTTTACACATAATTATTTGTCTGTATGTGTGTGTCTGGTGTAGATAATTAAGTGTGTTTGTGGTGTAGATAATTGATGGTGAATATGATGTAGATAGCAATTGTGCATGCGATGTAGGTAATTGTGTATTTGATATTTTTAAAAAAAGTTAGTTGCCTATCCCTTACAGGACGTTGCAGAACCAACCCCAGCATTTTTTTTAGCTGTAGTTTTTCAAGCCAGATATTACCTTAAGTAGTTTGCCATTGCTCTCTGAATGGTCAGCTCTCGGTACCACTGTCGAAACCAATGCGAGACAGATTGTCCCCAGCTGGGAACTAACCAGGTGACCATACAGTTGCTCTGTTGCTGTGCCTAGGAAGATGCCCACAGAATGTCCATTGCTGTCTCTTGTGGAAAAGAACATTGTCAGTGATTGCAGTCTTAGCAAATCCAGCAACATAGACATGCATTGAATGCATAAGGCAGCACTCAAAAATGCCAACACAAACTGTCCAATACAAGAAATGCAGTTCATTGTCTGTGGAAGCAGCAGTTGCAACAGATGGGTAGTGCACATTTAGTCGCACAAGTTCTTTAACATGCCACTTGCCATTTTCTGATTCTGTGGTTTGCAACACACACCACTTTGGTCACAGTCAAATAACATTTGAAATGAAATCTGCAGCCCACAGTGTCACACCATGCACTGAGCTCAGTAGCCTGGTGATGGAGCTATATTCTTTCAGCCTACATATAGGGGGAAAATGCAGCAGCTAACTTTTGTCAGAAGCGAAAACTTGTCACAACGATAAACAGTAAACTTCTTATCCACCATATTGACAGGAAGCCAGTTGACCATAATTAAATAAACCAGTAAATATACCTTGAAGACTAGAGAGAATCAGCACTTCTAAATGTCATTTTTGTTTTTAGCACACCAAATAAACTTGAGATCAGATATTTTCATTTCTGAAACAATTTGTTTGTTGACTTAGGTAATAGATTGTGTGTATGTTGTACAGATAAGTGATTACATGTGTTGTACAAATATGGGATTGTGTTTGTTGTTGAAATAATTGATTGTATGTGTTTTATAAATAATTAATTTGCGTGTGTTGCATAGATAAGTGTTTGCTTATGTGTGTGTTGCAAAGATAATTGATTGTGTGTGATGTATAGATAAGTGATTGTGTGGTATTGATAATTGATAGATGATGACTCTGGGGTCATGTTAAGATATTTACACCAGTTTGTTGTTGCCATGTCTATCATCATCTGGGAAATCTAATTCCATGAGTACCTAAACAGAACCCCTCAGCACAATGTCTCCGTTCTGTTTGCAGCCGACTTCAATGGCAAAGACATAGTTCAGGATCTGAACAGGTTGCTGAAGCCAAAAAAGGGTGAGAAACTCAACAGTGCCACATTGGGTGAGTGTTATGAAGAATGTATGTCCATGAAGACATATGTAGTTAATGTAAATGCATATAAGTACATACTGTATTTATTTACAGACAGAAAGGTATTGGTTATGTAAGGGGCCAGAAAACTGTCCTTCTGAAAGATCTTAGAATTGATAGAGCATTTACGTGGTGGAAGCAGACACAGTTCATCACATTTTCACAAAATTTAGGGCTAATATTCATTTCCTGTGTTCACATGTGTCAGAGCTTTAACTGGCCTGACAGACATGCATATTTATCTCATGGAATTTTCTCAGACATACCTCAGTTAAGTCTTCTTCTTCGATCCTTCTGTCAGAAAACTTATATCAGGAGGCCGGTAGCCTTTATGAAAGCTATCGTGCAATCCATATCCTCTCGTGTACCATACAGTTTTGTCTTCAGTGTGGTTGGAACAGGCTAGATTGCGTCTCTGTTGTCGGCATACAGTTGACAGTGTTGGAGCACCTCAGCATTATCGGGTGCTACGCTGCAGGGACACGTCTTCGTATTTCCTACACCGAAAAATTTGAACATATGTTGACGAAATCTGTTGTGCCCTGTCCTTAGTCTGAATATAATACACTGTCCCTCTCTAGAGAGGCGATGAAGTGAGTCTTGGGGAGAAAATCTGGTGTGGGTATCCAGCCACCTAGATTGTATTAGTGTTTTCATCTCTTGGTGGGTTAAGTCGCTGTTTAGTTGTACCATGTCACTGCCGTTTCTGGCCAATCTGTCCGCTATTTCATTGCCTTCCAAGCCACAGTGACCTGGAATCCACTGCAGTACAGATTGTTCTACCGAAGACCCTAGGTAAATCAGCTGTTGCGTCAAGTCTACAAACTGAGTGTCTTTTGGGTTAACAACTGCTTGTAGAACTGACATAGCATCAATCAGAAAGACCACTCTGCTATATTTGCTGTGCTGTTGTCCCTTCAGGAAAGAACATGCCGCTAGAAGTGCTTCTGCCTCTGCTCTGTAATTGGAGGAATATGAACCTGTTGGTACAGCCTGGTTAATTTTTAAACCATTTGGGAATTCTATGTATATTCCTCCTCCTCCGTCTCTTACTGCTCTCTTGGCTGAACCATCTGTATACACTCGAATCCAACTCTGGTGTGGATAAAGTCTATTGATCTCTCCTTCTGTAGTTGATTTCAAATCAGTGCTGCTCATTGATGATTTGGAGGAGACCCCTGTTAAGTGATTTTGTGTATTTTTGTTTTTTAATGGTACTATTGTCTATTCATGTCATCTGATAATAAGAGCTTTCTAGCAGCAACATTTTCACTTGTCATTTATGATATTCAGAAAATTCAGACAAGATCGACCAACAGAGGTTCATTTGTTAACAGGTGGCCAAATGTTTAAGACCACAAATCCATAGTATGTTTAGTAACCATTGTCACATCATTTCTTTTATTATTTGGTACTGCGTGTGTTTCCATCTTTTGACTTGATGATTGCATGAGTGTTGGGGCCTGCCTGCTGAAGATGAGTTCATGACAAAAATGTTGTAAGAGACTGTAGATCCAGTTGTTCTTAATAGCTTGGATGAGTGTCCTGGTAATGAAAGGTTGTATGTCAGCAACTTTATTTGCCATATGGGCCCACATATTCTCAGAAGGGTTTAATTAGGTCATTCTGGCATTGTGACTGGCCTTTCTTCAGTACAGTGCAGACCACTTGAGGTGGTCTAGGATGTGGCAAATTTTGTATGTGAAGAAAAGTTTGTTTATCCCCGGCAATTTTTCTTGTTTGAATTCTTATCTGAATAAGAGTATTTCTGTTAAGAAGAACAGCTTCTTGGGCCCCTGGTGAGTTCTCCTTATCAGGTCTGTACTGAACTCCTGTACAACTTTCACTTTGTAGCATGGGACACCATCGGGCACCATGGCTGTTATGCAAGAATGTGTATCTGCAGTTTCTCTTACGGCAGCTTGTGTCAGATTCTGTCAGTTGTTTGTGTGATTGTGTCACTGGTTCAGGTTAATATTTTTGGGGGAGAAAAAAAGTTGTGAGCAAGGGTCCTAGTCACTCCACCACACTTTCCATCATCTGGTCTGTGTGCCCAGGGGTTACATTTTTCAAGTTCACAGATATATATAATGTAGAGGGTATATATTCATAAACAGTACTTCTTCTTCTTTCGCTCGCTTGAAATAGATGATCTATATCTGCAATGTTGTCTCTAGCACAAACTGTTGTCTCTAGCATGAACTGTTGTATTTAGCATGAACTTCACTGTCTTTTGTAATTCACTCAGCAACCCGTAAAGTTTTACTTGCTATAAACAGTACTAAATAAGGAACGACAGTATGTTCTCATGAGCCACTGTGATGTGGCAGCAAGACGCTCACCTTTAGATCTGAAGGTCTTGGGTTCAAATCCACATGAACCAGGTGTTGACCACATCACCAACCTAGTGACGATTCATCTATAAAATATACATCTAGCACTATAAGCCCAATTTACTTAAAAGTATGAAAAAGGGTCCTGTCTACATTCTGAAGTATGTAATGTAGCCAGTACGTGCCGACACATGTAACATACAAGTAGATAATCACATATGTTTCAAGGGTATTAGTACTTCTTCTTCTTCTCTTCCACCTTTTACCTCATCGAAGTGTCAGGGGGAGATGTAATGTTCGTTGATGAGCTCTGTCAAGAGCACTATTAAGACTGATGTTCATTTCTGTAAGACTGTTCTTAATGCCATCACTCCATCTTTTCCGAGGTCTTCCACTCGCTCTATACCTGTTGTAACGTTTTAGTGTGGCTCGGTGTAGCAGATAGTACCAGGGCATTCTTGTTAGGTGTTCAAACCACTTCATTTGTTGTTCTTTGATGACCTGTAAGACTGGCTTTATTCCTAGCTTTCGTCTGATTTCATGATTTCGTATTCTGTCTTTCCTTGAAACTCCAGCAGCTCTTCTAAGGCATTTCATCTCTGTTGTCACAATTTTACGTTCATTGGAAGATGTAAGTGTCCACGTTTGGCATTGATAGCATAGTGTTGGCCAAAAAATAGTTCTGATAAGATTCACGTTAGTACTCCGAGGTATCTGCTTGTGTGTCAACAGGGGAGATAAGTTGACCCATTACTTGATTAGCTTTGGCACATCTGGAGCTAATTTCTCTGTCCAGTGGGTATTAGTACACAGGTATATAAATTATATTAATCTGGAGAGTATTAACAGAAATGCAATGTATAAAGTATTAGTTGCTATATTTCAAATTAGACAGTAGATGTACATAGATGTGTAATCTAGACATGTTCGTAGATTTGTTATCTAGGCTATATAAGTTCACAGGTGTGTAATCTAGACATGTTCACAGATGTACAATACAGACAGCATATGTTCAGAGATGTGTTATACTGACAGTTTATGTTCACAAACATTTTACTAAGGATCGTGTCATCTTGCAAAGGATTTGGAAGAAAATACAACCAGAAATAAGGGGAAGAGCAAAACGGTTCCGTAGAATGCAAAAGTTGAAAAAATGATGTGTATCACCCTGGAACAAAAATAGAGCTTTCACTAGAAGTTTAAAAAAAAAAAGTTCTTCATCTATGCTTTATTGATTATAATAGAATGAGACATGTTGATGTGATAAAAATGCTTATAAATGTACACATTTTTTTAAAAAGACCTTAGACTAGGCTATTTAGCTCAGTCAACTCAGGGTCAGGGGCCACGATTGTCAAAATGGATATCGTCATGGGCCAGAGGCTTGAGACCCAGCACAGAAATGTCATTAATACAATACAGGTTGCAATCATCCATTTGAAAAGCCTTCAAAGACCAGATTTGGACCACTGGCCGCCATTGTAATAATCTTACCTTAGACAATTAAGCCGCATGCTAACTCCATGTAACTAAATTGTGTACTATTTATTTTCTATGTTTCTAAGGTTTTATATTAAATCGCTCGTCCCCATATGGCATGCAATTTTTTTGTTATTTGGAGCCACACCCTGGCTTTTGCCGGGGGCCCTGAAAATAGCTGGGCCATAAATGTTGCCTAGCGGCTGAATTAGGTTTCTGGGGCCGCTCCATGGGTGATCCTCATCCGCATGGTGGCACTTACTGCCACCGGGTGTTTATTGCTTGTGTGATGTCCTGGTGGGGTATAAAAAAAGAGAGAAAGGTTTTATACTGAAAACCTCAGATCAGCAAAATACTGTCAGACTGACTGTGCACTCAATGGTTGCTATAGAAACCAAAATAAATAACGGCCACATTGGATTTTTTGTGATAGGTCTGAAACCATAATTCTTGTTTGTGCAGGCTAAATTTGTGTGTATATTTATACATTCATTACCTCTTTACACAAGTACAACACATTTTGTGATATCACTTACCATTTCTTTTCTACATAATTAAACACATTTAGCAAATATTTTTAGACAGCTTTCCGACTGGTGCACATAAACTAAATTGTAGTTTCACAAATGCTCTTGTATGTGCGTAAGCAATATACAATGTTAAATAAGTGTACACAGTTTCATTATAATCAGACAAGTAATTTTTGAGAAAGATATATCTCAAACTGAAAAACTGCCAGAATGAGACAACATTTTTTCATGTGTTATTATACTAAGAAAATTATTTTGCCGATCCCCGTTTTCAGATGAGGTTGACAAGACTGTTGCCATGAGTGCCCTGTCAGCTGTCATAGGTTACCTAGAGGTAGGTGCTCTCACTTTGTGTTTTTAGGTAGAAGAATTTGGTGTTATCTAGAGGTGGATACTGCCACTTTGTTCAGTCAAAGGGGAACACTCAGTCAACATGTGGGATTGTGAACACTCAAAACAACGTGGGATTGTGAACACTCAGTCAACATATGGGATTTTGAACACTCATCCAACATGTAGGATTGTGAGCACTCCGTCAGCATGTGTGATTGTGAACACTTAAACATCATATGAGTGGGAACACTCTAAACATATGGGGTAGCAAGCACTCAAACAACTTATGGGATTGTAAGCACTGAGTCAAAGTAGAATTGTGAACCTTCTAGCAGCATGTGGGTTTGTAAACACTCAATCAGCATGTGGTATTGTGAGCATATATATATGTATATATATATACTTATATAAATATGTAGCCATGTGTGCTGCACCAGGATGCAAGAGGCAGCAGGTAATGAGTGTGTGTGTGTGTTTTCTTTAACTACTGCGCGTTTGAGAATGCGTGCTGAATTTTAGTAATACAGTGAGATAGTATTTTGGCTACGGGACACCAGTAGCACACATATATATCTTCGTGTAGGGAGTCGGCAGTCAAGTTCAAGGTGTCTCCTTCGTGCCAAAGAACTGCATGGCTGTTGGGTGAACAGTCATTAACGAAGGCAGTCAGGTCGTTGTTGGGGCGAGGCTTGCTGGTGGATGTAATGTCCTAAATCCTTTCCCCAGCTAATAGTGAGGGTACTGCTGGGGTGACAGTTTATTAACCCTCACATAATGCTTCAGGTCCAAATGAACACTAGGCACTGCCACTGTTTTGAGCCGAGGCAAATTTTTGCTTCTGCCAGACTGTGGCCGTTGCTTTTTTGCTCCATTTTTAGACTGGAAGTATATAGTTTCGTTGCCCAGCCTCTGAGTTGAGTGCATGGCGTGACACTGTGAGCTGCGGATTCCATTTGGAATGTTTTTCGACTGACCAACGTGGTGGTGTGATTTGTCGATTCAGAAAATGGCGCAATGCCGGTTGTCGCAATATTGATGGGGCCATTATTTGATTAAAATTGATCGCATGTGCAACTGCTGATCTTTTAATGACTTCTGCTACCATCAATGATGAACTGCATGTCTAACGTCGGACTGTTTATGTTAGCACTTCGGATGGCTACCATATGCTTTTAATGCGAGTGTATGCTAGATTTGCCGAGGAGCAGTTTGTCAGTCTTTCCACAAGGGACTGTGATAAACATTCTTTGTGTTTTTCGTTGGCACAGGAGCGGAGCACAGATGGAGTGACCCGTTTGCTATGAAGCTGAAATTAAAATTACCAGATTACCAGATGTGGTATTGTGAACACTCAATCAACATCTGGGATGTGAACACTCACAACAATGTGGGATTGTGAACACTCAGTCAAAGTAGCATTGTGTGATTGTGAACCCTTAAAAACCATATGAGATTGTGAACAATCTAAACATGTTGGGTAGTGAAAACTAAAACAGCTGATGTGATTGTGAGCACTCAATCAAGTAGAATTGTGAACCTTCTAGCAAAATGGATGATTGTGAACACTCAGACAACATGTGGGATTGTGAACACCCAGTTAACATGTGGGATTGTAAACACTCAATCAACATGTGTGATTGTGAACCTTTAAAAACCATATGAGATTGCAAACACTTTAAACATGTGGGGTAGTGAACATTCAAACAGCTTGTTGGATTGTGAACACTCAGCTAAAGTAGAATTGGGAACCTTCCAGCAACATGTGGGATTGTAAACACCAGTCAGAATATGGGATTGTGAATACTCAGTCAACTTCTGGGATTGTGAACACTCAAGACAGCTTATGGGATTGTGAACAGAGTAGCATTGTGAATCCAATAGCAACATGTGGGATTTTGAACACTCAGCCAAAATTTGGGATTGTGAACACTCAAACATCGTATAGGATTGCGAATACTCATTTAAAGTAGCATTGTGAACTCCCTAGCAACATGTGGGATTGTGAACACTCAGTTAACATTTGTAATTGTGAACACTTATCAACATATTGGATTGTGAACACTTAGTCAACATATGGGATTAGAAACACTCACTTAATATATGGGATTGTGAACACTCACTCAACATTTGTGGGATTGCGAACACTGAGTCAACATGTGGGATTGTGAACACTGAGTTAACATGTGGGATTGTGAACACCGAGTCAACATGCGGGATTGTGAACACTCAGTCAACATATGAGGTTGTGAACACTCAAGTCAACATGTGTGATTGTAAACACTCAGTCAACATATGTGATTCTAAACACTCATTCAATGTTTGAGATTGTGATCACTCTGTCAGCATTAAGCATGTGGGATTGTGAACAATTGAACATCATGTAAGACTAAAAACCTGATCAGCATGTGATACTGAACACTCATTTTATATGTCAGACTGAAAACCTGAGTTTTCCTCGATTCACTGCATGAATCTGATTGTTTCCTAACAGCTTCTATCTAATGAAGACAATTTTGGCCAGTTCCGCATGACAACCTTTGACCTCAGTGTCTACATGAAGTTAGATTCTGCCGCTGTAAAAGCCTTGAACCTGCTACCAGTGGCAAATGAAGGTAATTTGTCAAGTTTAATTGCTCATTTAACACAAGGGTAATTTCTCATAACTTAAGGGTATTGTCTCATATAACACAACAGTAATTATTCATATTACACAAGGGTAATTTCGCATGTAAAAATCACTGCAGTTCCTCATTTTATGCAAGGGTAATTTCTCATATAATGCAAGGGTAATTTCTCATATAAAGGGTAATTTTTCATGTAACACAAGGGTTAGTTTCTCATATAAAACTAGAGTAAAGTCTTATATAAGGTAAGGGTAATTTCTCATCTAAGTAATATGAGAAATTACCCATAGGTTTTATAAGACTTACTTTTGATGCCTATGTATGCTAGCGCATATGCTGAAACAGCAGTCTGTCAATCTTTTCACAAGGGACTGATAAACATTCTGTGTGTATTTTCGTTGGCACAGGAACGGAGCAACTATGGGGTGACCCATTTGCTATTAAGCTGAACCTAAGATTACCAGATTACCAGATAAGACTTTACTTTATAATAAAACAAGTGTAACAGCTCATATAATGCAACAGTAAAGTCTCATATAATTTAAGACTAATTTCTCATATAACGTAAATGTAAATTTCTCAATAACACAAGAGTAAGTAACATCTCAATTAATGCAAAGATAAAGTCTCACATAACATAAAGGTAAAGTCTCATATAACACTAGGGTAAAGTCTTATGTTACACAAGGGTAAATTTTCATATAACACTAGGGTAAAGTCTCATGTAACACAAGGGTAAAGTCTCATATAACACTAGGGTAAAGTCTCATATAACACTAGGGTAAAGTCTCATGTAACACAAAGGTAAAGTCTCATATAACATAGGGTAAAGTCTCATGTAACACAAAGGTAAAGTCTCATATAACACTAGGGTAAAGTCTCATATAACACTAGGGTAAAGTCTCATATAACACTAGGGTAAAGTCTCATGTAACACTAGGGTAAAGTCTCATATAACACTAGGGTAAAGTCTCATATAACACTAGGGTAAAGTCTCATGTAACACAAAGGTAAAGTCTCATATAACACAAAGGTAAAGTCTCATATAACACTAGGGTAAAGTCTCATGTAACACAAGGGTAAAGTCTCATATAACACTAGGGTAAAGTCTCATATAACACTAGGGTAAAGTCTCATATAACACTAGGGTAAAGTCTCATATAACACTAGGGTAAAGTCTCATATAACACTAAGGTAAAGTCTCATATAACACTAGGGTAAAGTCTCATATAACACTAGGGTAAAGTCTCATGTAACACTAGGGTAAAGTCTCATATAACACTAGGGTAAAGTCTCATATAACACTAGGGTAAAGTCTCATATAACACTAGGGTAAAGTCTCATGTAACACAAAGGTAAAGTCTCATATAACACAAAGGTAAAGTCTCATGTAACACAAGGGTAAAGTCTCATATAACACTAGGGTAAAGTCTCATGTAACACTAGGGTAAAGTCTCATATAACACTAGGGTAAAGTCTCATATAACACTAGGGTAAAGTCTCATGTAACACAAGGGTAAAGTCTCATATAACACTAGGGTAAAGTCTCATGTAACACAAGGGTAAAGTCTCATATAACACTAGGGTAAAGTCTCATATAACACTAGGGTAAAGTCTCATATAACACTAGGGTAAAGTCTCGTGTAACACAAGGGTATTGTATTAAATAAGATCATAGTAATATTTTGTTAAATACGCAAGACATCTGTTTTACAATTTATCCACAGCACATTAGGTAGAGAGAGCCATTATGGTGTAGAGGCCAGACGCTCACCTGCAGATTTTAAGGTTGCGGGTTCGGCTCCTGTCAGAGCTGGACTATTTAGAAAATAAAGCGCAATGTTCTCAGCTCCCAGATCCCAGCCTTACAGTGGGGACCCGGTAAAAGTCCTGGGAAGTAAAGGTGACCCGGCATGATGTTGACATCACCCACTGAGTGCTGACTGGTCTATAAAATATAGTTCTAGCCCTATATGCCCCGCCGGAAGGCCTAGAAAAGGATCCTTTTGCCTCACATTAGATAGAAGGCCGTAGACACACATGGTAACCATTACCATACTTGACAGACTTAATAGAAGAGAGAGAGACACACAGAGAAGCTAATCTGTTGATAGACAAGTGGCTGACTAAACATTTAAGAATGCAGAGAGCTGTCGTGCGAAAGACCCACGCTCCAATCCTTGGTAAGATTGGGGAATTTTTTTTTTTGGGTCGCAGGCAATAATAAAATCCTTACCTGCACAGTCCTTGGCGACAGTACTAGCCATGCAACCCAAAATCCTCCGACTCAAAGCCCCCTCTCCCCCCCCCCCCCCCCTCGCGCCTACACCACAAAAATGTCAATACATGCAGTGATGACAGTTGCTTAAGAATCTATTGATATAAATTAGCCAGTCTATTGATGTTTGTCAACCAGTCTGTTGATGTTCGTCAGTCAATCTGTTGATTTGTCAACCAAGCTGTTGATGCTAGTCATTCTGTTAATGCTAATCAGTATGTTGATATTAGTCAACCAGTCTCTTGATGGTAGACAACCAGTCTGTTATGCTAGTCAACAGTCTTTTAATGCTAATCAGCCAGTCTGTTGTGATAGTCAACAGTCTTTTAATGCTAATCAGCCAGTCTGTTATGCTAGTCAACAGTCTTTTAATGCTAATCAGCCAGTCTGTTGTGATAGTCAACAGTCTTTTAATGATAATCAGCCAGTCTGTTATGCTAGTCAACAGTCTTTTAATGCTAATCAGCCAGTCTGTTGTGCTAATCAACAGTCTATTAATGATAGCCAGTCTGTTGATCCTAGTCAGTCAGTCTGTTAACTCTTTCAGGACCACATTTTTTCTGGGGTTTTGACAGCATTAATTTTGAGCGGAATTTTTTTTACCTACAAAACAACAAAGCTAAAACCTTCCTGAAGAAAAAATATTCAAATTAATGATAAATAAATGCAGAATAAATCTAAAATATTTAAATGTCAATATTACAACAAAATAAGATTAAAATCCCACAACATTCAAGGATGTTAGACGCATGTGAAGATTGTTGACATACAAAATTTTGTGCTTACCTTACTTTTTTACTTGTTCAACAACACTGCTATCCATTTCTAAGAATGCACATGCCTTCTCTGTTCAGTTGTGTATTAGCTAATCTTTTTTGAATAAATCAATTTTAATACTTTGGATGTTATGATTATTTTTGTATGACATGTCAAATTTTACAACAATCGAAAATCAGGAAAACAGCTGATTGAAACATTGATTTGATTGAAATATTTTGTTCAATTTTCATATCTTCAACTAAATTATCGCCAATAGGTTTATCACTTAGATATCAATCATAAAATCCAGACTGTTGTCACCATCTGGCAGAGATTCATCAATGGCAGAGCAGTATGAACAGTTCTAGACCTCTTAACTTATCATTTAGTATGGAAAATTACGTAAAAATTGTATGCCATCTAAATAATTTTTTTTAAATCAGAAAATATTGCACCGACAACGATGAACTTCGCAAAAGAAAGTACTTCCTGTTGTTAATCCTAATTATTCAAAAACTTGTTCATAAAAATCATAAAAGTTTGTTTTCCCCACAAACGGAACAAAATTATAGTGTCTCTATCATACAGCAATATACTGGCGATAAGTCCATTTGGGATCAATTTAATCACCAGTATATTGGCGATAGGTCTTTAAAGAGTTAATGCTGTCAACAGTACATTAGTGCTAGTCAGCCAGTCGGTTGATGCCAGTCTGTTGATGCTGGTCAGCCAGTCTGTTGATGCCAGTCTATTGATGAGTCAGTCAGTCTGTTAATGCTGGTCAAAACAGTACATTAGTGCTAGTCACCCAGTCTGTTGATGGTAGTCACCCAGTCTGTTTTGATTCTCATCAACTACTTATCTTATGTAATAAGGTATTAAATAGGATTTTTTGACTTCACTGCAGTCAACAAAAATGAGAGTTTACTGGGGCTGTTGAACCGTTGTCGTACTGCTCCAGGTCAAAGGTTGCTGGCTCAGTGGATCAAACAACCACTGATGGATATCCACAGAATAGGTCTGGTATTTGTCATGGAAATGTTGGTTTTGCCTTGTCAGTGTCTTTATGTCCATGAAAACATGATGGTAACATTAACTAACATATGTCAGAAGTAATAGATGGTATATAGTAACATATGTCAGAACTAATAGGGGGTAAATACTAACGTATGTCAGAACTGATAGGTGTATTTACTAATGTATGTCAGAACTGATGGGGGTATATATTAACTTGTGTGCGTTTTTGTGTATTTGCTAAGTGAACTTGTTCCACATGTGTGTATGCCGAGTAAACTTGTTCTCTCTTTCTCTATCTCTCTGTATATGTGTGTGTGTGTGTCTGTCTGTCTGTTTGTCAGTTCATCAGTCAGTCATTGCCTTGTAAACTTGTTCCATGTCTGTGTTTGAATTGTTCTGTGTGTGAAATATTATTTTCTTGAATTTTTCTTTGTGTGAATAATTATCACCTTAAATTGTTTTAAGTATCCGTGGTTATTGAATTGTTCTGTGTGTCAGGGTTCGTAGCCGACATGGAAATCTTGAATTAACCGTGAAATTGCGGCCCCGACCAGGAACCTTAATTTGACCTTTAAAAAGATATTCTGACCTTTAAAAGCCGTGAATTTTGACCGCCGCAAGGAGATCGTCGGAAGTCCTGCAATTTTTGGCAGCTAGGCTTTTTTTGGGGGGCCATTTGGCTAGTTTTGGCTACTTTAATTTACGGTCGTTTTAGGTATGAGGGCTGTTGATTGTGGGCTATTTTCAGCTGAAATGGCTTGTTAAAGGCCAGGGAAGGACGGGCTGTGTTGCAGCCCATGGATACAGGCAGACAGCAGCAGCGCGGGATGGGGCGGAAAGGAGCAGCCGCCATCTCGTGTGCGTATGCCTTTGTTTCTAGCGGGTCCGGCAGTATTAATAGTATAAATAGTTTTATGGCTGTGTTTTCTAGAAACATTGATTACATTGGGAGATGGTGTGGCTAAGCAAAGTGACGTCAGCTGGATTTCCCAGTTCTGTTTTTGGCCCGACAGTATGGCGATCAACATTGTAATTTCCCCATAGTTTCCCTATTCTGTTCTCTCACCCCCCCCCCCCCTCGCTTCCTCCTTCCCGTCTCCTGCATTGTCTCTCTCCCCTGATCTTTATCTTCCTCTTTTTCTCTCTATCTTTCCTTTTACTCTCTCATTTCCTGTCCCCCCTCCCCCTTTCTAATTTTATTTCTTGTTTAAATGTGTAGTATCCATAACTCTTTTCCTAGTAACTGTTAAGTATACAGGAAGTTGTGTTATGGTGGGAGGAAAGGGGGGGGGGGGGGGGGGGGGGGGGGGGGGGGGAGTGTTTCAGCATGAACCTGGTGGATATTTTCTTTTGATGTCAGTTTTGTCTTTTGATGTAGTGTGGATAGTTGCTATATTAATTTTTCTATTTCTACAAGTGGATAATTGTCATGTTGGAATTGTTCTGTGTGTGGATACTTGTCATATTGAATTGTTCTATGTGTGGATAGTTGTCATATTAATTGTTCTATTTTTTAAAAGTGGATGCTTGTCATGTTGAATTGTTCTGTGTATGGATAGTTGTCATATTAACCCTTTCGCTGCTTTGTTCCCGGAAATAACTGTCTGCCCTGTGCTAAGCAATGTGAAAAAAAAATGTCTCTGCTGTGTACAAATATTTTTCTATCCTCCAAACGCAAAAGATGCGTCCGCGGTGAGGGCTATATTTTGTAGACCTAAAATATTTTACCCTGGGGAGTTGTGTGTGGTTGGTCCGAGTGGTGACAAGTCAGAGGCACGATGGTGCCCCACAAACTTGACTAACGGACCTATCGCCACCCTGGGGTGGTGGAGGGGGGGGGGGAGTGGGGAATTAATGGGAAGAACTGTTCCCAGTCCGTATCCCAAAATTTGATTGACAAACCTACCACGGCTGCCACTTTAATCATAGTTTTTTTTGTAGTCACCATGTTATTACATACCAAAATAATAATAATAAAAAAAAAAAATAATAATAATACTTGCGTCATCCGTTGCTGAAAAGTAGCAGAAACTGAAAGGAAAATTTACAATAATAAAAAAAAAACATCATTAGGGGTTGAACACACGACCCTCCGATTCTAAGGCGGACGTGATACCAACAACACTATGCTACCGCCTGACGCATAGGCTGTGTAAATGATAATAATGAGTGCTGTGCGCAGACTATCAATAATGTGTCTAATTTTGTAATCTACCGCCGCCTGCATGAGCACTGTTGTCTGAGAAATGTTTGAGATTCTAAACAATAGTAAAAATATGTTCCTCGACTTTATTTCACGGGAGTTTTTAGCAAACAGTCTTTGCTCAAGTACTCTATTTTGAGTTTCTTTGTTCTAAGCATTAGCAGACAGACAGAAGAAAAAAAGTTCGTCCGAATCTGTGTGTCCATCGGGAAAGAAGAGAATTTATAGTGACTGAACTGTTTGAATTTACAGTAGCTGAAATACAGATAGAGCTGGAGTCATCAAAATTATGCACTGCTGGTATCAAATCATCGATTCATCAAGATAACTGATCAATTTATTGCCTTTTTGATGGCGCTTCATTGTCGCTGCTCTCTGATTCCGATGATGAGGACGTCGGACAGGCAAACAGCTTTTTCTTGGACGCGCCGGTTTGAGCCGGCGATACTGATGGCCTAGTCAAATCTTTTTGTTCACTGTCAGAAGTACACATTTCAAAGTCATCTTCGCTATCACTTCTTGACAGAAACTCTATCAATTCTTTATCAACTTTAACAAGTTTTCTTGCCATTTTGTACCAAGTGTAGAATAATCCACAATCCAAAGATGGGGTTAGCAGCGTACGGGAAATCGGGAAAAGACGTCCATAGCAGCGAAAGGGTTAATTGTTCTATTTTTTAAAAGTGGATGCTTGTCATGTTGAATTGTTCTGTGTATGGATAGTTGTCATATTAATTGTTCTATGTGTGAAAGTGGATGCTTGTTATGTTGAATTGTTCTGTGTAGGGATAGTTTTCATGTTGAATTATTCTGTTATGGTGATAGTTTTCATGTTGAATTCTTCTATTAGTGGATACTTGTCATGTTGAATTGCTCTGTGTTGGGATAGTTTTTATAATTAATTATTTTATGAGTAAATACTTGTCATGTTGATTTGTTCTTTGAATGGATACTTATAATTTTGTTCCATGTGTTTGTGTACCCACTCCCAAAGCTGTAAGTTTTGCAGCTGTATTTAACATAGCTCTTTGCCGCCACAGAGGAGCGACTGAATGTGGTAGAAGCCATGTTGGCCGACAGTGACCTTCGACAGACACTACATGATGATCAGCTGAGGAAGTTGCCAGATTTCCACCGGCTTGCCAAGAAGTTTCAGAGAAAGAAAGCAGGTTTGCAGGTCAGGCCTTGGTTGTTATTTGTACTGTCTTATAGAATTATTACAATCACAAGAACTCTGGCTCACTATAACAGTAACTTTTACATATCATACTATCACACCAACTGTTACAGCCACCAGTACTATCACACCGACTGTTATAGCCACCAGAACTATCACACCAACTGTTACAGCCATCAGTACTATCATACTGACTGTTACAGCCACCAGTACTATCCCACCAACTGTTACAGCCACCAGTACTATCCCACCAACTGTTACAGCCACCAGTACTATCACATTAACTGTTACAGCCACCAGTACTATCACACCAACTGTTACAGCCACCAGTACTATCCCACCAACTGTTACAGCCACCAATACTAACTGTTACAGCCACCAATACTAACTGTTACAGCCACCAGTACTATCACACCAACTGTGACAGCCACCAGTACTATCACACCAACTGTTACAGCCATTAGTACTATCACACCAACTGTTAAAGCCACCAGTACTATCACACCAACTGTTACAGCCACCAGTACTATCGCACCTACTCTTACAGCCACCAGTACTATCACACCAACTGTTACAGCCACCAGTACTATCACACCTACTCTTACAGCCACCAGTACTATCACACCAACTGTTACAGCCACCAGTACTATCACACCAACTGTTACAGCCACCAATACTAACTGTTACAGCCACCAGTACTATCACACCAACTGTGACAGCCACCAGTACTATCATACCAACTTTTACAGCCACCAGTACTATCACACCAACTGTTAGAGCCACCGGTACTATCACACCAACTGTGACAGCCACCAGTACTATCACACCAACTGTTACAGCCACCAGTACTATCACACCAACTGTTAAAGCCACCAGTACTATCACACCAACTGTGACAGCCACCAGTACTATCACATTAACTGTTACAGCCACCAGTACTATCACACCTACTGTTAAAGCCACCAGTACTAACACACCAACTGTTACAGCCACCAGTACTATCACACCAACTGTTAAAGCCACCAGTACTATCCCACCAACTGTGACAGCCACCAGTACTATCACACCAACTGTGACAGCCACCAGTACTATCACACCAACTGTTACAGCCACCGGTACTATCACACCAACTGTTACAGCCACAGGTACTATCACACCAACTGTTAGAGCCACCGGTACTATAACACCAACTGTTACAGCCACCGGTACTATCACACCAACTGTTACAGCCACCGGTACTATCACACCAACTGTACCACAGGTACTGTATCAAAATTTACAATCAGCAGTACTTTTATATTGAACCATTAGTACTCCTTTGTCTATATTACTTCAGGACTGCTACACTTTTGTCTGTGTTACTTCAGGTCCGCTATAGTTTTGTCTGTGTTACTTCACACTGCTAAAAGTATGTCTCTATTACTTCAGGTCTGCTACAATTGTGTCTGTATTACTTTATGTCTGCTACAGTTATGTCTGAATTATGCCAAGACTGCTACAATTTTGTCTGTATTACTCCAGGACTGCTACAAAGTTTACCAAGCTCTAGATAAAATGCCTCACTTGCTGGAGTCCCTGGAGAAGCACCAGGGGCAACACAGTGCTCTTCTGAAGGAGTTATTTTGTAACCCGGTAAAGGTAGGCACAATTGTGAAATTATGTGCTGTTATAATCGCTGCAGCAAGTTAATACATTTGAGGGTGTTATGGACAGATTGTTAGATGAAGAATATGCTGGGGGTGTTAGAGAGAGACTGTCAGATAACAATTTTACTGGGGGGGGGGGGGGGGGTGTTATAGACAGATTGTCAGATGAAGAAAATACTGGAGGGGGTAGGAGGTTGGAGACCAGTTTTCAGATGAATAAAATACTTGGGGATGTTAGAGATTAATTTTCAGATGAAGAAAATAATGGAGGTTGTCAGAGACCGACTGTTGAAGAAAATACTGGAGAGTGTTAGAGATTAATTTTCAGTTGAAGAAAATACTGGAGGGTGTTAGAGACTGATTATCAGTTAAAGAAAATACTGGGGATTGCTAGAGATTGATTTTCAGTTGAAGAAAATACTCGGGGATGTTAGAGACCGATTGTCAGTTGAAGAAAATACTTGGGGAGGGGGGGGTGGAGGGGGAGTGAGGGGGGGGATGGGGGGGGGGGGGGGTGGGAGGGGGGGGTGGGTGGGGGGGGGGGGGGGGGGTGGGGGGGGGGGGTCGAAGGAGGGGGGGGGGGAGTCAGGGGGGTGAGGGGGGGGGGGGGGGGGGGGGGGGGGGGGGGGGATTGGGGGGGAAAGGTGGGGGGGGCGAGGGAGGGGGGGGGGGGGGGGGGTTGAGACGATTGTTGAAGGGGGGGGGGGGGGGGGGGGGGGGGGGGGGGGGGGGGGGCGGGAAGGGGGGGGGAGGCAGAGATGGATTGTTTAGATGAAGAAAATACTTAGGGCTGCTAGAGACTGATTGTCAGATAAAGAAAATTCTTGGGGATTGTTAGAAATCATTTGTCAGATCAAATGAAGAAGATATGGGGGGGGGGGGAGGGGGGGGTGTGGGGTGGGGGGGGGGGGGGGGGGGGGGAGATCTGAGATGTTGACATCACGGACTAAAATGGAAGTTGAGTGCCTTAGATATATATTAACAAATGAAGAAAATACTTGATGGTTTGACTCGAGTTACGAACACTGGGTGATCAGAGGAAGAGTCTTCTTCTATTGATAGTAGTAATCAGTTTTATATTAGCTATTACCTTTACTTCCCAGGATTTTACCTGGTACCCATTTAACCCTTTCGCTGCTATGAACGTCTTTTCCCGATTTCCCGTACGCTGCTACGCCCGTCTTTGGACGTTATTTTTTTTCTTGACCCCCAGTGCTATGGACGTCCTAAGCCGTTTTTGGACTTTTCTTACAGATTTCTGTTACCTCGTATTTTATTGGCTGAAGGGCAATATACATTAGCTATATTTAGATTAAACTGACTCATTTACATATGATTAAAAGCACTGGCACATACTTTTAGGTGTGTTTAAGGCGTGTTTACTGTATTTTGCGTTATCCCGCTGCTTTGTTTACCGTGACAGCGTGGTCGGTGATCTGTGTATTTTGTGCCCTGATATATATTTGTGCTTTTGGATTATTCTACACTTGGTACAAAATGGCAAGAAAACTTGTTAAAGTTGATGAAGAATTGATGGAGTTTTTCTGTCAAAAAACTGATAGCGAAGATGACTTTGAAATGTGTACTTCTGACAGTGAACAAGAAGATTTGACTAGGCCATCAGTATCGAACTGCGAAACCGGCGTGTACCAAAAAAAGCTGTTTGCCTGTCGCGACGTCCTCATCGTCGGAAATCAAAAGAGCCAGCGACCAATGAAGTGCCATCAAATCGGCAATAAATTGATCAGTTATCTTGATGAACCGATGATTTGAAACCAGTAGTGCATGATTATGATGACTCCAGCTCTATCTGTATTTTCTGCTACTGTAAATTCAAACAGTTCATAAGTCACCTAAATTTCTCGTCTTTCCCGATGGGACAGACACAGATTCGGCATAAAACTCAAGCCATTTTTTTTTCTGTCTGTCTGCTGGACTGCTTAGAACAACAGAAACTCAACATAGAGTACCTTGAGGCATAAACTGATCCGTGATTTGAAAAAAAAAATAATGTCCGATGGGACATATTTTTACTTTTGTTGAGAATCTCAAACAGTTTCTCTAACAGACATGTCTTTTCCGATAGACAGGAACAGATTCGGACGAACTAAGGCTGTCTGCGATGCTTAGAACTACCAAATAGAGTACTTAGACACTCAGTACAATATTGATACATATTTTTACTATGTGGCGAATCTCCAAAACATTCACTTATGATCAGTTTACATGCAGCGCAATGCTCAAACGGTAGCATTATTGTCTAGATTGCGTGGTATTCAGGCATGGTATTTACACAGCGACAATTTGCCTTAGAATCGGAGGGTCGTGTGTTCACGTTCAACCCTAAAAGTTTTTGTTTGACCCCATAAATATTTTAAATCTTTTACATAATTGTAAATTTCCTTTGAGTTCCTTGCTACTTTTCAGCAACGGACGACTTGAGTATTATTATAAAAATTTTTTTTAAAATTTATTTTGGTATGTAATCACATGGTGACTACAAGTAGAAAAATATGATTAAAGTTGCGCAGCCGTGGTAGGTTCGTCAATCAAATTTTAGAGATACGGGACTGGGAACAGTTCCTCCCATTAATTTCCCCCCCCCCCACCCCGAAGGTGATAGCTCCGTTAGTCAAGTTTGTGGGGCACCATTGTGCCTCTGATTTGTCACCACTCGGACCAACCACACAACTCCCCAGGGTAAAAATTTTTTAGGTGTACAAAACATAGCCCTCACTGCGGACGCATCTTTTGCGTTTAGAGGATAGAAAAGTATTGCGCACAGCAGAGACTTTTTTTCCACATTGCTTAGCACAGGGAGGACAACTTTTTCCGGTAACGTAGCAGCGAAAGGGTTAAGGATTGGTTAATCTAGAAGACAGGGTCATTTTTGAAAGAAAAAAAACCAGACTCCATCTTAACCTAAACCCACAACTTTGTATCCACAGGCAAGTGTCTAGCCACTACACTACCACGGCTAACAGAATGGTTATATTGCTTGTTATTAAATTGTTGTTATTAGATTTTATGAAATGACTGTATTCTCTGTTATAAATTTGTTTTGTGTTGTAAAATAGCTGCATTAAATTGTTCTAATATTTTGTAAAATAGTTGTATTAGTTATTATAAAATGGTAGTGTTTGTTGTAAAATGGTACTGGATGTTGGTAAACTGGTACTGGATGTTGGTAAAATGGTACTGGATGTTGGTAAACTGGTACTGGATGTTGGTAAACTGGTACTGGATGTTGGTAAACTGGTACTGGATGTTGGTAAACTGGTACTGGATGTTGGTAAAATGGTACTGTATGTTGGTAAATTGGTACTGGATGTTGGTAAATTGGTACTGGATGTTTGTAAACTGTGTGTTTATTTTCAGGAACTTCTAGTGGACTTCAGCAAGTTTCAGGAAATGGTGGAGACAACTGTAGACCTGGCACAGGTGAACAACCACGAGTTTGTCATCAGGGCAGACTTTGATGACAATCTCACAGGTATGTCATTGATCTGAGGCTCCATGTCTAATAGTTTCATCTCCCCAATTTCATGTGTGATGTTTCATCTAACAGATCTCATATCCAAGGTTTCATATCATGTCTGATGTTTCATATCATGTCTGATCTTACTTTTCTTATTTATTATGTTTTATCTCCCAGATCTCATGTGTGATGGTTTATCTCATGTCTCATGTGTCATCTCACATATCTCATGTGTCATCTTACATGTCTCATGTGTCATCTCACATGTCTCATGTGTCATCTCACTTATCTCATCCCGGATGTATGAACTCACATATCTCTGGTCTGATGTTTCATCTCACATGTGATGTTTCATCTCGCATGTCATATATGATGTTTTTGTCTGATGTTTCATCTTACAAATCTCATGTGTGGTCATCAGGTAATCACAGATTCAACTTCACGGCAAATAGCTCACCCCATAGCTACTTGTCTCCTGTGCCAACACTCACCACATAGAATGTTCATCATCATTTATTGGAAAAGTTGGCTCTGACTGCAGTCTCAGCATATCCAATAGGATACACATGCATAAAATGTATAAGGCAGCCATTAGCATTGCTAACACAAACAGTCTGACACTAGAAATGCAGTTCATTCTTGATGAAAACGGCAGTTACAAGAGATCAGTAGTTGCTGACCTGATGAATCATGCAAGGCTCCACCAGTTCTGTTGCAGCAGGCCTCTTGACATTTTTCTGAACTTACAGGTCACAACACAGACCACATTGGTCACAGCTGAAAAACATTCTAAATGAAATTTGCACTCACAGTGTCGTGCCATGCATTCAGTTCCTGTATGGTATTTCATCTCATATCTAATGCTTCATGTCTAAAGTTTCATCTCACATATCTCATGTCTGATAATACTTTCATGTCTGATGTTTCATTTCACCTATCCCATGTGTGATGTTTCATGTCCTATGTTTTATGTGACATGTGACTGTGTCTCTTTAACTACATGTGACTGTGTCCACAGCTATCTCTGTAACTACATATGACTGTACCTATAACTACATGTGACTGTGACTACATGTGTCTGTAACTACATGTGACGGTGAATACATATGACTTTCTCTGTAGCTTCATATGACTGTCTTAAACTACATGTGACTGACTGCATGTGACGGTGTCTCTATAACTACATGTGGCTGTGACTGCATATGACTGACTATATGTTACTGTCTCTATAACTACATATGACTGTCTCTATAACTACACATGACTGACTACGTGTGACTGTGACTATAAGTGACTGTGTCTATAACTACTTGTGACTGTGACTCTCTCTCTCACAGAACTGAGACAGCGTATTGATGAGCTGGAGGAGAACATCAAGGCCCAGTTAAACCAGGTATGGCATCCTGTCTTGTGTAGCCAGACTGTTGTGTAAGACAGGTATGTTAGGTAAGTCACATTGTTTTGGGTAAGACAGGTGTGTTGGGTAAGCCAGATGTGTGACTATTCTAGTCGGGTTGTGACGGGTAAGACAGATTGTGACTGCAATAATACCTCCCGAACCTGTACTGGATTCAGCATAACAGCAATGATACAACTGCCAGTTATGACAAGATCAGGTCCACTGAATTTTGGAGGTTATGAACAGCGGACCAACATCATGGCACACGGGTAGGAACCCATAAAGTGCTCCGTTCTTCATCCAACTCAAGCCTGAGTCCGAAGAAGCTCAGCACAGTGCACAGGCTCTGTAGCACCGGCGAGGATCCTGAAATACTTTGGGTAGATTTTTAACTCAAAATTTTGCCTGGGCAGCGCCATTAGGCTACTCTTTTCGATTTCCAGCTGCCAAGGGATTTGTTAGTGAGCAACAGCACACACGGGCGTCTGATTTCACTATCCAGAGACCAGGTGGAATTACTAAAAGTCCAAGTCCACGTGACAAAATCCCAGCCCTTACTGGGGATTAAAGCATTTAAAGAGCCTCTAGCACTCGAGGCGGACACCATGCCTCTGGAACAGGCAGCCCCCAGTTACACTGAGTTTGACGCTCTACTGTCTTCACAGGTCACATTTCTAGCCATTTGTAGTGCATTTTACAAGACAGAGTCATCATGGGCAAAAAGACAAAAATATCCACAAGAAATCCACTGTTAACTGGAAGAGTTAAAGCTGTTAACACTACTCATTATCTACATCTTCATAAAGATAGTTCACATTCTTTGAGCATGTTATCAGAAGGGGGTAAAATGGGGTGCTTCTTGCAAAATGGGAAGGTTGGAGAAGAGAGCTAGAGGAAGAGTTAGAGATATGTTGGACATTTTTGGGGCATCATGGAATGGACAGACATCTGTACCAACAATGATTGAAATTACGGGGATATGGTTATCAAAGCCACAGGGAATGAAATTTAAGAGGAAGAAGCCATTTTGTGAACTGACAGCCATGGTCCTGGAAATAGTAACCATGTTGCCTCTCCATGGGGGCTGAATCCGGAACTATCTTGTGTACAGAATAGTGTAGTTGCTCTACTTTCATCAGCTCCTTTGTTTTATATTTATATATATATATATCAATGTGGCAGGTCAAGTAGGCTGTTAAATGTACCTAACCTTTGAAGTGGACTATATTCTGTAATGTATATAACTTGTGATGTCGGCTCTGTGGCTAAGTCGATGCAAATGCTTCATAATGCCGGGTTCGATCCCAGCTGCAGGCCATGCGCCTCGCGTTGGTTTCGACAGTGGTATTAAGAAAGCCGACCGTCCAGAAAGCAGTGGCAAACTACTGGACATAAATTTGCCTAGAAAAACCACACAACAGCCAGGGGCTGTTGGGGTTGGTTCTGCAACGTCCTGTAAAGGATACACAACTAACCTATATAACTTGTGAAGTGCACTGTGTTATACAGTATTTAACTTTTGAAGTGAATGTTGAATTAAGAATCTACATCACAGCACTCAGGACACTCTGATTAGTGCTCAATCCCCATCTTCAGCAGCAAGCGAAGAGTTCCAATTCCGATGGCACCAGTAACCGTCTGATTGTATATCTGTCTCATCCTTCCCCTGAGTGTTGAGCATCGGCCAGATCCCCTGGTAACTCCTCACAGCGCCATTCTCCTTAGACTAATAATCTCTGTGTGTCGCTGCACTGTTTTTGAAGTGAACTATGTCCTATACCTAACTTGGGAGTAAAATACACTGTAACTTGTGAAGTGTGTGTAGAATGTGAAGCAGATGATATTCTATACTTTTGTGTAACATGTCTGGTGGGTTGTAAAATGTTCTGACACTGTTTAAACTCACTGTAGACATTGTATAATGCCTTGATACACTCAACAGGTAGCAAGGGACCTTGGCCTTGAACCAAACAAAACTTTGAAGTTGGAGAGCAATAGTCAGCTTGGGTATTATTTTAGAGTCACCCGGAAGGTAAACATGTGTTTTACTTAACTTGTATGATCTTTAGTGCTTGTCTTATATTGTTGTTGTTGTTGAATGAAGAATCAACATCACAGCACTCAGGACACTCCAAAAAGTGCTCAGTTACCATCTTCAGCAGCCAGCAAAGAGTTCCAATTCTGATGGTAACAGTAACCATCTCGTGTATATCCATCTCATCCTTTCCCTGAGTGTTGAGTGCTGGACAGGTCCCCTGGTAACTCCTTGCAGCGCATTCTCCTTTGACCGTAATGATCTATCTATGCCTCCTCACTGTTTACTCGCTCCCAAAGAACAGTGCTTGTCTTATAAACCCAGAAATGCACTAGTTAATAAGTTCAGATTTTATTGTTGTATGTGCATGTGTCTCATGTAACACTATCATCTGGAAAACCATAAAGATGCTTGCATGTGTGTCTTATTTTTGTATCTTAAACACAGTCTGAGTCTTCTTTAACTGTTTTTCTTACGTCTAGTATCATGCCACTCAAGGTTTGAATTATGTGTGGTCTCCTGCTACTTGATTCTTTGCTTGTATTCTGATATTTGAAGAGTGCATGCTTTATCTGTCACCTCATGTTACTTGACTTTTTGCTTACAACTGACATTAGAGGGGTGCATGTCTTACTGCCTGTCACCTCATGTTACTTGACTCTTTGCTAACAACTGACATTAGAGGGGTGCATGTCTTACTGCCTGTCACCTCATGTTACTTGACTCTTTGCTAACAACTGACATTAGAGGAGTGCATGTCTTACTGCCTGTCACCTCATGTTACTTAACTGTTTGCTTACAACTGACATCTGACATGAGATGATTGTATTTCTTACCTGCATGTCATCTTATGCTACTTGCCTCTTTGCTTACATCTGACATTAGATGATTGTATTCGTATGTGCATATTGTATCCTGTTACTTGACATTGCTTACATCTGACATTAGATTACTGTATTTCATATGTGCATGTCTACTGTCACTTGACTCACTGCCTACATGTGACATTGGATGATTGTTTTCTTATGTGTATGTTCTCTCCTGTTACTTGACTCTTTTCTCACATCTTACATCAGATCATTGCCTTTCTCACTTGCATGCGGTTTCCTGTCAGTTGATGCTTCACTAATATTGTCAATCAGCAAGTCCTTTGCAGAGCATCGCTTTCTTCATGGCACACCTAAAAGTATCCCTTTCCCTAGCCAGCTCTTTAGCCCCATGTACTTTCAATGCCAATGCTTCTTCAATGTCCTGTGTCCGTCTTCGCGGTGGTCGACCCCTGCCTCACCTTCCACAAACTGTACCCTCCATTATCGTCTTTCCCAAGCCACCACGACGCTTGATGTGGCCAAAATATTTCAACTTTCGGGACATGATGCTGTTTATGAGCCAGTTCTCCTTGATGTTCAACTCGTTTAGAATGTCTGTTTTTTTTTTTTTTTTTTTTTTTTTTTTTTTTTTTTTTTCATTTACTTGATCCATGGCACTCTAAGAATTTTTCTGTAACATTTCAATTCAAAAGCTCCAATCTTAATAGATGTGTTCTCATCAAATATTAAATGTCTGTGTTCTCAACACATATAAAATGTTTATGTTCTCATCAAATATAATATGTCTGTGTTCTCAACACATATAAAATGTTTATGTTCTCATCAAGTATAAAATATCTATGATCTCACAAATATAAAATGTTTATGTTCTCATCGAGTATAAAATATCTATGATCTCACAAATATAAAATGTTTATGTTCTCATCGAATATAAAATATCTATGATCTCACAAGTATAAGATGTTTATGTTCTCATCGAGTATAAAATATCTATGATCTCACAAATATAAAATGTTTATGTTCTCATCGAATATAAAAAATCTATGATCTCACAAGTATAAGATGTTTATGTTCTCATCGAGTATAAAATATCTATGATCTCACAAATATAAAATGTTTATGTTCTCATCGAATATAAAATATCTATGATCTCACAAGTATAAGATGTTTATGTTCTCATCGAGTATAAAATATATTTATGATCTCACAAATATAAAATGTTCATGTTCTCACCAAATATAAAATGAAGATGCACCTTACACATTGTGATGCATATGTAGATACAATTATGTGTGAACAAACTATGACTGAAGGTATGCTTAGGTGTGAATATGTGTGTGTGTGTGTTTACGTATGCATGAGTTTATGTATTCCTGCAGGAATGTATGTGCGTGGCTGTGGATAAATATGTGTACGGATAAAAGTATATGTGGATGCATATGCATGTACAAATATATGTGTATATATTGTGTATGTCATGTGTATTTTTTGTACACGTTTTTGTGTTTGTACTTTTCTTAGTATTCATATTATAGATATTGTTAAATGAACTTAGCAAACATTATACACACAGTTGCTGTGTGACAGTTGAGTGTTTGTAAGGGCCGAATGTAAGATTGGTCTGTAAGTGAAATGTGTCACGTTTTAAAAAATAAAGATTGTTCATTCATCCTGTTCTGTCTTTCCAGCTTTTATTTAGATACGAGCACACATTTTCGTGAAAGCAACAACAACAACAACAACAACAAAAACTGATCAGTAGGTATAATATAATAATTGGACAATCCATTCTGAGCATGAATTCTTCTAAATTTTTTCTTTTTTTCTTAGGAAGAGAAAGCCTTGCGCAACAATAAAAAGTACCATACCATTGACACAAACAAGAACGGGGTTCGCTTCCACAACAGTGCAGTCAGACAGTACAATGAGGAGTACCAGCGAGCCCGAGAAGAGTACAGCGAGCAGCAGAAGAGTGTGGTTGCCGAGGTCATCAGTATTGCAGGTTGCCATATAGATCTCTAAGATTGTCAGATGTGAATCAGTGGTCAGCCTCTAATTAATTGTGTAGATCAGGGCTATTCAACTGGCAGTATTGTATTAGAATGATCCTTCTATGCTAGGGCCTCTGGCCCACGATGATCCCCATTTTCAAAATGTCGGTCCCTGAGTCAACTTAGTTTGAATAGCCCTGATGTAGATTGTTCACAGAGTCAAGAATATAGTTGTGTTCAAATATAATATGTTTGTGTTCTTATCAAATATAAAAACAAAAACAAAAAACATATATATATATATATATATAAAATTTCTGTATTCTCACTGAAAATGCGCCTTACACTTACTTAGTCTAAATGTATTATGATTTCATATGCAGGTATATATGCATGCCATTGTCCTTAAGAAAGAGAATAGGGGCTCTTGAGCTGAAATGCTATAAAAAGATTCTCAGAGTATCTTGGACAAAGAAGAGGATAAATACTGACATCTTGAAAGATCTGAAAATCAAGGAAGATTGGCTAATAAACAGCATCCTGTCTCAGAATAAATAATAGCTGAAGACATGGTAACAGGAAGGAGGGGCAGGGGCCAACCAAGACGAAGATGGGCACAGGATATAAGTGACTCCTTGAGTATGAATGTACATGAGGCGGGAGAGCTGGCGAGAGACCGAGTTTCTTTCAGGCAGACCGGGATGAAAGCGACGTTCTGCAAAGGACCTGCTACATGATGATGATGATGCATGTCGTTGTGTGTGTTTGAATTATCTGTTTATGTGTGAGTATAACGACATTAAAGATGCATTAGCTGTGAAAGCACACAGGGCTGGAGAGTTGGCTAGAGAAAGAGACTTTCAGCGATGCTCTGTAAAGGTGGAAATGGGATTCATCACAGGCCAGAGCCCCAGCAAAGAAAAAGAATGAATACAATTGGCACTGATCTACTGGTCACGAGCTAGACTCTATGAGCCAAATTTGACCCACGTGGTTGCCAGTTTAGCTCTGTTTTACACCCTTGCCAGCTGTGTTCCTTTCTCCATCATGTTATACCTTGCTATTCATCTTCCTTTCTCCGCTTGATTTCACACCTTACTAGTTGTTTCCTTTGTCCATCATTTGACACCTAGATCAGTAATTTACATTAGTTATGTTGATCAACTGCTGTTTATGTTTATTTACACACAGCCGGTTACGTTGAGCCATTGTGTCTACTCAGTGAGATTTTGGCCCAGCTGGATGTTCTGGTATCTTTCTCAGTTGTGTCGTCTGCTGCACCCATTCCTTACATCCGACCACAGCTCTTTGCTAAAGGTAGGTCACACTGATGTGTTGCTGATCTGTGAAACTGTTTTTTCGACAGGTGAATGTTGTCTGGTTTATAGAGATTTTTATCATGTCAGTAGGTGAATGTTGTCTGGTTTATAGAGACGTTTATCATGCCAGTAAGTAATGGTAAGCGTTGTTCGGTTTATAGAGACCTATATTATGTCAATAGATGTGTGTTGTCTGGTTTATAGATACATTTATCAATAGGTGAGTTTTGACTGTCAGTTTAACATGTCAGTGGGTGAGCGTTATTTGGTTTATAAAGACATTTATCATGTCAGTAAGTGAGTATTGATTGGTTTAAAGAGACATTTATCATGTTAGTAAGTGAGTATTGATTGGTTTAAAGAGACATTTATCATGTTAGTAAGTGAGTATTGATTGGTTTAAAGAGACATTTATCATGTCAGTAAGTGAGTATTGATTGGTTTAAAGAGACATTTATCATGTTAGTAAGTGAGTATTGATTGGTTTAAAGAGACATTTATCATGTTAGTAAGTGAGTATTGATTGGTTTAAAGAGACATTTATCATGTTAGTAAGTGAGTATTGATTGGTTTAAAGAGACATTTATCATGTTAGTAAGTGAGCGTTGACTTGTTTAAAGAAACATTTATCATGTGATTAGGTGAGCATTATTTTGATATATAGAGACATATGTCAACAGGTGACTGCTGTCTGGTTTATAGAGACATATTTATCATGTCAGGATAGTGGTATCTTGTCACCAGAAGAACATTGTCTGATTTATATATTAATTTATCTTTCCCCCAGGAGAACATGTCTGGTTTAATATTTTGATCTGACTGACTGACTTTCCACCCCACCATTACACCACACAAGTGACAAACACCCGATGACACAAAGTGCCACCATGTGGATGTGGATCGCCGTGGAGAGGTCCCAGAAACCGCGTTCAGACAATTGGCCATGGCCTGCCTATATTGCGGCCCCTGGCAAAAACCAGGGTGGGGCCTCAAAAAACAAAAAATTTCATCCTCAAAAAGACAAAACTGGATTATGTTGATCTTGACATCAGAAGAGTTTATGTTGTTCAGTTTATATGAACTGTTGATCTTATCATCAGAAGAGTAGGTGTTGTCTAGTTTATGTAAACTGTTGGATCTTGTCACCAGGGAGTTTTTGTTGTCTAGTTGTCACCAGGAGAGTTTGTATTGTCTAGTTTTTATAACCTGTTGATCTTGTCATCAGGAGAGAAGGTGTTGTCTAGCTTATATAAACTGTTGACCTTGTCACCAGGAGAGCTGGAACCACACAAATGGTTTGTCACCAGAAGTGCTGGTGTTGTCTGGTTTAAAAAAAAACTGTCGCTCTCATCATCAGGAGAGTAGGTGTTGTCTAGATTATTTACCCTGTTGATCTTGTCACCAGGAGAGCAGGTGTTGTCTAGTTTATATAAACTGTTGATCTTGTCACCAGGAGAGCAGGTGTTGTCTAGGTTATATAAACTGTTGATCTTGTCACCAGGAGAGCGGGTGTTGTCTAGGTTATATAAACTGTTGATCTTGTCACCAGGAGAGCAGGTGTTGTCTAGTTTATATAAACTGTTGATCTTGTCACCAGTAGGGCGGGTGTTGTCTAAGTTATATAAACTGTTGATCTTGTCACCAGGAGAGCAGGTGTTGTCTAGTTTATATAAACTGTTGATCTTGTCACCAGGAGAGCGGGTGTTGTCTAGGTTATATAAACTGTTGATCTTGTCACCAGGAGAGCAGGTGTTGTCTAGTTTATATAAACTGTTGATCTTGTCACCAGGAGAGCGGGTGTTGTCTAGTTTATATAAACTGTTGATCTTGTCACCAGGAGAGCGTGTGTTGTCTAGTTTATATAAACTGTTGATCTTGTCACCAGGAGAGCGGGTGTTGTCTAGTTTATATAAACTGTTGATCTTGTCACCAGGAGAGCGGGTGTTGTCTAGTTTATATAAACTGTTGATCTTGTCTCCAGGAGAGCGGGTGTTGTCTAGTTTATATAAACTGTTGATCTTGTCACCAGGAGAGCGGGTGTTGTCTAGTTTATATAAACTGTTGATCTTGTCACCAGGAGAGCGGGTGTTGTCTAGTTTATACAAACTGTTTATCTTGTCACCAGGAGAGCGGGTGTTACGTTTGCACGATGCTAGGCATCCATGTGTGGAGATGCAGGATGACATTGCCTATATTCCCAATGATGCTGTGTTTGAGAAAGGTTTGTAGTCCTGTAGTTGTATTTGTCACTGTTAGATTGGTATTTACTTATACGTTTCATTGCTTCATATGTCTCTAAAACTCTCTTTTCATCTTTGTGCTGGTAGACCCCTTCTCCTAGAAGATCTGCCTTCGATTCCTATTCTCTCTAAACCTGTAACAGCCATGCCCTTCATTCCTGTTTTCTCCAAGCCTGCCTTTCTTGTTCTGTCTAAATTTGTAGGAGCCAATCCTTCCATTCTTGTTCTCTCCAAACTTGTAGAAGCCATGCCTTTCATTCTTGTCCACTCTAAACTTGTAGGAGCCATGCTTTCCATTCTTGTTTTGTCGAAATGTGTAGGAGCCATGCTTTCCATTCTTATTTTCTCTAAACTTGTAGGAGCCATGCCTTCTATTTCTGTTCTCTGTAAACTTGTAGGAGCCATGCCTTCCATTCTTGTTCTGTCTAAACTTGTAGGAGCCAAGCCTTCCATTCTTGTTCTGTCTAAACTTGTAGGAGCCATGCCTTCCATTCTTGTTCTGTCTAAACTTGTAGGAGCCATGCCTTCTATTTCTGTTCTCTGTAAACTTGTAGGAGCCATGCCTTCCATTCTTATTCTCTCTAAACTTGTAGGAGCCATGCCTTCTATTCTTGTACTGTTTAAACTTGTAGGAGCCATGCCATCTATTTCTGTTCTCTGTAAACTTGTAGGAGCCATGCCTTCTATTTCTGTTCTCTGTAAACTTGTAGGAGCCATGCCTTTTATTTCTGTTCTCTGTAAACTTGTAGGAGCCATGCTTTCCATTCTTATTTTCTCTAAACTTGTAGGAGCCATGCCTTCTATTCTTGTACTGTTTAAACTTGTAGGAGCCATGCCATCTATTTCTGTTCTCTGTAAACTTGTAGGAGCCATGCCTTCTATTTCTGTTCTCTGTAAACTTGTAGGAGCCATGCCTTTTATTTCTGTTCTCTGTAAACTTGTAGGAGCCATGCTTTCCATTCTTATTTTCTCTAAACTTGTAGGAGCCATGCCTTCTATTTCTGTTCTCTGTAAACTTGTAGGAGCCATGCCTTCCATTCTTGTTCTGTCTAAACTTGTAGGAGCCAAGCCTTCCATTCTTGTTCTGTCTAAACTTGTAGGAGCCATGCCTTCCATTCTTGTTCTGTCTAAACTTGTAGGAGCCATGCCTTCTATTTCTGTTCTCTGTAAACTTGTAGGAGCCATGCCTTCCATTCTTATTCTCTCTAAACTTGTAGGAGCCATGCCTTCTATTCTTGTACTGTTTAAACTTGTAGGAGCCATGCCATCTATTTCTGTTCTCTGTAAACTTGTAGGAGCCATGCCTTCTATTTCTGTTCTCTGTAAACTTGTAGGAGCCATGCCTTTTATTTCTGTTCTCTGTAAACTTGTAGGAGCCATGCTTTCCATTCTTGTTCTGTCTAAACTTGTAGGAGCCATGCCTTCCATTCTTGTTCTGTCTAAACTTATAGCAGCCAAGGCTTCCATTCTTATTCTGTCTAAACTTGTAAGAGCCATGCCTTCCATTCTTGTTCTGTCTAAACTTATAGGAGCCATGCCTTCCATTCTTGTTCTGTCTAAATTTGTAGGAGCCATGCCTTCCATTCTTGTCCACTCTAAACTTGTAGGAGCCATGCTTTCCATTCTTGTTTTGTCTAAATGTGTAGGAGCCATGCTTTCCATTCTTATTTTCTCTAAACTTGTAGGAGCCCAGCCTTCTATTTCTGTTCTCTGTAAACTTGTAGGAGCCATGCCTTCCATTCTTGTTCTGTCTAAACTTGTAGGAGCCATGCCTTCCATTCTTGTTCTGTTTAAACTTGTAGGAGCCATGCCTTCTATTTCTGTTCTCTGTAAACTTGTAGGAGCCATGCCTTCCATTCTTATTCTCTCTAAACTTGTAGGAGCCATGCCTTCTATTCTTGTACTGTTTAAACTTGTAGGAGCCATGCCATCTATTTCTGTTCTCTGTAAACTTGTAGGAGCCATGCCTTCTATTTCTGTTCTCTGTAAATTTGTAGGAGCCATGCCTTTTATTTCTGTTCTCTGTAAACTTGTAGGAGCCATGCTTTCCATTCTTGTTCTGTCTAAACTTGTAGGAGCCATGCCTTCCATTCTTGTTCTGTCTAAACTTATAGCAGCCAAGGCTTCCATTCTTATTCTGTCTAAACTTGTAGGAGCCATGCCTTCCATTCTTGTTCTGTCTAAACTTATAGGAGCCATGCCTTCCATTCTTGTTCTGTCTAAATTTGTAGGAGCCATGCCTTCCATTCTTGTTCTGTCTAAACTTGTAGGAGCCATGCATTCCATTCTTGTTCTCTCTAAACTTGTAGGAGCCACGCCTTCCATTCTTGTACTGTCTAAACTTGTAGCAGTCAAGCCTTCCATTCTTGTTCTGTCTAAACTTGTAGCAGCTAAGCCTTTCATTCTTGTTCTGTCTAAACTTGTAGGAGCCCTGCCTTCCATTCCTTTTCTCTTTAAATTTGTAGGAGCCAAGCTTTCCATTCTTTTTTTCTGTCTAATTTTTAGCAGCCATTTATATACCCTAAGAAAAAAAAGGCCATCCAGTCTATCAGAAGTAAACAGGATCTGGCCAGAGATGATTACCACTTACTTCATCGACATGGACAGTGTAATAGTCTGAATGACTCCAGCCATCCAGATAAAGTAACCTCATATGGAGTTGTAACTGTAGTCTCAGTGCACCACAGTGAACATCATTGAAAGCCTCTTTGTCATCCAGGCTTTTGAATTTGCTGCATAATCAACACACAATTTTTCAATACATTTTTTTTAAAATATACCGACTACAAGTAGTGGCAATTTTTCAGAACCATCCATGTTTGTACGCACAAAACTTTTCAGTCTTTCTCTTACTTCTCCCCTCCATGATACTTTTGGTTTCTGAAGAAAACAGTCTTCTCAGGCAGTAGTCTCCAATACAATCCAGTTTCATCAGTTTTAAACACTTTGGTGGAATTATTCCTACTCATATCTGCTTTTAGCACCTCAGTCCATGACATGGTAGTCTTTCTAATGATTTCAAAGATTTGTAAATAATGTTGTACCATTTTTTGGTAACAACCCAACCAGTTAGGACCAACCTTCCAGAAGTGCTAACACCTTAAGCATGTCAGATTGTACAGTAGGGACATGTTTATTCATTCAGCAAATTCTAAGATTCCGCTCAACCGGTCATTTTTGTTGTTGTTACAAAGATAAGAAAAGTTTTGTGGCTGTGGATAAACACATTGGTCTTCACAACAGAAATTCACTACATCAGAGATCACCCTAAGTGGTATACAGTGTATGTTGTAGAAAACTTGATGTGTTGTAGACAACCATACATTCAGGATGTTGTGTTGTCATATTTCAGATAACCAGATGTTCCACATCATTACAGGCCCCAACATGGGAGGTAAATCGACCTACATCCGCTCGGTAAGTTTCAACTACCAGCTGCCATAATTTCTCTCTGGCTCCATTTTGTTGATAGAATAGTTTATTCTTCAGGAGGTAGTTGTTTGTTGATGTTAATTAGTTTATTAATTGAGTTTGCTGGATGAATGTGCAGCAGAGAATGGTGTGATGGAAGAACTAGCAGCAGAGAGTGGTATGATGGAAGGACTTGCAGCAGAGAATGGTGTGATGGAAGAACTAGCAGCAGAGAATGGTGTGATGGAAGCACTCCCAGCAAAGAGTGGTGTGATGGAAGCACTCCCAGCAAAGAATGGTGTGATGGAAGGACTAGCAGCAGAGAGTGGTATGATGGAAGGACTTGCAGCAGAGAATGGTGTGATGGAAGGACTAGCAGCAGAGAGTGGTATGATAGAAGGACTTGCAGCAGAGAATGGTGTGATGGAAGAACTAGCAGCAGAGAGTGGTATGATGGAAGGACTTGCAGCAGAGAATGGTGTGATGGAAGGACTAGCAGCAGAGAATGGTGTGATGGAAGAACTAGCAGCAGAGAGTGGTATGATGGAAGGACTTGCAGCAGAGAGTGGTATGATGGAAGGACTTGCAGCAGAGAATGGTGTGATGGAAGAACTAGCAGCAGATAGTGGTAAGATGGAAGAACTAGCAGCAGAGAATGGTATGATGGAAGAACTAGCAGCAGAGAATGGTATGATGGAAGAACTAGCAGCAGAGAATGGTGTGATGGAAGAACTAGCAGCAGAGAGTGGTGTGATGGAAGGACTAGCAGCAGAGAGTGGTGTGATGGAAGGACTAGCAGCAGAGAATGGTGTGATGGAAGAACTAGCAGCAGAGAATGGTGTGATGGAAGAACTAGCAGCAGAGAGTGGTATGATGGATTGACTTGCAGCAGAGAATGGTATGATGGAAGAACTAGCAGCAGAGAGTGGTATGATGGATTGACTTGCAGCAGAGAATTGTTTGATGAAAAGAATGGTGTGATGGAAGCGCTCCCAGCAAAGAATGGTGTGATGGAAGGACTTGCAGCAGAGAATGGTGTGATGGAAGGACTTGCACCAGTGAATCTTTTGATGAAAAGAATGGTGTGATGGAAGCACTCCCAGCAAAGAATGGTATGATGGAAGCACTCCCAGCAAAGAATGGTGTGATGGAAGGACTTGCAGCAAAGAATGGTGTGATGGAAGCACTCGCAGCAAAGAATGGTGTGATGGAAGCACTCGCAGCAAAGAATGGTGTGATGGAAGGACTTGCACCAGTGAATCTTTTGATGAAAAGAATTGCAGCAAAGAATGGTGTGATGGAAGGACTTGCACAAGAGAATGGTGTGATGGAGGGACATATAGTGTGGTGGGATGGAAGGACATGTAGAGAAGGGTGCATATGGGCCAGATTTTGTCATCATGAGGACCACACACGACAATTAAATGGAGTCACTTAGTTCAAATTATTGCAGAATATTCTCTTTGTGCAGTCAGCAGCTATGCTTGCAAAAAACTGCATACAGCCTATGGGCCGCCTGTTTGACATGCCTAACACTTGCCTGCTGGCATCATAAATGAATAAACCTGATAACTTCCCCTGCTGGCATGATAAATGTATAAACCTGATAACTTCCCCTACTGACATAATAAAAGAATAAACCTGATAACTTGCCCTACTGACATAATAAATGTATAAACCTGATAACTTCCCCTGCTGGCATAATAAATGTATGAACCTGATAACTTCTCCTGCTGGCATGTTAAATTTATAAACCTGATAACTTCCCCTACTGACATAATAAATGTATAAACCTGATAACTTGCCCTACTGACATAATAAATGAATAAACCTGATAACTTGCCCTTCTGACATAGTAAATGTATAAACCTGATAACTTCCCCTACTGACATAATAAATGAATAAACCTGATAACTTCCCCTACTGACATTATAAATGAATAAACCTGATAACTTCCCCTACTGACATAATAAATGTTTAAACCTGATAACTTCCCCTACTGGCATGATAAATGTTTATATAAATAGATAGCATTCAAATGATCACCTCTGTTAACCAGATAGCATTTATATGATCACCGCACTAAGTCATTATGTATTTCATTTGCCAGATTGGTGTCTGCGTGTTGATGGCCCAGATTGGATGTTTTGTGCCATGTTCCAAAGCAGACGTAACTATTGTAGATTGTATTCTGGCACGAGTGGGGGCAGGTGACTACCAGCTCAAGGGTGTGTCAACTTTCATGGCAGAAATGTTGGAAACAGCCTCTATTCTTAGGGTAAGGGTAACAATGATTGTAATTTTGTTGTTGTGGGTATCCAGACATCAGTGACCATGAATGTAATTGGTTTGCTTGATTTTTTACCTGCTGTTTGATTTTTGTCTATATTATTTGAATGTATGCCTTCTTTTTTATTCCTGTTGTACATTGTTGGTTTGCTCGGAGCCACTGTGTTGCAGCAGCTAGACGCTTGTCTGTGGATCTAAAAGTGGGTTCGAATCCGGAGCTGGACTTTTAAAGAAAAATGACCTTGGCTCTCACTCAACCCCACTTTGAGTGAGTACCAAGTAAAGGTGGCCGACGTAATAATTGACTACATCACCTGTCAAGTGCAGAATAGTCTATAAAATATAGGTGTAGCACTCACTATATGCCCAGTGAGTCTGAAGGTATGAAAAAGGGCCCTTTGTTTAATGTGGTTTGTCTTGTACAGTTTTTCAATATGATGTTTGCTATTTGGTTTGCGTTATACATTGTTTGATTTGATGTGTGCTGTTTGGTATGTGTTATACATTGTTTAATTTGATGTTTGCTATTTGGTTTGTGTTATACATTGCTTGATGTAGTGTCTGTCTAAGACAGGTATTGTTTCCTTCAGAGTGCCACAGCCGACTCGCTGATTATTGTTGATGAGTTAGGGAGAGGAACTTCAACGTACGACGGGTTTGGTCTGGCCTGGGCCATTTCAGAGTAAGTTATGGCTATGTCTGATAAACAAATTGTTCTCTACTGATTGGCACTCATAGATGCAGAGGAAAGAAGTAGAGATAGAAACGCACACAACCCATCTTTCAAACTCAGGCCTTTCAACATTCTTCTGTATCCACTCAACATTCTTCTCTGTCTTTCTGTGATATTCTCAACATTCTTTTCTGTCTGCAATATTTTCAACATTCTTCTCTGTCTTTCTGTGATATTCTCAACATTCTTTTCTGTCTGCAATATTTTCAACATTCTTCTTTGCTCAACATAGTTCTCCATACATTCAAGAGTTTTCTCTCCACACTCAGCATTTTTCTTGCTCCACTCAGCACTCTTCTCCATCTGATATTCTCAGCATTATTCTCCGTTGACTGAACATTCTTTTCCGTTAACTCAACATTTTGCTCTATCCACTCAGCATTCTGCTGTGTCCACTTGCCATTTTCTTTTACCACTTACTATGCTTCTCTTTTCACTCAACATTCTTCTCTGTCCCTCAACATTCTTTTGTCCATTCAACATTCTTCTCTGGCCCCTCAACATTCCTTTCAGTTCATTCAAAATTCTCCTCTGTCACTAAACGGTCTTTGAACCTGTGATATTCTCAATGTTCTTTTCTGTCACCTGAACTTTGTCCCATCAACATTCTTTTGTCCATTCAGCATTCTTGTCTGTCCATTTAACATTATTCTCGGTCCAATTAACATTCTTCTCACTCCATGTAACATTCTTCTCCCTCCATGTAACATTCTTCTCTGTCCATTTAACATTATTCTCTGTCCATTTAATATTCTTATCCCTCTATGTAACATACTTCTTTGTCCCTTTAACATTCTTCTCCTTCCATGTAACATTCTTCTTTGTACATTTAATATTCTCCCTCCATGTAACATTCTTCTCTGTCCATTTAACATTCTTCTGCCTGCATGTAACATTCTTCTTTGTCTTTTTAATATTCTTCTCCCTCCATGTAACATTCTTCTTTGTCCTTTTAACATTCTTCTCCCTCCATGTAACAATCTTCTTTGTCCGTTTAACATTCTTCTCTGTCCATGTAGCATTCTTCTTTGTCCATGTAACATTCTTCTTTGTCCGTTTAACATTCTTCTCTGTCCATGTAGCATTCTTCTTTGTCCATGTAACATTCTTCTCTGTCCATGTAGCATTCTTCTTTGTCCATGTAACATTCTTCTTTGTCCGTTTAATATCTCCCTCTATGTAACATTCTTCTCTGTCCCTTTAACATTCTTTTCCCTCCATGTAACATTCTTCTCTGTCCATTTAACATTCTTCTCCCTCCATGAAACATTCTTCTTTGTCCCTTTAACATTCTTTTCTGTCTGCTAAGTGTTCTTTTCAGTCCACTGTATATTCTTTTCCATTCACTCCACATTCTTCTCTGTCCACACAGCATTCTTCTCTGTCCACACAGCATTCTTTGCTGTCCCCTCAGCATTTTTTTCTCTGCCTGCAATATTCTCAGCATTTTTCTCCATCCACTTCTTTGCTGCCCACCCAACATTCCTCTTCATGCATGCATATGTGTGTAATTTTACATGCAACACAGAAGTTCTGTGTAATGTGACATGTAACACTGTATTTTTCTGTACTGTGGCATGAAACACTGTATTTCTCTGTACTGTGACATGTAACACTGTATTTATCTGTACTGTGACATGTAACACTGTATTTCTCTATACTGTGACATGTAACACTGTATTTCTCTGTGCTGTGACATGTAACAATTTAGTTCTCTGTGCAGTCAGAATGTAAGAAAAGTTCTCTTCAGACAGGTAACACTATTTCTGTGTAGTGTGACATGTTACACTGTAGTTCTGTGTAATGTGACATATAGTACTGTAGTTCTCCGTAATGTGACATGTAGCCCTGCAGTTCTCTGTAATGTGATATATAGCGCTGCAGTTCTCTGTAATGTGATATATAGCACTGTAGTTCTCTGTAATGTGGTATGAAACACCAGTTCTGTGTAATGTGACATGTAGTACTGAAATTCTCTGTAGTGTGACGAGTAGCCCTATAGTTCTCTGTAATGTGATATATACCACTGTAGTTCTCTGTAATGTGACAAGTAGCACTGTCGTTATCTGTAGTGTGACATGTACCATGAGTTTAATGTTGTATTTCACATAATGATTTTTCCTGTTAATTTATATATTGTATGTCTCTAACCTGATTTCAAATGTTGGAGGGTTGTTAACACTTAGTTATCTGGCACTATGTTATTTTTTCCACAGACACATTGCCACAAAGATTCAAAGCTTTTGCCTGTTTGCCACACACTTCCATGAGCTGACAGCTCTGGCTGACGAAGTGTCAATTGTCAAAAACATTCATGTCACAGCCTTGACCTCCAATGATACACTGACTTTGCTGTACAAGGTCAAACCTGGTATGACTTTCAGTAATATAGTTTTTTTTTTTTTTTTAGTGGATGCATATTTCTGGTAGAGTCTCTACCTTATAGTTTTTTTTGGGTTTGTTTTTCTTCAGTTTTTAAGTGTTAAAATTCTGTAACTTTTGATTTTGTCGGTAGAGTCCGCAACTTAGTTGTTATTTATGTAACTAGTATATACACCCAGACATTTGTTCATGTGTCCGCTATAAATATACTGACATCCATTCATGTATCCAGTATAAACACACAGACATCTATTCATGTATCTAGTATAAACACACAGACATCCATTCATGTATCTAGTATAAGCTAGGGCTGTACCAAATATTCGCTTCATATTCGCTTCGGCGCCGTATATTGGACCTATTGACTATTCGGTTCTGGGCCAAATAGTTGCGGTCGGGCCGAATATGAATAGTAGTTACCTTATACCTGCTTCTGCATACATGGCCTTAATACTGACAACATGGGACGATTGGTTTTGTTGAAAGCTAATGCATTTATTCATGTATCTGGTATAAACACACAGACAGACAGTCATTCATTTATGCATCCAGTATAAACACACAGACATTCATTCATGTGTCCGGTATAAACACACATTCATTCATGTGTCCGGTATAAACACACAGACATTCATTCATGTATCCAGCAGCATGGCAGCAGAGGCCATGGCTGTGTTAAAGGCCCTAGAATGGCTGCAAACTCTGGGATTCCCCAATTTATGTTTGGTCAGCTACTCAACGAGCATGCTACAGAAGATCCAGGCAGGGTACTTAGGGAAACAGTGGCTCCATCTGATACAGCACGAAGTGTTTCGCAAATCATTTTCATTTTTGTCTTAAGGCATGCTGGTGTGAAAGGCAAAGAGAGAGCAGACGCTCTAGCAGACTTTCAGAAATGAACCCTCAGTGGGGTGGAGAGACATCATCAATGCCATGCAGGAGACTGAACGCTCTGAGGCTTTCAGTTCCGTAGAGAATGATTTTTTTACTGAATAGACTGTATATTATGGGTGTACCAGTTGGAGCTGCGAGACAGGAAAACCTTGCCGGAGCCACCTGTCGTTACATTAACCAGAACAGAATAGAAGTTGTTAGCCTAAAAACACTTGGAGACATACTCAGGAGAAGATTGGAGCACTTATAGACATCTGCAATGAAGATTATCTTAAAAATAAACAAAGTATCCATTAGAAACACACAGACATTCATCTATCTGGTATAAACACACAGCCATTCATTCATCTATCTGGTATAAACACACAGACATTCATCTATCTGGTATAAACACACAGACATTCATTCATCTATCTGGTATAAACACACAGACATTCATTCATCTATCTGGTATAAACACACAGACATTCATTCATCTATCTGGTATAAACACACAGACATTCATCTATCTGGTATAAACACACAGACATTCATTCATCTATCTGGTATAAACACACAGACATTCATCTATCTGGTATAAACACACAGACATTCATCTATCTGGTATAAACACACAGACATTCATATGTCTAGTATAAACACACAGACATTCATTTATCTGGTATACACAGACATTCATTCATCTGTCTTGTATAAACACACAGACATTCATTCATCTGTCTAGTATAAACACACAGACATTCATTCATCTGTCTAGTATAAACACAGACATTCATTCATCTGTCTAGTATAAACACAGACATTCATTCATCAGTCTAGTATAAACACACAGACATTCATTCATCTGTCTAGTATAAACACACAGACATTCATCTATCTGGTATACACAGACATTCATTCATCTATCTGGTATACACAGACATTCATTCATCTATCTGGTATAAACACACAGACATTCATCTATCTGGTATACACAGACATTCATTCATCTGTCTAGTATAAACACACAGACATTCATCTATCTGGTATTCACAGACATTCATTCATCTGTCTAGTATAAACACACAGACATTCATTCATCTGTCTAGTATAAACACACAGACATTCATTCATCTGTCTAGTATAAACACACAGACATTCATTCATCTGTCTAGTATAAACACACAGACATTCATCTATCTGGTATAAACACACAGGCATTCATTCATCTGTCTAGTATAAACACACACACAGATTCATTCATCTGAATAGTAAAAACATCCAGACATTGATTCATTTGTCTAGTATAAACACACAGACATTCATCTATCTGGTATAAACATACAGACATTCATTCATCTGCCTAGTATAAACACACAGACAATCATTTATCTGTCTAGTATAAACACACAGACATTCATTTATCTGTCTAGTATAAACACACAGATATCCTTTCATGTATCCAGTATAAACACACATACATCCATTGGTGTATATCCATTATAAACACACAGACATCCATTCGTGTATTCAGTATACACACACACACACACACTCCTTGTGTGGGTTCCAGACCCACTGCCTACCCAAAATCATTTTGTAAGAGTTGACTAATTGGAAGCTTTCTACTAAGTTGGACTGCATCTGCCTGAGGGGTAAGGAACCAACAGTCTGCATACAAATAATCAGAGATTTAAATCAGATGTACACTCAACACTTAGGTTCGGAACAGGACTAGAGTCCAGAAGTGGATGAACCACCAGAACTTTCCACTGGAATTTACAGCCGGTGAATGCAAAAACAAAAACAAAAAGAAGAAGAAGAAGAAACACAATAATCCATGTTTCTGCTGATGCTTTCTCTGTTTTGCTGACTGTTTCCGTCTCAGCAAACACTCCTAGACAGCATTCCACTGATCAGTGATTATCCAATAATATGTGGTTATCCATTGATGCTGATGTGTGATTATTTATTGATATGTGATTATTCATTGATATTTGGTTATCTATTGATCTGTGATTATCTATTGATATGTGATTATCTATTGATATTTGATTATCTATTGATATGTGATTATCTGTTGAACTGTGATTATCTGTTGATCTGTGATTATCTGTTGATTTGTGATTATCTTTTGATATGTGATTATCTGTTGAACTGTGGGTATCCACTGATCTGTAATTGCATCTTGTTACTATAGGAGTCTGTGACCAGAGTTTTGGAATTCATGTTGCGGAGCTGGCTCATTTTCCCAAGCGTGTTCTGGAGGTAAACTTGAGGCCTCAGTCATGTATGGTGTGCGTGGGCATAAGCTCACATTTACCTGTGCTTACATTAGGGTTTGATTTGCTGGTTGTACCACCAGGCATTGGTAACCATGCGGCTGAGACTGCAGTTGGTAATGGATGTGATATATTTATATACTTAGATTGTATTTAATTTGTTTGCTTGTGTAGGTTCTCAGTACATCCTAACAAGATGGACTAATGCATTAATGTTATGTAGATCAACGCATCTGTACATGACTGAATGGAAGCCGTCGTGGTTTAACAGCTAAATACTCGCCTGTGGGTTCAATGGTGTATTGATTCAGGTCCTGACGGAGCTGGGTGTTTTTAGAAAATGACCTTGGCTGCCAGATCGACACAGCCTTAAATGGCTTCCAGGTAAAGGCATGGGAAGTCAAGGCAGCCGGTGTGATGTTGACATCACCCACCCAGTGCTGATTGGTCTAAAAATGTAGGTCTAGCCCCAAATGCCTATATGCATGGAGAAGTGTCCATTTACACAATAGATTAGCCCGGCTCTCTAGCGAAGTTGGTTAAACCTGACTTTCGCGGCGGCCGGGTGACGAACTCCTTGTGGTCCGGGTTCACTCCCGGGGGTAGGCAGAAAAGCCACATTTCTCCCAGATTAACAGTACCTATAATGGAATCAAGGCCGAAGGGTTGCGATATCCATAGTACCGAGCCAAAGGGTTTACAACTCATGGTTTCTGGATACGTAAAAAAAAAAAAAAAAAACACACAATAGATTAATGCATCCTTACATGAAAGATTTATTCATCCTTAAAAGATAGATTTGTTCATCCTTAGATGATAACATTAACACATCCTTACAGTGTATATCAACACACCTTACATGATAAGATTAATGCATCCTTACAATGTAGACCAACACATACTTAATGATAAGATTAACACACCCTTACAATATAGATCAGCACATCCTTACATGATAGATTAACGCATCCTTACAGTATAGATTACCACATCTTTACATGATAGATTAACGCATCCTTACAGTATAGATCAACATATCCTTACCTGATTGATTTATGCATTCTTACATGATAGATTAACGCATCCTTACAATATAGATCAACATATCCTTACCTGATTGATTTATGCATTCTTACATGATAGATTAACGCATCCTTACAATATAGATCAACATATCCTTACCTGATTGATTTATGCATTCTTACATGATAGATTAACGCATCCTTACATGACTGATTAACACATCCTTCTGTGATAGATAACTGCATCCTTGCAAGGTAGATTAACACATTATTACAAGATTGCTTCAAGCATCCTCATAAGACTGGTAAACTCTCAAGTCTGTTGACGTACACCCCCCCCCCCCCCACACACACACACACACACGCACAGAGAGAGAGAGAGAGGCTTCATTCCTAAGAGTTTCTGTACTGTATAGTTTTAGCCATGTCTCAAGCATCTCCCAAGACTATTGGTGATACCCCCCCCCCTCCCCCACCCCCCATTCCCCTTTTTACTTGTGTGTAGTCATTGCCTCCATGAATACGTGGTATCAAGTAATCCTGTGAGAATGCTGGCCTGTGAGAACACTCACATCTAATCCATGTTTTGTTGTTCCCCTCTGTCTCACAGGCGGCTAGGGCTAAAGCTAACCAGCTAGAAGATTTTCACGTGGTGGGTGTAGAGGGTACCGCACTTGAGGATGGTGATGAGCCTGCTGTGAAAAGAAGGAGGCTGGCTAAACTGGTAAGTACACAATTACACAAAGAAAGAGAAATTTTTGGTCTACAAGACTTTTCAAGAGAATCATCAGATGAAGTATAAATTGTGAGACTTGGCTTAAAGAGGAAATCAGACAAACTATCTACCTGCTGAAGATTAGGAAAGTTGCTGATACAACTGATATCCCATCATAAGTTATGAAGGCATGTGAACAGAATTTCTACACAAATTAATATGATAAAGTGGATGTAATGAAGGCTCTATTGGATCAAATGGATTGTGCAAAAAGAACGGATAGGGAATCCATATACTCAAACATTAATTCAACTGGGGATGAGTAGAGGCTCTGAAAGACATTCAGCATTAAAGGGGAAACAGAGATGGACTTTTAATCAGGTTGCAGCTGTTTTTGTTAGCATGTCAGCTGTTCGTTGGCTACTGAAGAAGGGGGCGGAGTGCGTGTGGGACTGTCCTGAGTGCAGTGATGTCAGTTCATTCATTCATTCTACACAAATGATTCAGCTGGAGACTCAAGCAATACAAGTAGACTTGAGAAAAGGATACCTGGTGAAACTGCCATGCCCTGGCCTGAATTTGCAGAATAACCGTATTTATTTAGATCTTAGAACAATATTAAGCTAGATCATTGTGAAGATATGCATTGACAACTAGTTAGTTATGAACAGACAGGCCTCCCACTTGCATTGAGCAGGGTGGTGAAATGATACACGACAAGGCAGATGTGGTCAAGGCCCTTTGGGAACACGCAACGGAATCAGTAGAGAAAGAAGATTATTATAGATTGGAGAGAATGGGGCACCTGGGTGTAACCAGAGGGTCTGGCCGGCCTACTACACTCAGAGGAAAGGCAAAATGGACTTTTAGCTAGATTGTGACCAATGCCATCAGTATTGGAACTCTGCGCTGGCTGCTGAAGATAAGGATGGAGCATGCATGGGAATGCCCCGAGTACTGTGATGTCAAGTCTTGACTCAACTCAACTCAATTAAGCAGGTAGCCATATTACATATAAACAAAGAGTAAAGCATGGAAATGAATTAGCCATTTCATACTGGATTTCGGAACCATGAAAAAAAACCATGGATAATCTTGACAGGGAATCTCGTTGAACCTTGTTAAAGCACTGAAAAGGGCCATTCATTTTCCTAATGTGAAATCTCTGGGGCACTGAAATCTCAAACAGTTAAGCCATTAATTTAATCTTGGCAGTGCATAGAATATGGAATTTTTCCTGATGAATATCTAACGAATACATTTGAAGCAAAGAACAGGTTTTGCAGGGATGCCAATTGACACCTTGATAATTCTGACTGATTATAGATTGAATGATAACGACAACCATACCAGTCCGTTGAAGTTGTTTTTATTGGGCTGATAGAGCAGTTCACTTAATATATTTTCAGTCTTACTAATATTATTTTTGTTGTTGTGAGAATTAAAATAATTTCATTGCTTTTTGTGTGTGGTTTTTTTGAGTGATATATAATATTAATTCCTATTGGCGATCCATGTGATGTAAATAAAGTCCTTTTGACTGTTTATGCAGTATATGTTTATAATTTCCATTGACCATTCATGTTATGAAAATAAATTCCTCTTGGCTTTTGTGTGTGTGCAGTATCTGTTAATTCACAATGATGGTTTTCTCCTGACATTTTCAGGAAGGGGAAACAATCATTGAAGACTTCCTAGCCATGGCTAAACGTCTGCCACAAGATGGCGTGTCCCCAGACCAACTGCTGGCAGAGGTCAACAAGCTGAAAGCTCAAGTCATTGACAAAGACAATGCTTACATCAAAGATCTGCTAGCAAAACATCACCAGACTTCAGCTTAAATGTTTCCATTCTTTCTGTTGTCTGTTTTGTTGTTTCTAGTATATGGTCACGAGTTACATGTTATTCATTTAACTCTTTCGATCGCATAAGGTTTTGAACAAAAATAACTTTTTTTAAATTAAATATTGTCACGAAAATTCTTACCACTTGTTATGTTGTAATTATGAAAAACGAATGACAGATACCTCTGTGGTTGCCAGATTTATTTAGTATACACTGACCGGAATTTAAATATAAGAAGACACTTTATATGATGTTTGAGACATGTATGGAATATTGGATAAAACACCATGCGTTAACTGGGGTTTTGATAGTCAAAGCAGGGGTTCCCCCGTTTTATAGTCAAAGCAGTGGTTCCCACGTTTGATAGTCAAAGCAGTGGTTCCCACGTTTGATAGTCAAAGCAGTGGTTCCCACTTTTTATAGTCAAAGCAGTGGTTCCCACGTTTTATAGTCAAAGCAGGGGTTCCCACGTTTTATAGTCAAAGCAGGGGTTCCCACGTTTGATAGTCAAAGCAGTGGTTCCCACGTTTAATAGTCAAAGCAGTGGTTCCCACGTTTTATAGTCAAAGCAGTGGTTCCCACGTTTGATAGTCAAAGCAGTGGTTCCCACGTTTGATAGTCAAAGCAGTGGTTCCCACTTTTTATAGTCAAAGCAGTGGTTCCCACGTTTTATAGTCAAAGCAGGGGTTCCCACGTTTTATAGTCAAAGCAGGGGTTCCCACGTTTGATAGTCAAAGCAGTGGTTCCCACGTTTAATAGTCAAAGCAGTGGTTCCCACGTTTAATAGTCAAAGCAGTGGTTCCCACGTTTTATAGTCAAAAGCAGTGGTTCCCACGTTTTATAGTCAATGCAGTGGTTCCCACGTTTTATGGTCAAAGCAGTGGCTCCCACGTTTTATAGTCAAAAGCAGTGGTTCCCACGTTTTATAGTCAAAGCAGTGGTTCCCACGTTTTATAGTCGAAGCAGTGGTTCCCACGTTTTATAGACAAAGCAGTGGTTCCCACGTTTGATAGTCAAAGCAGTGGTTTCCACATTTGATAGTCAAAGCAGTGGTTCCCACCTTTTCCATCAAAATTTGACTGAATTTTAAATGCAGGTTCGTTATTTTTACACTCCTTTTTTGGGTCAAAATTTGTTGAAAGAAGGAAAACCTAAGAAGTTCTTGGATTCACTTTATCGTTTCCATAATTCAGCACCCCCCCCCCCCCCCCCCCCCCCCCCCCCCCCCCCCCCCCCCCCCCATGAAAGCTGTAATGACATCACATGATACAATAATGTCGGCATTCTTTCCTTGACATTTTCTGATCGAGTTATTTAAAGCTTCAGAAAAATCTGCAAGCTATGCCAGTGAAAAGATAGATGAGTTTACAATAAATGCATAATACAAATAATCTTTTTTGAACATCTATCCTATAAAAGGTCAGGTCGGGAGATGTGAACATCTATCTTGTAAAAGGGCAAGTTGGGAGATGTGAACATCTATCCTGTAAAAGGTCAATTCGGGAGATATGAACATCTATCTTGTAAAAGGTCAAGTTGGGAGATGTGAACATCTATCTTGTAAAAGGTAAATTTGGGAGATGTGAACATCTTTCCTGTAAAAGGTGAAGCTGGGAGATGTGAACATCTATCCTGTGCTTCACAATAACTGTCAGAAAGAAACATTATGGATAATTTTTCACAACTTGCGTTACCCAAGACAAACCTTGGAGCTAATAAATTGCAAGGTTTTAAAAGCCTTTCTCCATTTTTATGGGCATCTAAGTTTTCATTATTAGTAAGGCCATTTCATATAATTCTTTAATAGCCTTTTCTTGTTGTTGACCGAAAGCACCTATTGAATAACATTTTATCTGCTTTAGGGAATTTAGTTTCTTCTTCTTCTTCTTCTTCTTCCTCTTCTTCTTCAGCATTCCGAGCCTTTAAGGTTCATTGCGGATATCACTCGCCTCCATTCATCTCTCTGGTTGACCTTCTCTTTCCATTTGGTGACACCTAAATGTGTGCAGGTCTGTCTGGATTTTATCTTTTCACACAGTTTATTTATTAACTTTGGATGTTAATGTATGTATGCCTCTTCAAAAGTACAGGTCTTATTGCATCATAACTAAGAACACAGTGGCAGACAACATGCTGAGGTTGTTTGCTTGGCTCTTGCTGTCTTAACACCATAAAACTAAACTTAGTATAGTCTTTTGTGTATAATTGTTTCTTTGGCACAGACATTTTTATTATTTTTCTGTCACTAAAATAGAAGCACACTAAATAGTTCAACACAGTTTTCCAAAAATAACATAACAAAATTTTATGGTGAATGAATAAAATGTTTTCATGAAAAATGTTGAATAAGCATTTACAATATCAGTCATGTTAGAAATAGAAAGTATATACATTCCAAAAAATAACATTACCAAATTGTATGGCAAAATGAATAAAATGTTTACATGAACAATTTTGAATGAGCATTTACTATCAGTCACGTCCGAAATAGAAAGTATACATACATTCCAACAATTACATAACTAAATTTTATGGTGAATGAATAAAATGTCTACATGAAAAATGTTGAATAAGCATTTACAATCAGTCACGTTAGAAATAGAAAGTATACATACATAAAAAATAACATTACCAAATTGTATGGCAAAATGAATAAAATGTTTACATGAACAATTTTGAATGAGCACATACTATCAGTCACGTCCGAAATAGAAAGTATGCTTATCTTTTGGTCAGAATATGACCTTAATCTAGAATAAAATGCTCATATTATCGTATTAATTAGATTCTGTATATGTCCATGGCTCCACTTGACCAGCGGCTATTTAAATTGGACTGGAGATGGCGATAGCCCTCTGCTTCCCTTGGCTGTCTGAAGTCTGTCTATCTGCTGGGCCAGGTGAATAGTGTTGTCATCAAATTTACGTGCCACATTATTAATGCGACTGTCAAGCACTCTCTCCATCTGAATCCGCTCCGAGTCCATTCTGGACAAGATCTGTAACTTGGCCTCATCCAAGAAATGAGTGTAGCGGTCACTCTGTGAAATCATTCATGGCAACTGTGAGACATGTGAGGTGTAACACTGTTGGGGATTTTTACAATGGCATGGGAGTTTATCAACCCTAATAGTGGCTTGTGTGTTCGCACACAAGTCATTTCACTATGGTGGCTTTTATTTGCACACACAAAAAACATAACCCTAATTTTGGCATTCATGATTTGAACAGTGTAACACTAGTGGTGACTTTTATGTGCACACACAAATAATATTATTAGTGGCTTTTATGTGCACCTACTGGACATAAATTTGCCTAGAAAATCCACAACAGCCGAAAAAATGCTGGTGTTGGTTCTGAAATGTCTTTTAAAGGATACGCAGCTAACTTTTTTTTTTATGTGCACACAAGTTATAACCCTAATGGTGGCTTTTTTGTGCACACACAAGTCATACCATGAATGGTGGCTTTTGTGTGAACAGCATGTTATGTAACACCAGTGGTGGTTTTTATATGCACATAAGTCATAACCCTGATGGTGGCTTTTGTGTGAACACATGTACAGATAGGTGACTAACTTGTGTACAGGAAGGCTGTTCTGGTCTGTTTTTGTTTTAAGAAGTTGTATGTATGGAATAAAATTGAGAAGTTGTATAGATGGAGTGAGATTTAGGAAGTTGTATGCATGGAGTGAGGTTTGGGAAGTTGTATGTATGGAATGAGATTTGGGAAGTTGAATGCACGGAGTGAGATTTTGAAAGTTGTATGCATGGAGTGAGATTTGGGAAGCTGTATGCATAGAATGAGATTTGGGAAGTTGTATGCATATATTGTGGTTTGGAAAGTTGTATGCATGGAATGAGATTGGGAAGTTGTATGGATGGAGTGAGATTTGGGAAGTTGTATGCATGGAGTGAGATTTGGGAAGTTGTATAGATGGAGTGAGATTTGGGAAGTTGTATGTATGGAATGTATTTGGGAAGTGTGTGCAAACTGACTGAACTTAAGTGTGAGCAATAAAACAACATTTGGGAAGTTGTGTGCATGGAGTGAGATTTGGGAAGTTGTGTGCATGTGTGGTAAAATTTGGGAATTGTGTGCAAACTCACTGAACTTAAGTGTGAGCAATAAGACAAGATTTGGGAAGTTGTGCGCATGGAGTGAGATTTGGGGAAATTCTGCAAACTGGTACTGAACTTAAGTGTCAACATTAAGAAAAGATTTTGAAGTACGTTACAGACCTGATAAGGAGAAATCACTAGGAACCCAAAGAATAGTTCTTCTTATCAGAAATTCCTCCTCTCCAGATAAGATTTGAAGCTTATGGTAATGTGTTGTCAACGTACAGTATAATAATAAATTAGCATTAAATACGATAAATGTCTAACACAGAAAATTACCAGAAGATTTACTGTGCAAAGTTGGCATCCATTTCTAGAGAAAGAACTTTAAAATGCAAAAAAAAAAAAAAAAAAAAAAAAAAAAAAAAACAGCTCTCCAGTATCTTAGTGCCCATAGTTAATAAAAACATCAGAAAAAAAATAAAATAAATAAAAGTACACCAGAGGCTTGACCTCCATGTAGAGAAAACAATGGAAACATGTAATGGACCTACCTCATGAGTTTTATGGTCGGCAAACTCTAGAAACTTTTTTAAGTGCTGCTCCTGGGTCTGTCGAACATTGCTGCTATCCTCTCTGACGGTTGCCACCTCTTTTTCTACTCGCACCAGCTTGTTTTGCAGTTCGTCCAGGCGTTTGTCCATTTTCACATTTATTCTCTCGATTTGTCGCCTGAGAATTTCTTCACCAGAGGCTGCCATTAGTGGATGGTAATACAGAAATCTTCTGTTACTGTTTGGTCAGAAACAGTTTGTGCATATGTAGGGTGACTATAAGTCAGGCTTTTGCCAGGACAGTATTGTTGTTTTGTTTTTACACAGACCCAGACTGCCCCGTCGATACTTAATGTCTATTGGGACAATGTAAATTTTTTTTTCTCACTTTTGTATGGATCCGATGGTCTGGGCCTACCTAAAAATAATATGGTCACCCTTTGTTATATGACAAGTTACGGTACAGTGTTGGTGTACGCCAGGTATCAGTACACTGTTGGTGTTAGTGTACGCCAGGTATCAGTACACTGTTGGTGTTAGTGTACGCCAGGTATCAGTACATTGTCAGTGTTTTTGTTTTACAACAGATAACAGTACAGTGTTTGTGGATACAGTAGACAACATGCTAGATGTATCACCATGTAGGGTTCAATAAATAACAAGCTAGATGTATCACCATGTAGGGTTCAATAAATAACAAGCTAGATGTATCACCATGTAGGGTACAATAGATAACGAACTAGATGTATCACAATGTAGGGTACAATAGGTAACAAGCTAGATGTATCACCATGTAGGGTACAATAGATAACAAACTAGACGTATCACCATGTAGGGTACAATAGGTAACAAGCTAGATGTATCACCATGTAGGGTACAATAGGTAACAAGCTAGATGTATCACCATGTAGGGTACAATAGGTAACAAGCTAGATGTATCACAATGTAGGGTACAATAGATAACATGCTAGATGTATCACCATGTAGGGTACAATAGATAACATGCTAGATGTATCACAATGTAGGGTACAATAGATAATGAACTACATGTATCACAATGTAGGATACAATAGATAACATGCTAGATGTATCACAATGTAGGGTACAATAGATAACATGCTAGATGTATCACAATGTAGGGTACAATAGATAACATGCTAGATGTATCACAATGTAGGGTACAATAGATAACATGCTAGATGTATCACAATGTAGGGTACAATAGATAACATGCTAGATGTATCACCATGTAGGGTACAATAGATAACATGCTAGATGTATCACAATGTAGGGTACAATAGATAACAAGCTAGATGTATCACAATGTAGGGTACAATAGATAACATGCTAGATGTATCACAATGTAGGGTACAATAGATAACATGCTAGATGTATCACAATGTAGGGTACAATAGATAATGAACTAGATGTATCACAATGTAGGATACAATAGATAACAAGCTAGATGTATCACAATGTAGGGTACAATAGATAACATGCTAGATGTATCACAATGTAGGGTACAATAGATAATGAACTAGATGTATCACAATGTAGGATACAATAGATAACAAACTAGATGTATCACAATGTAGGATACAATAGATAACAAGCTAGATGTATCACAATGTAGGGTACAATAGATAACAAGCTAGATGTATCACAATGTAGGGTACAATAGATAATGAACTAGATGTCTCACAATGTAGGATACAATAGGTAACAAGCTAGATGTATCACCATGTAGGGTACAATAGAAAACAAACTAGATGTATCACCATGTAGGGTACAATAGGTTTGTTTTAGTATCCAGAAGCCATGAGTTGTTAACCCTTAGGCTCGGTATTATGGATATCGCAACCTTTCGGCCTTGATTCCATTGTAAATACCGTCAATCTGGGAGAAAATGTGGCTTTCCTGCCTACCCCCGGGATTGAACCCGGACCACAAGGAGTACGTCACACGGTCTCCGCGAAATCCGGTTTAGCCAATTCCGCTAGAGAGCCGGGCGGTACAATAGGTAACAAGCTAGATGTATCATCATGTAGGGTACAATAGGTAACAAACTAGATGTATCACCATGGAGGGTACAATAGGTAACAAGCTAGATGTATCACCATGTAGGGTACAATAGATAACAAACTAGATGTATCAACATGTAGGGTACAATAGGTAACAAGCTAGATGTATCACCATGTAGGGTACAATAGGTAACAAGCTAGATGTATCACCATGTAGGGTACAATAGGTAACAAACTAGATGTATCACCATGTAGGGTACAATAGGTAACAAGCTAGATGTATCACCATGTAGGGTACAATAGATAACAAACTAGATGTATCACCATGTAGGGTACAATAGGTAACAAGCTAGATGTATCACCATGTAGGGTACAGTAGATACAGATCTATACAGATGGTTCAGTGTTGAGAGGAAAGGGAAGTGCCAGGGGGTTCGTAACGATAGCCAATGGAAAATCTTTAGTGCAAGTCAGCCTAGCATTTGACACCACAACATCTAGCATGAGAATGGAGGTGGAGGCGGTAACTGCAGCTCTCTGGTGGCTAGAGAACAAGATGCATACACATGTCGTAATTGTAAGAGACTGAAAGCATGCTGAAAAAGGTGAAGACAGGGAAGCTTCGAGCAGAGTGGCAAGATTCACTGTAAAGGTCACGGGTAGTGAGCATACTTTTAATATTTTCTCTAGGCTATGCCGGCGTGGTGGGTAATGAACAGGCAGACAGTCTGGCTGGATCTGCACCTCTAGGTGGTGAATTGATACATGACAAGTCAGATGTGATCGAGGTCCTTTAGGAACAAGCAACGAATCAGTAGAAAAAGAAGATTATTATAGCCTGGAGAGAAAGAGGCACCTGGGTGTAACCAGAGGGTCTGGCTGGCTCACTACACTCAGAGGAAAGACGAGAAGGACATTTAACCAGATTGTGATTGTTACCATCAGTATTGGAACTCTACGCTGGCTGCTGAAGATGAGGACGGAGCATGCATAGAAATGCTCCGCGTGCTGTGATGTCAATTCTTGACTCAACAAGCTAGATTTGTCACTGTAGTGTGCAAAAGATGAGACTTTTTGTTCACTTCCCAGAGTTATTCAAGAACAAAACCACAAAACTCACTCTTGTCGCCATCGCCTTCTAATCTCATTCTCTCTATGTGCCGAGCATATCTGCGGATGAGTTGACACATCACATCCTGTAGATGGACACAGTCGGTAAACAGGAAGCATGTTCTGAGATTATGGTATATGTATGTTTGTGTGTGTATATATATATATATATATATATATATATATATATATATATATATATATATATATATATATATATATATATATATATATATATATTTTTTTTTTTTAATAAAAAAGAAATTTATTATAAACTCTTTGAATCCCAGGGAGTTCAGTATCACAGGATCAGGAGGTAGTAAAGAAAGAAATAAAATCGGCTCATCATGCGTTCATTGGGCTTCTAGGTAAGTGAAGTAAAGTAAAGATCCCTTTTCGGCGCATCGGGCATATGGGCAGAGCGTCCCATATTTTTACAGACCATCAGCACTCGGTGGGTAATGTGGTCAGCATTACGCCGGCTGTCTTTACTTTCCCAGGACAGCCCATCCTGGTACCCATTTTAGGCTGGGTCGACCTGCGACGTCCCATACCACGACAAAAATCCACGCAGCCTGCAGTGGGTTTCGATCACGGTATGCTGGCTCACGAGTCGGACTCGCAACGCCTTAGCCACGGACGTAGGAACCTATAAACGAATGATGTGTTCCTTGGGACTCAAAGAGTTGAGAACTACACACAAGCAGCAAAGTCATAGGGTGTGAGGACCACACCGATTGTCATCACTTGAAAGAAAAAGGTGGGGGAGGGGGTGAGGTGACAAAATGGCAAACATATATTTTTGACATTACAAATGAGTGTGTATAGGGGTGACAGGAAATTTTCTGCAGCTGGTACCACCTGACCTTGCTACGCCACCGTGTATGTGGCGGACAAGCCAAAATTATTGCAGTCTACTTATTACCTTCCGCCCTTGACGACTCTCTACGGATGACTGGCTCTGGTCGTCTTCCGACTGTTCAGGTTCAGGGCCGCTGCCTGTCTGTTAGACAAGATACACATGTCAAGAACATAATCTTTCAGGAAAATTATTGATGAAATAAATGGATGGTTTGTACATGAATTATCAACATGAAATCATTGATGGAATAAATTGGATGGTTTATCTGTGAATTATCAACATGAAATCATTGATGGAATAAATTGGATGGTTTATCTGTGAATTATCAACATGAAATCATTGATGGAATAAATTGGATGGTTTATCTGTGAATTATCAACATGAAATCATTGATGGAATAAATTGGATGGTTTATCTGTGAACTATCAACATGAAATCATTGATGGAATAAATTATATGGTTTATCTGTGAACTATCAACATGAAATCATTGATGGAATAAATTAGATGGTTTATCTGTGAACTATTAGCATGAAATCATTGATGGAATAAATTGGATGGTTTATCTGTGAATTATCAACATGAAATCATTGATGGAATAAATTGGTTGGTTTATCTGTGAATTATCAACATGAAATCATTGATGGAATAAATTGGATGGTTTATCTGTGAACTATCAGCATGAAATCAATGATGGAATAAATTGGATGGTTTATCTGTGAACTATCAACATGAAATCATTGATGGAATAAATTGGATGGTTTATCTGTGAACTATCAACATGAAATCATTGATGGAATAAATTGGATGGTTTATCTGTGAACTATCAACATGAAATCATTGATGGAATAAATTGGATGGTTTATCTGGGAACTGTCAACATGAAATCATTGATGGAATAAATTAGATGGTTTATCTGTGTATACATAGACACGGATTCGCGATGGCTTAGAGAAGGGCTGTTGTATATGAGATTAGTAATCTAAGAATTCTTGTGTAGAACATATGGTTCAGTTACAGTATCTATCATAAGAAAACGCATGATTCAGTTGTAGGAGTCCTGAAGGAGAACATATCATTCATTTATACAGTGTCAACGAGAGGGATTGCCAGAATTCTAAACTGTTATTAAAAAAAAAAGAAATAACGTATTTGGTGGCGTATAAGACGCATTTTTATGGTTCTCACAATATGCTTTAAAAATAGGCTGTGTCTTATGCAGTGAACTAAGTCTACATATGTCGTTAATATTTGAATTAAAAAAAAAAATAGTTGACTACACTCCAGTTTTTCGCTGTCCAAGATCCTGGAATGCTTCGCGTTCAAGCGAAAACTATCACTTGTGAGATGCATGGCTGTGGAACCCCATGAATTCTTTGTAGGTAGTATTTCATTTCATTACTCAGCTTTGTTTTTACTGGTAACGTGCCAGAGAGAGAGAGAGAGAGAGAGAGAGAGAGAGAGAGAGAGAGAGAGAGAGAGAGAGAGAGAGAGAGAGAGAGAGAGAGAGAGAGAGAGAGAGAGATGGATCATCACATGATATTGAAAGTCGATTGGTTCTTAAACCCTGAATGCTTTATTGTATCAGTATTTCTTTGTGAGGCATCTAGAACAAGGGCAGCTGAACAGCGAAGGCATGCGAGAAAAAACCTTCAAACAGGCCCTTTGTCTACAGACACTGTGCCCTGCCCTCATTGTCCTAGACTCTTCCGAGTACGTACTGGACATATAAGTCACCTCCGGACTCACAAACATTAAAGAATACACAAGGGCGTCAGGTCTTACTATCCAGAGACCAGGGGAAATGACTAGAAGTCCATGTGAAAAAAAATCCCCGCCTGAACCTGGGGACCTCCAGCACTCGAGGCGGAGTCTCCCTAATGAACAAAAGAAAACGTGGGGGCAGTGCAAATAGATCGGACTTAGAGACTAATGTATCGAAATGGTTACAAGTACATCGGGACAACAACATTGCCACTTCAACAAAAATGACACCCATAAATGCAGTTACGTTAGCCCGTGAGTGTAACGATAGTGGGTTTCAGACGCGATGGGTTCCGGATGCCCATTTTGGAAGGAACGAAAAAAAAAAGGAATAGGCCCACTGACTCCCTAACAGGCATTTCCAATTGCGACTTCTCTGAAGTCAGAGCGCATCTGTTTTAGCCGCAACGGACCAATAGTCTGCATACAAATAAGCCATAATGTAAAACAGATGTGCAAGTTCTGGAACAAGACTAAAGTCCAGAAGTGGACGAACAACCAGAACTCTCCGTCAGAGTTTACAGCCGGTGGACGCTAAGTAATAAAAAGTACCTGTTGATTGAAAACGTATGATTTAAGTATAATGCTTACACATGTGAACACAAAAAAAGCATATATACATATACATACACATATTCTTACTACTGCAGATACAAACACCACAGAACACGCCTTCTGAACGGATAAAAACATTAGACACAAACAGTAGACATAATTTGTCACCTGAACAGTTATAAGCAAGTCACAAACAACAGATAAAACATGTCACCTGAACAGATGCATATCGGAATTTTTTAGCTTCCTCCGTCATCAAGTTCCGTCCACAGAGACACAGGACCAACCGCCACAGGTGGCGTGGGCTGGGGATCATATTGAAGGGCGGTGGCACGGGATTTCCCGGTTCAATGAACGTCAGCCACAGTTCTGTCCTGGCGAACTTCCATTCCACATCCCTCTCGTCCTGAGCAGAGTACCAGCGGTGTGAGTTTGAATCTCAGCAAATAATAGGGAAAGAACAGAGAATACATGCCGTCTGGTGTTGAATCTCAGCAAATAATAGGGATAGAACAGAGAATACATGCCGTCTGGTGTTGAATCTCAGCAAATAATAGGGAGAGAACAGAGAATACAGGCCGTCTGGTGTTGAATCTCAGCAAATAATAGGGATAGAACAGAGAATACAGGCCGTCTGGTGTTGAATCCCAGCAAATAATAGGAAGAGAACAGAGAATTCAGGCCGTCTGATGTTAAATCTCAGCAAATAATAGGGATAGAACAGAGAATACAGACCGTCTGATGTTGAATCTTAGCAAATAATAGGGAGAGAACAGAGAATACAGGCCGTCTGATGTTGAATCTCAGCAAATAATAGGGATAGAACAGAGAATACAGGCCGTCTGATGTTGAATCTCAGCAAATAATAGGGATAGAACAGAGAATACAGGCCGTCTGGTGTTGAATCTCAGCAAATAATAGGGATAGAACAGAGAATACAGGCCGTCTGGTGTTGAATCTCAGCAAATAATAGGGATAGAACAGAGAATACAGGCCGTCTGGTGTTGAATCTCAAAGCGAATGAGTCAAGAAGACATCAACAAGGGGAAGGAGACATTGTCAAGGAGAATGAGATAAGAAGTCTTGACAAGGGTAATGAGACAACAAAAGCACTAACGTGAAGAATGAGGCAAGAAGACAATAGGACGAAGAATGAGGCAAGGAGACATTGATATGGCGAATGAAGCCAGGAAACTATCAAGACGGGGCTAATTAAAAAGAAGGTGACAAGACAGTCAATATGACACAAAGAGAAGTATTCGAGATGATAGAATGGATGACAGAGACAACAAGAAAGAGTTGAAAACACAAACTAGACGACAGGGATACCAAGAAAGCAGATAATATAAGAGAGAGAAAATGTCATAGACCCCAGAAGAGAGGCAAGAAACCGGAAAAGGAAAGAGACAAATTACAAGATTTTTTTTGTTTTTTCAAGGCAGTAAATAGAAAAATAGAAACAAGAAGATTGCCATGGGGATATAGAAAAATGAACGAGAGAGAGAGAGAGAGAGAGAGAGAGAGAGAGAGAGAGAGCGAGAGAATAAAAGAGGAGGGAGGGGGCACTAAGAAGGAAACAAGAGAAAAGACACAGGATGAATGGGATGGAAGATGGATAAGAAGATTGAAGCAGACAAGAAAACGGAGACCAATAAGAAGATGGTGATAGATAGAAGATGGAGTCAGGTACAAAGATGGCGACAGAAAGAAGATGGAGATAGATAAGGAGATGGCGATAGATAATAAGATGACAATAGATAAGGAGATGGAGACAGAAAAGAAAATGAAAGCACATATATAGATATATAGATAGATACATCTAAAAAATTGATATAGATAAGGAGATGGACATAGATAAGAAGATGGAGACAGAAAATATGACGAAGGCGGATACAGAGACGGATACATATAAGAAGATAGAGATAGATAAGAAACATATAAGAAGATACAAAAGAAGATGACGTCAAACATGAAGATGGATACAGATAAAAAGCTGAGGATATATTAGAAAAATGAGACAGATAAGAAGATGGGGACAGATAAGAAGATAGGCCTAAGAAGATTGGGACAGGTGTGTAAAGTTACCTGAACTTCCTGAAACGTGTTGGACATGACGGCGATCAGCAGGTTCAGCAGAACGATTGTGGTACAGAACACGTAGATGCCATACAGGTAACTGCCCACCTGCGCTGCACCTCTAGATCTAAGCAAGAAACGTTTACATAATCAATTATGCTACATCATCTAGCAACTGTTATCCAGCTAGCATCAGCTGGCAATTGTTAGATAGTGACAACGCTCCACTAGAAACTGTTATTTAACTAGCGTCAACTGTCAACAAGCAGTTGTCTGTCAACTAGCAAGACTTCGAATGTCAAACATCAGCTGTCAATCCTAAAGCTACAAGATCCAGGGAGTCTATCCACGTACACCAACGAACCTAACACAATGGGAAAGCACCCAACACTCTAGCAGCAAGTGCCTGGCAGACCTGTTTAGTTAATACTAACAACATTTCACAACTTAACTGGTTATTAGTAGCAGCTACTACAACAACAAATACTATTAAAAAGTGCCAAACGCTCGCAACATACACCAGCGACACTAGCTACATATCGCAGCTACACCATTCCTATATAACAGCTACATTAGCCATAAAAAGCAGCTACACTAGCCACAAAAAGCAGCTCCACTAGCCACATAAAGCAGCTCCACTAGCCACGTATAGCAGCTACACTAGCCACATAAAGCAGCTACACTAGCCACATAAAGCAGCTACACTAGCCACATAAAGCAGCTACACTAGCCACATAAAGCAGCTCCACTAGCCACATAAAGCAGCTACACTAGCCACATAAAGCAGCTCCATTAACCACATAAAGCAGCTACACTAGCCACATAAAGCAGCTACACTAGCCACGTATAGCAGCTACACTAGCCACATAAAGCAGCTACACTAGCCACATAAAGCAGCTACACTAGCCACATAAAGCAGCTCCACTAGCCACATAAAGCAGCTACACTAGCCACGTATAGCAGCTACACTAGCCACATAAAGCAGCTACACTAGCCACGTATAGCAGCTACACTAGCCACATAAAGCAGCTACACTAGCCACATAAAGCAGCTACACTAGCCACGTATAGCAGCTACACTAGCCACGTATAGCAGCTACACTAGCCACGTATAGCAGCTACACTAGCCACATAAAGCAGCTACACTAGCCACATAAAGCAGCTACACTAGCCACATAAAGCAGCTACACTAGCCACATAAAGCAGCTACACTAGCCACATAAAGCAGCTCCACTAGCCACATAAAGCAGCTCCATTAACCACATAAAGCAGCTACACTAGCCACGTATAGCAGCTACACTAGCCACATAAAGCAGCTCCACTAGCCACATAAAGCAGCTACACTAGCCACATAAAGCAGCTCCACTAGCCACATAAAGCAGCTACACTAGCCACGTATAGCAGCTACACTAGCCACGTATAGCAGCTACACTAGCCACATAAAGCAGCTACACTAGCCACATAAAGCAGCTACACTAGCCACATAAAGCAGCTCCACTAGCCACATAAAGCAGCTACACTAGCCACGTATAGCAGCTACACTAGCCACAAAAAGCAGCTACACTAGCCACGTATAGCAGCTACACTAGCCACATAAAGCAGCTACACTAGCCACGTATAGCAACTACACTAGCCACGTATAGCAGCTACACTAGCCACATATAGCAGCTACACTAGCCACATAAAGCAGCTACACTAGCCACGTATAGCAGCTACACTAGCCACATAAAGCAGCTACACTAGCCACATAAAGCAGCTCCACTAGCCACATAAAGCAGCTACACTAGCCACATAAAGCAGCTACACTAGCCACATATAGCATCTACACTAGCCGCATAAAGCAGCTACACTAGCCACATAAAGCAGCTCCACTAGCCACATAAAGCAGCTACACTAGCCACGTATAGCAGCTACACTAGCCACATAAAGCAGCTACACTAGCCACATAAAGCAGCTACACTAGCCACATAAAGCAGCTCCACTAGCCACATAAAGCAGCTACACTAGCCACGTATAGCAGCTACACTAGCCACATAAAGCAGCTCCACTAGCCACATAAAGCAGCTACACTAGCCACATAAAGCAGCTACACTAGCCAAGTATAGCAGCTACACTAGCCACATAAAGCAGCTACACTAGCCACGTATAGCAGCTACACTAGCCACGTATAGCAGCTACACTAGCTACGTATAGCAGCTACACTAGCCACATATAGCAGCTACACTAGCCACATAAAGCAGCTACACTAGCCACATAAAGCAGCTACACTAGCCACATAAAGCAGCTCCACAAGCCACATAAAGCAGCTACACTAGCCACGTATAGCAGCTACACTAGCCACATAAAGCAGCTACACTAGCCACATAAAGCAGCTACACTAGCCACATAAAGCAGCTACACTAGCCACGTATAGCAGCTACACTAGCCACATAAAGCAGCTACACTAGCCACGTATAGCAGCTACACTAGCCACATAAAGCAGCTCCACTAGCCACATAAAGCAGCTACACTAGCCACATAAAGCAGCTACACTAGCCACATAAAGCAGCTACACTAGCCACATAAAGCAGCTCCACTAGCCACGTATAGCAGCTACACTAGCCACGTATAGCAGCTACACTAGCCACATAAAGCAGCTACACTAGCCACGTATAGCAGCTACACTAGCCACATAAAGCAGCTCCACTAGCCACATAAAGCAGCTACACTAGCCACATAAAGCAGCTACACTAGCCACGTATAGCAGCTACACTAGCCACGTATAGCAGCTACACTAGCCACATATAGCAGCTACACTAGCCACATAAAGCAGCTACACTAGCCACATATAGCAGCTACACTAGCCACGTATAGCAGCTACACTAGCCACGTATAGCAGCTACACTAGCCACATAAAGCAGCTACACTAGCCACATATAGCAGCTACACTAGCCACATAAAGCAGCTCCACTAGCCACATAAAGCAGCTACACTAGCCACATAAAGCAGCTCCACTAGCCACATAAAGCAGCTACACTAGCCACGTATAGCAGCTACACTAGCCACATAAAGCAGCTACACTAGCCACGTATAGCAGCTACACTAGCCACATAAAGCAGCTCCACTAGCCACATAAAGCAGCTACACTAGCCACATAAAGCAGCTACACTAGCCACGTATAGCAGCTACACTAGCCACGTATAGCAGCTACACTAGCCACATATAGCAGCTACACTAGCCACATAAAGCAGCTACACTAGCCACATATAGCAGCTACACTAGCCACGTATAGCAGCTACACTAGCCACGTATAGCAGCTACACTAGCCACATAAAGCAGCTACACTAGCCACATATAGCAGCTACACTAGCCACGTATAGCAGCTACACTAGCCACATATAGCAGCTACACTAGCCACGTATAGCAGCTACACTAGCCACGTATAGCAGCTACACTAGCCACATAAAGCAGCTACACTAGCCACATATAGCAGCTACACTAGCCACATAAAGCAGCTACACTAGCCACATAAAGCAGCTACACTAGCCACGTATAGCAGTCGGCCCATGAATCACGCTGACCTTGTCCTTAGAGAGAAAGAAAGTTCCGAGCATTCTGGAAGCAACGTGTCCACATCACTGCTAAGAATACAATAATTTGGAGTAAAGATTGGCAGGTGCCATGACATACAAAGATTAAAAATGAGCCTCTTCGACAACCACACACAGGAATTAAATATTTATTTATAGCAGGTGCCATGACATGCATAGATTAGAAAGGAGCCTTTTCGACAACCACACACAGGGATTACATGTTTATTTATGGCAAGTGCCACGACATTTATAGGAATAAACTCACAGGGAGCAAGTACAGCAGGGATCTACCAGTCATCAGTAGAAATTATCCTCGTCGACACGCGTTTCGGCCTACGATTCCTAGACGCATTCGGAGGTGGGCCCACCTGAGTTTATGAAGCTCAGGGCTGGTTCCCTGCTGCACGGAATTACCGGATGGTGATTTACTTTCGGCCAGAGACAAGACGACTTGGTGGTTTCGTAGAAGGTACTGTGAGATAAGAAGTCGCCGCGGCAGCCTAATTAAAGCAGTCAGCATGCCTGGACGACCGAGCGACAAGCTTACGTTTGGTTTACCCGACACATGTTGGACTTTTATTAGCAGTTGGCAGAGGAACACTGGCAGACAATTCGGACACGATGGACTTTCAAAGGGGTGAGAAACCCTTTTCCACTAGACACCCGGACTAGCTCACCGAGGCCCGTCCCCTATGTTGTTGCGTTGCGTCCAAAGCCAGCTAGAGGCCCTTTCGGCTACCTCTCCCAGTTTTTTGAGTGTTCGCTTCCGTTCATTACCGCGCAATCCTAGTTCTTTAACCACATTGTAGAGCGAAGTGGAAACGAGGCCTCTCGCTCCCACTTAGACGGCAAATACCCGTACTGTGTACGCCTCGTTTCTCCTCAGACCGGCTGCTAGATCACTGTATTTCTCGAGCTTATACATGTGATTCTCCTCCATACGCGACTCAAACGGGACGGTCAACTCAATCAGGATGAGCTGCCGTTTTTGCGCAGAATGGAGAACTGTCCGGTCGCAGGCCGGTCTTCCGGATCAACTCGGGGTACCGTTCATGGCCTGGCAGATCAACCGCCAGTAACCAGTCCCTCGCAGAGTCTAGCACAGATGGAGCGAATGCGTTTTGGTTGACCTTACCTTTTGGAACCTGCTCAGCCTTGAGGAAACGAATGGGGACGATGCTAGAACTGGCCCTTGCGTTGGCCCTCATTCTAGCCTGGTCGACAACGGCTGCTAACTCTTTTATCACCTTGTTGTGTCGCCAGGTGTAACGGCCTTGACCTAGGGCTTTCCTGCACGCGGACAGGACGTGCTCAAGAGTTTGCTTCGATTTACACAACGGGCAAGTCGGATCGTTGGTCGCAGACCATTTAACCATGTTAACACCGGGCGGTAATACATCGTACGCCGAACGAACGATAAAGCTCAGTCGCAGCGGGGTCATTTATAGATTAGAATGGGGTCCCTATGCCCGTGGGGACAGCCAGCCCATGCGTTAAGACAGCCTTGTGAATGAGTAGGGTGTGGTTGGCGACTCACCGATCATCGTTGTTGATCAGTGATGACAAGGGGCCTGACGCATCCTCGTCCAAGGAAGGGTGCCCCACTTCTCCCATGCTGAACATGCTCCAAGTGAGAGTGGACAAAGTTGCTGAGAAGCTGAAACCAGAACTAGATAAGTTATCTTGTAAACATTCACACAGGTGTATTTAAATTTTTTTTTTAATTATTCAGAAACCATGAGTTGTAAACCCTTTGGCTCAGTACTATGGATATCGCAACCCTTCGGCCTTGATTCCATTATAGATACCGCAAATCTAGGGAAAATGTGCCTTTTCTGCCTACCCCCGGGCGTGAACCCGAACTACAAGGAGTTCGTCACCCGGTCGCCGCACAGTCAGGTTTAACCAACTGAGCTGGCGGGCCGGACACACACAGCTGTATGAACATAGCTATAAACACACAGGTAGCTGTATCAACATTACTATAAATACCTATACATGTGTATCAACATAACTATAAACACACAGGTAACTGTATCAACATTACTATAAATACCTATACTTGTGTATCAACATAACTATAAACACACAGGTAAATGTATCAACATTATTATAAATACCTATACATGTGTATCAACATAACTATAAACGCACAGACTAATTAACACACATCCAGCGTTATCAGCCATAAACACGCGGATAGCTGTAAGGACAGACGTATAGACATAGCCCTAACGAACATAGGGATAAATAAACATCTGCACAGATAAACATATAATTATACATCTGTACGGACAGACATAAAAATATACATCTGTACGAAAAGACATATAACTGTATATACAGCTGTACGTAAAGATATTTAAGCATGTACCAATACGCACAGACATAAATTTATCTCTGTATGGACAGACATTGAAATAAAGCTGTACGGACAGACGTGTAAATGTACAAACGTATAAACACACATACAAGTTATGGGCTAACATATAAGCAAACATCTGTTCTGTCGGACATAAAAACATACAGCTGTATGAACAGACATATAAACACACATACAAGATACGGACAGATATATAAGCATACATCTGTTCTGTCAGACGTATAAACATAGAGCTGTATGAACAGACATATACACACACATACAAGATACGGGAAGACATATAAACATACATCTGTTCTGTCAGACATATAAACATACAGCTGTATGAACAGACATATAAACACACATACAAGATATGGACAGACATAAAAACACACATACAAAATATGAACAGAATATAAGCTCGCATACAAGTATGCAGACAGACATATAACCACACACACAAGATATGAACAGACAAATAAACACACATACAAGTTTATGGAAAGACATTTAAACACGCATACAAGATATGAACAGACATTTAAACACACATACAAGTATATGGACAGACATATAAACACACATACAAGTATATGGACAGACATATAAACACACATACAGGTATATGGACAGACATATAAACACATACAAGTATATGGGCAGATATATAAACTCACATACAAGATATAAACAGACATATAAACACCCATACAAGTATATGGACAGACATATAAACACACATACAAGTATATGGACCAACATATAAACACACATACAAGTATATGGACCGACATAAAAACAGACACACAAGTATATGGACAGACATTTAAACACACATACAAGTATATGGACAGACATATAAACACACATACCACACATGAACAGACATATAAACACACGTACAAGATATGGCCAGGCATAAAAACAAGCATACAAGTATATAGACAGACATATAAACACACGTACAAGATATAAACAGACATATAAACACACATACAAGCTTATGGACAGATATATAAACACATAGGCTAATTGAGTGGACTTGGGAACCGACAGTCAGATATTCCCATACATGCACCGTCCTGCGAATACATAGAGACGTATAAACACACAACTGTATGGATAAAAAAAACAACTACCGAGATACGGGACATTTGTAGCCACAGACAGAGACGCGCGAGACATATGTAGGCACAGACAGACAGGACTGTTGTCATCCCAGACAGAATAGGACATTTGCAACCACAGACATGCCATTTATAATCACATACAGACAGGACATTTGGAACAGCAGACAGACAGGACATTTTTAAATCATAAAATGATAGGACATATGGAACTACATTGATACAAGACATCTGTAGCCACAGACAGACTGGACATTAATAACCACAGAGAGGCATGCCATTCATAACCACAGACAAACAGGACATTTGTAACCACAGACAGACAGGACATTTGTAACCACAGACAGACCGAACATATGGAAATATACGGCCTAACCATATCTGTAAGCACAGACATGACATGACATATGAAACTATAGACATCAATAACATATGTAATCGCATATAGCCAGGACATAAGGAACGACAGAGCCCAGTGGCATTTAAAACAGAGGTCGAGTTACGTGATAATGGTACAGAGAGATGTAAGTGAGAGAGGAGAGGGATTGTGATTTAGAAAAGGGTAGAGTTGCAAGATAGAAAATTATGAGTACAGAGAGAAAATATGTTTAGTAAGAAGAGGAATTTTGAAACAGAGAGACGAGGCAAAAAGTCGTTGCAAACTGAACTGTGTGTTAACAATGAAAAGAGGGAAGAATGAGTGCTTTACCTGTTGAAACTTTTCGTGTAGCACCTGCTGGGAGCATAGAGGGCTGCAAGACCGCAGGTGAAGGCGATCATTACCAAGATGAACATACCGAAGATCTTGACAATGTCCGACACAGTTCGTCTGTGGAAGGAGTACTCATTTGATCATCTGGACTTCGGTGCCTTAATACGCACACAGATCAACAGACTGACAGACAGAGAGACAGAACGAATGAACGAACGAACTTTATTTGTAAAGGGTCACACATTTGGTACTCAAGCCCGTCTTACATTCGGCCCTTCCAAAAACCCACTTTTCATTTCTTATCACTAAAACTTGTTATGTTCAAATAACAATATCCATAATATGAATGACAAAAAAAAAAAAAAAAAAAAAAAAAAAAACAGCCTGGATGGTAAAATGCAAGCAAACACACAAACGCATATTATACATGCATTGTCAATGCCCTTAGAGAGAGTACGTTTCGAGGAATTTGGAAGCAACATGTCCACATCGCAGCTGAGAGTACGAGTATTGGGAGTAAAGATCGGCACAGCCAAGCATGAGAAGCACACCGGACGCACACGAAGTCTTGTCAACCAGCAGAGGACTGACACTATTAACCGCGCGACGCAGATGAATATGTTGAGAGCAGAAGCTGACCACCTATGCATGTGTCCGGAATTCTATAAAGATAAGCCAACTTATAACTCATATAACTCACATACATTACATACATACATATTTACATAAATACATAAATTACACACATCTATTCATCCATACATACTTACAAAATTATATAATTACATACATACACATATGCACACACACACACATTCAGACATAGGTACATGCATACATACATTTGTACTACGTACGTACGTACATACATACACACATGCATACTGCACACCGATCTTTCATAATGATACATAGTCTCATATATATCTTTTACATATGTTGTGAACTAAATGCGAAACTGTAATCTTGTGAATATACTCTTCCAGCGGTGTTAACGCTGATGATAATCGGGAGATATGTCTATAAATACTAGGAAGACTACCGTCCAGGGATCTGGATTTCATATGAGGATACACTCTGGCAATTGTAAATGCTGATGGCAGGAGGCCTTTTTTTCAAAAGGCTTTTTAGGTTTATAGTTAGCACTGTGCTGTGATTCTTCAGACTCAGGCTTGAGTTCTAAGTAGAACACAGCACTTATGGGCTACCACCCTTGTGTCATGATGTTGATCTGTTGTTCAAACAGAACAGAAACAGAAGCACCTTGTACACTGGTTAGCTATACACCATAATCAACCCTTAAAACACTGGGTCAGCTGTATCACATAATCATTCAAGCACCTAGTACACTCGTTAGCTATATCACGTAATCATGCATGCACCTTGTACACTGGTTAGCTTTATCACATAATCAAACTTTGTACATTGGGTCAGCAATACTACAACACGGTTTCGTGCACTTTGTACACTGGATCAGCTATATTACACAATCATTGATGCACCTTGTACACTGGGTCAGCTATACTACGATACTGTTGGTGCACTTTGTACACTGGGTCAGCTATACTACAATACCGTTGGTGCACCTTGTACACTGGGTTAGCTATATTACATAATCATTGATGTACCTTGTACACTAGTTATCTACATCACATAATCAAATCGTGTATATTAGGTAGGCTATACTACAATACCGTTGGTGCACCTTGTACACTGGGTTAGCTATATCACATAATCATTGATGTACCTTGTACACTTGTTAGCTATATCACATAATCAAACCGTGTACATTGGGTCCGCTATACTACAATACCGTTGGTGCACTTTGTACACTGGGTCAGCTATATCACACAATCATTCATGCACCTTGTACACTTGTTAGCTATATCACATAATCAAACCGTGTACATTGGGTCCGCTATACTACAATACCGTTGGTGCACTTTGTACACTGGATCAGCTATATCACACAACCATCCATGCACCTTGTACACTTATTAGCTATATCACATAATCAAACCGTGTACATTGGATAAACTCTTGGAAAGGAACTGTTACCTGAAGGAAACCAGCATGGTCCCCAGGGCCTCGTTTGCCGGCATAATGAAAGAGAAGCGACTGACGCTGCAGATGATGCCCAGACTGAACAGAACGTCAGACACCAACTCAGGGTCGGGAACCCAGGATGGGGCCCACGTTACCTGGGCTACAGAGAAACAAAAATCGCTTTCAGAATGATGTCCCCTAACCGCTGTCACCACGAAGTCATTATTCATAAACATTGACCAAAGCACAGGTTAGTTGCGTATCCTTTACAGGACGTTGCAGAACCAACCCTAACAGCCCCTGGCTATTGTGTGTTTTTTTTTAAAGGCAAATTTGCGTCCAGTAGTTTGCCATCTATAGCACAAACTCATTCTAAAACTATCTCCGTCTTAAACTATCTCTGTCTCAAGCTATCTCTGCCTTACATTATCAATGTCTCAAATTATTTCTCTCTGAAACTATCTCTATCTTGAGTCATCTGTGTCTCAAATTATCTCTCTCTGAAACTATCTCTGTCTCGAGTCATCTGTGTCTCAAATTATCCATGTGTGATAATATGGTGCAGATACATGAGAGAATGAAACAATGTGTGGAAGCGGGATAATGATGTTGAGGGACTGATACTGGGCCTATGTGGGGAGGGTGATAAAGGTGTATGAGAGACTGATGCTATGTGTGGTTAATATGTGTGAGAGATTAATGCCATTTGTGGAAATGCGGTAAATATGTGCTAGAGACTGATAATATGTGCAGACTTGTGGCTAGGACGTATGAGAGACATACTATTAAAGATATGTGAAAGACTGATACTATTACAGTTGTGTGAAATACTGATACTATGTGCGGAAGTGTGGTAATGATATGGGAGAGAATGATACCATTTGTGATAGTGTGTTAATGATGTTGGAGAGAATGATATGATGTGCGTAAGTGTGGTAATGGTGTGGGAGAGAATGATACCATTTGTGGAAGTGTGGTAATGATGTGGGAGGGAATTATACCATGTGCGGAAGAGTGGTAATGATGTGGGAGGGAATGATACCATTTGTGGAAGTTTGGTAATGATGTGGAAGAGAATAATACCATGTGCGGAAGTGTGGTAATGATGTGGAAGAGAATGATACCATGTGCGGAAGTTTGGTAATGATGTGGGAGAAAATGATACCATGTGCGGAAGTATTGTAATGATGTGGGAGAAAATGATACATGTGCGGAAGTGTGGTAATGATGTGGACGATAATGATACCATGTGCGGACGTGTTGTAATGATGTGGGAGAAAATGATACCATGTGCGGAAGTGTTGTAATGATGTGGGAGAAAATGATACCATGTGCAGAAGTGTTGTAATGATGTGGGAGAAAATGATACCATGTGCGGAAGTGTTGTAATGATGTGGGAGAAAATGATACCATGTGCGGAAGTGTTGTAATGATGTGGGGGAAAATGATACCATGTGCGGAAGTGTGGTAATGATGTGGGAGAAAATGATACCATGTGCGGAAGTGGGGTAATGATGTGGGAGAAAATGATACCATGTGCGGAAGTGTGGTAATGATGTGGGAGAAAATGATACCATGTGCGGAAGTGTGGTAATGATGTGGGAGAAAATGATACCATGTGCGGAAGTGTGGTAATGATGTGGGAGAAAATGATACCATGTGCGGAAGTGTGGTAATGATGTGAGAGAAAATGATACCATGTGCGGAAGTGTGGTAATGATGTGGGAGATAATGATACCATGTGCGGAAGTGTGGTAATGATGTGGGAGATAATGATACCATGTGCGGAAGTGTGGTAATGATGTGGGAGATAATGATACCATGTGCGGAAGTGTTGTAATGATGTGGGAGATAATGATACCATGTGCGGAAGTGTGGTAATGATGTGGGAGATAATGATACCATGTGCGGAAGTGTGGTAATGATGTGGGAGAAAATGATACCATGTGCGGAAGTGTGATAAACATGCCTGAGAGGCTGATACCATATGAGGAAATGCTAAGTCTGTTAAACATACCAGATATGCGACTCTTGTCAAAGTTGACACAGAAGTCATCAGTGGACAGTTGTGAAGTGTACCGAGACTGGTTGCAGATGGTGTCGCTGTCAGACCATTGGGCCGTCCGTCTGTAGTTAGTCACAGTGGTGGCGCTGTCTGTTCTTTCATCGTCGTCGTGCCCCAACACCTTCCAACGGAGCAAGTGAGAAACATTGAAACACGGTCCAGGACAGACACCGGAATAATTGAATCTATGACTACACACATCAGAAACATTGAAACTGTCAACCCAGAACAAACACTAGAATACTGGAATCTTTGACTACACACATCAAAAACATTGAAACCTTCAACCCAGAACAAACACTAGAATACTGGAATCTATTCTACACACATCAAAAACATTGAAACCTTCAACCCAGAACAAACACTAGAATACTGGAATCTATGACTACACACATCAGAAACATTGAAACTGTCAACCCAGAACAAACACTAGAATACTGGAATCTATGACTACACACATCAAAAACATTGAAACTGTCAACCCAGAACAAACACCAGAATACTGGAATCTGAGTACAAACACGAGAAAATCGAAACTGTCGGCACAGATCCAAACAACAATACTGGAATCTATGAGGGCATATATCACAATTGTTGAAACCGTTGGCTGGTATAAAAACAAAACAGAATACTAGAATCTATGAGTACATGAATTTATGAGTACATGAATCTATGAGTAAATTTATAAAAAAACTCTGAAACTGTTGGCACAGACAAAACACCACCATAATACTGGAATCTATGAGCACACACAAAAGAAACAGTGAAACTGTCAGCACAGAACAAATAACGCAAGAACAATGAAATTTACGAGCACTCACACGAGAAGCCTTAAAACTATCGATCTAGAACAAACAATACCATAATATTGAAATTTATGAGCTAACATATTATAACTGCCAGTCTAGAACCAGCAACACAAGAATACTTGAATATATGAGCACATACGTGAGAAACATTGAAACTGTCTGCCTGGAACAAATATCAGAATACTAGAATCTTTGAGCACATACATGAGAAACATTAAAACTGTCTGCCTGGAACAAACATCAGAATACTAGAATCTTTGAGCTCATACATGAGAAACATTAAAACTGTCAGCCTATAACAAATATCAGAATACTAGAATCTTTGAGCACATACATGAGAAACATTAAAACTGTCTGCCATGAACAAACATCAGAATACTAGAATCTTTGAGCACATACATGAGAAACATTAAAACGATGGGCCTAAACAAAACAACACCAGAATATCAAAGTAATGTTCCCTTGTTTTAGTAAAAAAAGATACAAACAATAAATTGTGCAATTTATTGCCTGGCATATTTCGCTGTATCTCATCAGATGGATACTTCAATTATAAGGGATTCACTTATTTACTTCATTGATGTAATTGTTACTGTAGTATGCACCTGACGAGATATATCGAAATATGCCAAGCAATAAACTGTGCAATCTATTGTTTGTGTGATCTTTATTAAAATACCATAATACTTGAATATATAAGCGCATACATTAGAAACATTGAAACGGTTGGCACAGAACAACCCACACCAGAATACTGGAGTCTCTTGTGCACATAAATGATACTGGCATTTCTACAATGGTGCATGATACTGGAATTTCTACAATGGTGCATGATACTGGAATTTGTTCATTAATACGCATAACTGGAATTTATGAGCACAGATATGATACCCGAATTATTGAGCACATAAATGAAATTAAAACTGATGAGTACGAACAAGAAAGTGCAATTTGTTCACTGATGCACGGTACTGGATTTGTTTACCAGTACATAGCACTAGAAATTGTTACTGATTTACAATTTTCAGATTTGTTCAGTAATATGTGATACTGGAATTTGTTTACTAACACGTAATACTGGAATTCTTTAACTGATACATGATAGTAGAATTTCAGAACAAGCATGCTTTTGGAATTTATTCACTTGCACAATTTAATAATTTGTTAACGGGTACACGAAACTGGATTTAGATAACACATATGACTGAAATAACACATATATAACCTAGATAACAGTTACAGGACATAGATAAGGTATACTCAAACTAGATAACAAATACTGAACTTAAATAACAGATACTAGACTTAAATAACAGATACTGGCCCTAGATAATAGACACTGAGTTAGATAAAACGGGTCCTAGATAACAGATACTGGACGCAGATAGCAGATACATGACCTTGATAACAGATACTGGACGCAGATAGCAGATACATGACCTTGATAACAGATACTGGACGCAGATAGCAGATACATGACCTTGACAACAGATACTGGACGCAGATAGCAGATACTGGACGCAGATAGCAGATACATGACCTTGATAACAGATACTGGACGCAGATAGCAGATACATGACCTTGATAACAGATAGTGGACGCAGATAGCAGATACATGACCTTGATAACAGATACTGGACTTAGATAACAGATACTGGATGCAGATAACAGATACTGGACGCAGATAGTAGATACATGACCTTGATAACAGATTCATGACTGAGATTAAAAATGTATTACTAAGATAACAAATACAGGACCTAGGTAAGAGATAAAGATTTAGATAACAGATAATTAACTTAGATAACAGATACAGGACTTAGATAACTGAAACAAGACTTGTAGATAAGACCAATAGATACGGGACTTAGATAATGGACACTGGACTGAGGAAACTGATACAAGACTAAGACAACAGACACAAGATTGAGATACCAGCTACAAGACTGAGATTACATCTACGAGAATGAGATAACAAACACAATACTGAGATAACACCTACAAGAATGAGATAACAGACACAAGACTGAGATTACAGCTAGGAGAATAACAGACACAAGACTGAGATAACAGCTACAAGAATTAGATAACAGACACAAGACTAAGATAACATGTACACGAATAAGATAACAGACACAAGACTGAGATAACATGTACAAAACTTGGGTATGGATTCAGATGAGAGAATCGAGATATCGGTGTTACATAAGAGATGCAGGATGCTGGAGCTAGATAATATATACTGGACTTTGATAACGTGTATATGACCACACCTTGTGGAGACGGAGCGGTGTCACCAGCTCCAGGACAAATGAAGCCAGCAAGCAACTAAGCATGGAGCTGTCCATGAGGTTCCAAAAGGAGGCCAGGTAGTCCTTGATGCCAGCGTGGTACACCTGTTTGCACTCCTCCAGAATCAGGCCTGGGCACAAACAACATGGCAGCCAGATTATGAATCCTGAGATTGTTGAACATTAAATAAATCACATACATAATAACCTAAATACACACACACCCACACACAGGCGTCGGCACAAAAAACAATCAAATGAACATTATTTTCAAAGGGTCACAAATTGGGCACGCAGGCCTGTCTTACATTCGCCCCTTCCAAACACTCATCTTCTACATAGCAGTTGTGTTTGGTCAAAAAAGCAAATTATTTTCATATAACAATAGACTTACATTGAATATTCTAGGAAAGGGGGGGGGGGGAGGATAGTAAATGCATGCGCACATGACCACTCACACGTACACACACATGTACATACACATGTACATACACACACACATACATACATGCATAAATGAATGCATGCATACATACAGACAGACATACATACATACATACACACATACATACATACATACACATACATACATACATACATACCACATGACTACTGATTTAGATAATACACTCTCATATATACCTACACATATATTTCCAGACTCAGATACACACATAGTCACATACAGATCATACTCACACAGAAACATGCATACACACTCATGCAGTACACAAACAATCATTCACATTCAAACATACACAGGCACACATAATCTTGCATCTTCATATATACGCACTTACACATACTCATACATACAAACACTCATACATACAAACACTCATACATACAAAAATTCATACATACATACTTGCACTTTCACTCATCCCTATATATTTATGCACCTCATGCATACACACGCATGCACTAACACGTAAGCCTACATATACATAGACCTGCCCTTATATATATATATATATATATATATATATATATATATATATATATATATATATATATATATATATATATATATATATATATTTACACGGATGCATAAATACTTACATACTTACACTTACATACACACATGCACAAATACTAAACACAAAATTCACACACATCTGCCCGTATATACACACACCCATACATACATGCACACACACTCATACACAGTATACATTCACTCACACTTATGCATTCACATTTATACACACAAAAACACATACACACAATTTCATAATTCTAGCACACATACATACACTCACTAACTCTTATTTATAAATTCATACATACATAGATACCCAAGCATACCTACCCATGTATACATACACATACATATTTATACATACACAAACACAACAATACATACAAACACTCATACACAATACCCATATATACACACGAACACAACTACTCCTACATTCACAAACACACATACATACAAAATCCATACACATACACCCTTATATCCAGGCGTGCTATATATATATATATATATATATATATATATATATATATATATAATATATATATATATATATATATATATATATATATATATATATATATATACATATATCCCTTCATTAACACCGTGATGGTAACTCATTAGATATAGCCTAAGATGCACACTCCCACAGAGAGCACTTGAGTTCGTTACCCAACATGCCACAGCAATTCTCATCGCCGAACATTTGGATCTCAAAGCGTGAGCTGGATGCTCCGGTTATATGGTAATTACGTACACCGGAGCTTAGCTGTCAACACAACCCGATCACATAATAACAAATGACGACTGGACCCGCTTAAGACTCCACACAAACTCTCACACACATATCCATTACATGACTAACCCGTTCATATTACAGGAAGACAACTATAAGACCATTATGGTCACACGCGGACAATTTTCACATTTCAGAACTATTCAAATTCATAAACTGTTTTCAGTAATTTTTGGCAAAATTAAAATACTCAAAATTTTAAAACAATAAATGGTGGTCCAAAAGACGTTGTGTATAGAAGCTCGCTCTCCTTCGAGATACGCCTAGCCAGATCAAAAGCAGACATAACAAACAGAAAACACCAAGAAAAAAGAAGGAAGACATGCACTAGCGACAACAGGACGAGCGGTTTGATTCGGGTGGAAGCATCAAGCCCAGAAATGGCACAAACACCAGTATTCAGTCACGAAAGTGACGCAAATAACCCAGACCACAAATATAGGCGGAGACTGCTAGCAGCCTAGGCTAGTAGCAGCAGTCTGAACGTGGTCGAGCTTTTCTTTTTTTTTTCTCAAAAGGACTTGGACGTAACTCAGCTTATACTATATCCAGTTTCGTCCTTTTCAGGACGAAATTTTTTTGATATTTGAAGCCCCACCCTGGATTTCGCCAGGGACCGCAATATAAACAGGCCATAAATATGGCCAATTGTCTGAACGCGGTTTCTGGGACCTCTCCACGGCGATTCTCATCCACATGGTGGCACTTTGTGTCAATGGGTGTTTATCGCTTGTGTGATGTCTTGGTGGGGTAGAAAGTCAGTCAGTCAGTAACTCACCAGAGATCCACATGAAGACGACGATGATGACAATATAGGCGACCGTCTCTGGAGTCTGACAGGAAAATGTGTCGATGTAATGCCGCAGGTAGAGCTTTACCACTGTTATCAAGATGAGAAACGTTAGGAAGGAACAGGTGTATGAGAGAAACCTCATCAGCGGCGTCTTCACAATCCGAGAAACCTGGCAGGTGAAGACCGACATGGGATGAGTAGCCAGCCTCAGTGGAGAAATGGAATAGTTAAATATACTTAATATCTTGCCGTCCTTTTTACCATGCAATGTTTCGTCAGTTTGAAGCCCTACTCTGGCTCATGCCAGGGGCCGTAATATAGCCCGACCATAAATATGGCCTAATGGCTGAACGCGGTTTCTGGGACCTCTCCACGGTGATCCTCATCCACATGGTGGCACTTCGTGTCATCGGGTGTTTATCGCTAGTGTGATGTCCTGGTGGGGTAGAAAGTCAGTCAGTCGGAGATATGGAAAGGCATATTCCAAACGGGGCCCTAATATAACCCAAACTATGAGTTGAACAGGGTTTCTGGGACCTGTCCCCGATTGAACCTCATTCGAATGGTGGCACTTTGTGTCACCGGGTGTTTATCGCTCAGTGTGGTGTCCTGGTGGGGTTGAACATTATCTTCATCATCATATTCTACCATGTCTTCACTTCAGGTTGCTGTTTAACTGTCAGGGACCTTAAAATGACCTTACAGTTGAAAGGGGCTTCTGGGATTTCTACCGGTGTCATTCTCATCCAAATAGTGATATATTTTAATTGACGTCACCAAGTGTTAATCACTCAGTGTGCGGTCGAAGTGGGGTTAAAATTCACCCGCTCGCTCTGAGATGTTTCACTAATTAAATATGAGGTGTGAACAATAACCGATGAGATATGAATAATATTATGATGAGGTTTGATCAGTGACAGATGATGTTGGAACAATGACAAGATAAGGTGTGATCAATGACTGATAGGATGTAATCAATATTAAGATCAGGTGTTTTCAATATCAGATGAATTGTGAACAATGACAGATGAGGCATGAAGAACAACGAGCAATAGATGTGAATAATAACAAGATCAAGTGTGAATAAGGACTGATGATGTGTGAACACGGACAAAATGAGGAATGAATAATGACCTATGAGGTGTGAACAATAACTGATGGGATGTGAACAGCGGCAGATGAGGAGTTAACAATGGCAGATGGGGTGTGAACAGTGACTGATTGGATGTGAAAAGTGGCAGATGAGGAGTTAACAATGGCAGATGGGGTGTGAACAATAACAGATGAGGAGGGAACAATACCAGATGGGGTGAGAACAATAACAGATGAGGAGTATTCACATTTTCTACTGTCTGAACAGTTCACATGATCTACTCTGAACAGTTTATATTGTCTGCTCTGACTGAACAGTTCACACTGTCTACTCTGTCTAAATAGTTCACATTGTCTTCTCTGTCGGAACAATTCAGTTTATCTACTCTGTCTACACAGTTCACATGATCTGCTAGATCTGAACAGTGTACAAAATCTACGCTCTCTGAATATTTCACATGATCTACTTTGTCCACACAGTTCACACTGTCTAATTGTCTACACAATTCACTTTGTCTACTCTATTTACACAGTTCACATTGTCTACTCTGTCTGAACAATGTACATAATCTACTCTGTCTGAATATTTCACACAATTTACTCTGTCTACACAATTCACATTGTCTACTCTGTCTACACAGTTCACGTTGTCTACTTGTCTACACAATTTACACTGTCTACTCTATCTACTCAATTTATATTGTTTGTCTACACAGTTTACACGTTATCTACCTAGTGTACACAGTTCACATCGTATACTCTGAACAGTTCACATTGTCCACTCAGTCTGCACAGGTCACATTGTCTACTCAGTCTGCACAGGTCACATTGTCTACTGTTTCTACACAGTTCATATTGCCTACATTGCCCACGCATATTCTTGCTAATGGTCCACAAGCATGTCGTTAGATGTAGGGAATTTAAGACACACAATCTAGACACATAAGGAGACAGATATGAAGACCCAAGCACAGGCCATGTCACAACCTTGTCACAGCCTTGTCACAATGTTTTCACAGCCTTGTCACAACCTTGCCACAGCCTTGTCAGAACCTTGTCACACAGCCATATCATAACACCGTCACAGCCATGGGACTAGATTGTCACAACCATGTCACAGTCTTGTCACAGCCATGTCACAACCTTGTCACAGCTATGTCACAGCCTTGTCTAAGATAGGTCAAAGCTGGTACTAACCTTAGACCAGGGTGTAAATAGGTATGCTATGGACAGTACAGGGCAGACCACGATCCCAATGGGTATGGCCAACATCAGGTAGGCGAACCGGTTGAGGTATCTGAGGAAGGGCACTCCGCTATACCACATCTCTCCTATCTGTGCCTGGCACTGAGGGTGAGCTATAAACTTACGAAATATAGTATACATTAGAACTATAAATTTAGGAAATATAGGATACATTAGAACTATAAACTTAGGAAATGTAGCATACATTAGAGCTATAAACGTAGGTTGAGACAGAAAAGGTTAGTACGATAAACTGCAATGGAGGGAAGGTGGGGGGGGGGGGAGGAGGGGTATGGGTTGCAGCTATAAACTCAGAGTGGGGCAGTAAATTTAAGAGCTATAAATAAGGGTGGGACAGTGGAGGCTATAGCTATAAACTGAGAGTGGGACATTCTTCTTCTTCGTCTTTGTGTTAACCAGCTGTAAATCCTTGTGGAAGGTTCTGGTTGTTCGTCCACTTCTGAACTTCAATCCTGTTCCAGAACCTGAGTGTTGCGTGTGCATTCGTTTGACTGATCTGATACATTTCTGGTCATACTGTTTGTTCCTTGCCTCTCAGACAGATGCACTAAGACTTCGAAGGAAGCTCTCATTTAGTCGACTCTTACGGCCTGCTATTGGGTAGGCAGTGGGTCTATTTTTGCTTTCCCTATAACAGGGCCCCGGAACCGACACGGGGAATGGTACATTAGAAGCTAGACTTATAAGCTGAGACTGGGAGAGTATAGGTTAGAGCTATAAAGTGAAGGTTGGGCGATATACATAAGTCAAAACTACAAACTGAAGGTGGAAACACTATAGGTTAGGGCAGTTGTCGACAAATCGCGTCTGGCGAGCCAATCGGCTACCAATCGGTTTTAACTCCGAAAAAAATGGTTCTTCTCAGGTTTTTGAATATAAATTTGGCTCTAAAAAAATTTAAATCGCCCTACTGCTGATTTTTGGGTCTTTCGACTTCTGAGCTTGCCGACCACTGGGTTAAGACTATGAACAGAGGGTGGGATAGTATAGGTTAGGCCTATAAACTGAGAGTGGGACAGTATAGCTTAAGCTATAAACGGAGCGTGGGACACAAGCTAGAGCTATCTATTGAAAGTCGGATGTTAAATGTGAGGATGTGCTATAAACTAAGAATGGGACAGTCTAGATTAGAGCTATGAAGTGAAGCTGCGACAAAATAGGTTTGAGCTATATCCTGGGGGTGGGACGGTATAGGTTTAAGGATAAGCTAAAAACTGAGGGTGGGACATGTAGAACTTATATCATTATCGTTGTGTAATTAAAACTCTATGTCATTAAACCCTTGAAAATGCACTAGAGCAGTGTGTGGTCAATATGACAACTAGAACCCACACACACAATCTGGTAACTGTAACCCACAGACAAAATCTGGCAACTGGAACTCCCAGACACAATCTGGCAACTCGAACTTACAGACAACCTTGGAACTGCATTCCATAGATATAATCTGGCAACTGGACTCCACAGACACAATCTGGCATTAAGAACTCACAGGCACAATCTGAGAACTGCAATCCACAGACAAAAACTGGCAACTGGAACCAACAGACATAATCTGGCAACTGGAACTAGCAGTAGCACCATCCTGGCAAGTGGATCTTGCACTTACAAGATATGCCATGTAGTTGTATAAAATTATCACTTTGCTAGATTATGAGCACTTGATTTAATTACATGGTCATTTGGTTGTCCATGAAGCAAATGATTTGTTTACAAAATCATTTGGTTGTGGATGGACTTCTTGATTTGGCTGCAAAATGCTTTTTTTTTTTTAAACAACTCACTTTTTTCTGTTCCATCCTCACAGCTGTGTAGACAAGAGGAAGAATCTTTTCCTCACTTGGAACACCGTCGTCGTCGTCCTCCTCTTCTTCCTCCTCTTTGTCGTCGCCTGAGATGTTATCATCCGCCACACTTGACTTAGACGTATAACGTGGTTTGTTGTCGCCACTGAGTATTGCTTTGACCTCCTCTGAACTCTGACATTGATCCAGCAAAGCCAAGGTGAAGTTTTGAACTTGTTGGTCTAGCTCGTCGTAGATGTTCTGTTATGCAAACCAGAAAATGTGAGTCAGAAAGCAGATTTTCTTCAGGGAAAAAAGAAAATGTGAGTCAGAAAGCAGATTTTCTTTAGGGAAAAAAAGAAAATGTGAAGCAGAAAGTAAAAGTTCTTTAGGGAAAAAGAAAATGCGAGTCAGAAAGTAGATGTTCTTTAGAAAAAAAGAAAATGTGAGTCAGAAAGTAGATGTTCTTTAGGGAAAACAGAAGATGTGTGTCAGAATGTAGATGTTCTGTCAATAAAACAAGAAAAGGTGTGTCCGAGAGTGGACGTTCTCTCAGGGAAACCAGAAAATCTGATTCAGACAGGACATTTCTGTCAGAGAAACCAGAAAATGTGAGTCGAGGAGTAGACATTCTGTTAGAGAAACCAGAAAATGTGAGTCGAGGAGTAGACATTCTGTTAGAGAAACCAGAAAATGTGAGTCGAGGAGTAGACATTCTGTTAGAGAAACCAGAAAATGTGAGTCGAAGAGTAGACATTCTGTTAGAGACAACGAGACACCAGAAAATTTGTTTCAGACGGTAGGGTTCTATCAGGAAAAATCAGGAATCAGAGAGTAGATATTCTGTTGGGAAACCATATAATAAATGCTCGAGACATACACTAGATACCGACCATTGTCTGATTTGTCTGTGACTGTTCATCCCTTGTCTGTCTGTCTGTCCGTCCGTCCGTCTGTCTGTCTGTCTGTCTGTCTGTCTGTCTGTCTGTCTGTCTGTCTGTCTGTCTGTCTGTCTGTCTGTCTGTCTGTCTGTCTGTCTGTCTGTCTGTCTGTCTGTCTGTCTGTCTGTCTGTCTGTCTGTCTGTCTGTCTGTCTGTCTGTCTGTCTGTCTGTCTGTCTGTCTGTCTGTCTGTCTGTCTGTCTGTCTGTCTGTCTGTCTGTCTGTCTGTCTGTCTGTCTGTCTGTCTGTCTGTCTGTCTGTCTGTCTGTCTGTCTGTCTGTCTGTCTGTCTGTCTGTCTGTCTGTCTGTCTGTCTGTCTGTCTGTCTGTGACAGTTTATCTATTTTTTGTTTGTGGTTGTTCCTATCTGGAAAGACTACGAATAAAAAATATTACTGGGGAAAAAAACGAAACAAGAGAGACAATAAAAATACTGTTCCACATTAAAAGACATAACACGCTTTTAAAAACCATGCTAGAGGGGGAAAGTCAATACAAGTGGGGGGACAACATCAAAATATGGACGAACAGCAGTCTGAGAAAGCATACAACCAGGACAAGAAATAGAGCGTGTTGGAGATCCATTACAGCCAACATGAAATGTGGAGACGGTACCTGATGAATTGGTTGATTGTTCATATCATGTTTGTTACTGTTCATATCATGTTTGTTTGTAACTGTTCATTTCATATCATGTTTGTTTGTAACTATTCATATCATGTTTGTAACTGTTAATATCATGTTTGTTTGTAACTGTTCATATCTTGTTTGTAACTTTTCATTTCATGATGTAACTGTTCATATCATGTTTGTTTGTAGCTGTTCATATCATGTTTGTTTGTAACTGTTCATATCATGTTTGTTTGTCACTGTTCATATCAGGTTTGTTTGTAACTGTTCATATCATGTTTGTTTGTAACTGTTCATATCAGGTTTGTTTGTAACTGTTCATATCATGTTTGTTTGTAACTGTTCATATAATGTTTGTAACTGTTCATATCATGTTTGTTTGTAACTGTTCATATCATGTTTGTAACTGTTCATATCATTTTTGTTTGTAACTGTTCATATCATGTTTGTATGTAACTGTTCATATCACGTTTGTTTGTAACTGTTCATATCATGTTTGTTTGTAACTGTTTAGATCATGTTTGTTTGTAACTGTTCATATCATGTTTGTCTGTAACTGTTCATATCATGTTTGCTTGTAACTGTTCATATCATGTTTGTTTGTAACTATTCATATCATGCTTGTTTTTAGTGATTGTTCGATCCTGTTTTCTGTTTGTTATCTTTTCATCTCTTGTTTGTCTAACTGTGATTGTTTATCTCGTCTCTCTCTCTCTCTCTCTCTCTCTCTCTCTCTCTCTCTCTCTCTCTCTCTCTCTCTCTCTCTCTCTCTCTCTCTCTCTGTGATGGTTCGTCTCTTGACAGTTCATTATATCTGTGTATGATCTTGCCTTTACCTAAATGTTATTGTCAGTAAGCGTACATCATAATGCTGCCTTGTGTCTCTGTGGGGTGAGAGTGAAAGAGAACGTATGTCGAACAGATACATGGTGTGTGTAACATGCATGACAAAGACTCACTTTGTACTCTCCCTCGATTTCTGAGAGTCTGCGGAATTTGTGGCTGAGGTAGAAGGAAGCCAGGATAGGATCCTCAGCTGACAGGGAAAGGTAAGCAGGACTGGCCAGGGCTGTGAAAGTGTCTAGTCTTCTGCTGGTAAACACCTGTGCACCAGATCATTCAACTGTTTTATTTCTGTTTACAGTAGGGCACTTATGTGTTAGGGGTTAATAGGGAAAGCCCCAAGAGCACCTCGCCCCATCTCTCCTCCCCCGCCCTGTTAGATTTTAGGAAAATGAAGGGTGATCTCTCTCTCTTAGAAAATGCGTACAGATGTGTAGGTACAGGTACAATGTTTAAGCGTACATTCCTCCCTCAATCCACATCACGATGTGAAAAAGTATTTATTTACACATTTCATATTGTTTCGAATATATTATTAAATTGTTTCATGTATTTACAATTCAGCAAATAAATAACAATTATTATTATTATTCTTGATATTAGGCACTTAAAAAAATAAGGACCTTAAATCTCCCTCACTCCTGAAAATATCTAAGAGGTTGACCATGTCTCCCCCCCCCCCCTCCCCCGCCGTTTCAAAAATGATTTGCTTGGCGCCCTTAGTAGCCAATTACTATTCTATTCTATGTGAGCCATCACAGTCCTCCTTCCTATGCTCTGCCAGGCATTAATGCCCTCCTTTCTCCGTTCTGTCATTCATCACAGTCCTTCCTCCACTTTGTCAGTCATCACAGTCCGTTTCCTCCACTCTGTCAGACATCACAGTACTCCTTCCTCCGCTCT